CACCCCAAGGCTCGGCCTGGGGGTCAAGCCATACTTCACTTTGTAGATCTAGCCACCACTCAAAGTCCGTTCTTTGTCATTCAAAACTCGAGGATAAATGTCCCTGAGAAGACAAGCTTGAGTTTGATGGAGTTGTGATTGCTGGTGTGGACACACTATCTATAAATACCATGGTTAGTGTTCGTTCTCCAAGCTACAACCTTGTGTCCCCTGTGAGAAATTCCACAGATAAGGTAAATTCTTCCCCACAGTATACATGGTAAAGTTTACATGCTGGTTAGGGGCTAGGCCCTGGCTGATGCACTGCATTCTTTGAATATTTATCCGAGTTTGTTTGCCTTTTCAAAAAGTATGTCAGAAACTGTATCATGGTTCAATATACCCACATCGAGTATCATGGACAAGGTTTCCCAGCAGTCATTAATATCTGCATGTCAACCATCAATAACTTGCTGGCCCTAAGCTAGACTTGTCAACTGCTATGAGATCAGTTGGGCTTTTGTTACAAGTTGAGATACAAATCACTCCCTTTAAAAACCCTTGTCATGTGGAAGTAAGCTTTCATTGAAATTCAGGTTTAGGGCTGCTACAATGATTGTCAGTGTGCGTATTGTACCCAATGTTGATAGTCAACAAAAGCATTTCTCAATTGAAGAGCGGAGTTTGTCAATGGGAGAAGGGTTGTTTGACCAGGAATCGGAGAGGCCTGCACAACGGTGCCCCACACTCCTCCTCCAAAAACGGTGTGGCCCTCTTTCTGCAGGGTGTTTAACTGCATGAACGGACGTCTGCCTATTTCGTCTCCACTTTCAAGGCAGATCAATCACCTAACACTCAGCCTTTTGATTACCCAAAATGTGATTGGTTCTTAAGTTCACTGCCCCGGGTAGAGAACAAGCCAAGAAAGAAATCTTTTGTCTTTTAATGCATCAGCCAGAAAGGCTTATTACCCACTGGTGCTTTAATGAACATAAGAGGAAGGGGAGAAGGCGAATTCCCCATGCTAGAGTTACCTCTTTGTGTCGGTCTAGAAGACCCATTGGCATTCCTACATTGCTTGTCAACTTACCCCAGCTCCTGGCTCTGACTCCCCGTCTTTGTCACAGGGTATTGCCAAACTAAATTGCTCAATCTTTTCCAACTGAGTAAGTGCGTATAGACATATGCATGCATGCAACATATATATGTAGTATTATTAGACTGAGAATCGTTGTGTGTCCATTGTGGATGAATATTAGTAAATATCTACTGATTAATATTGTAATTTAGGAGTATTCTGTGTTGTGTGATCATTGGGTTTGAGTATGAACTGTGATCCAGTTCATTTGGGTTTGTGTGTTTCATCATGGTCATAGTTGTGTAGATTTAATTAAATTATGGTGATTGGTAATATTTATTACAGTATTATCTAGTGTAATTTCAGTTTTCATATGTCTCAAATTCCTGTGACCTCTTTCGTCACTTATTCACATTTTGGAATAATACTTTTACAATAATTTGATCTTGTTGATAGGAAAATATGGGACAAAATATTTTTCATTGCTTGATTTGACTTTCCTCTCCCGAGAAAATGATGCTATTGATGTAGGTGAGGGACAAAGGCAGTATCATTACTCGTTGTACTCCAAATATTGAATTATTCCCAGCTGTCTGATGGTGAGGTTTGTTCAACAAATGTTGATGACAAAATTATAGATTTATGTTTCAAATTTTGTGATAATTTATACTGAACATATGTGCTGAACAGCATGACAAGATGTCTACCAGAACAGATGTCTGCTATTTGACCATGACATGTAAATGATGTATGCATCATACTGGATGTAAAGCATCAATGCAACATAAAATATATTGTCATTTATGTTTTTAGAATTACTAAACATGAATAGGCATAATATGGATGCAACAAAAATATGCTTGATAGACATCTATATTTCTTCAGGATATACATATGCAAACATGTAAATAATGAAATTTGAGACATTCTAATTATTAAAAAATACTTTTGTATATATCATGATATATTGAATATGATCGACGTTGCATATATTTGCAGCAATTCATGTATATAGACAAAGGAAAGTTTTTTTTGTCTGGTAACAAAAGATCAGAAAGAATTTATTGAAAATATTAACAAGTGCCTATAGTAAGTGGAGTGTAGAAATATTTTCGGTCTAAACATGATATTGGTAACATATATAGGTAGGACACTGTGACCTCAAACCTGTACTTTTACACAAATATTATGTCTTTCATAAGTAAACATTTATGTATGTGCGATAGACACTAAGACCTCAAATCTGTAATTGCAAAAACACAATTTATCTGTTGAAATTATTCAAGTGTCATGTTTAGGAGAAAAGTAAATATATGCACCTGACTGCATAGCCCTATAAACGGGATAAGTGAAAACTTGGATGTATATCTGCCAATAGGACATATTGTCACAGTTAGCATGTTGTGGCTGATGAAGAATAACCAGGTGGAATAACTATCTATATTAGAGAACAAATGTTGCCCATGGTATGTACATAGTTTATTCTGCTATGAGGTAATATTAACTTATCATGCCTTTCTATAGGGGAATAAGATGTGTTTAAGACCTCAGCTGTGCAGAGTTGCATACCTTATGCATGCCAGGATTCTGTGATATGGGTTTGAATCCCAGATTCATCCCCGTTATGGGCCTTGGTTAGTCTGCACCATACCCATGCTTGTCACCAGAGTTGTCAACGTCTATGACCTGCATCGCTTTGGAATTTATCAACATTAAGCTGACATACTGTGATATGACGGAAATACTGTATCATAAATGTATGATAATACTACTATTATTAAATTGTGTATGAGAAGTTCTACACGTTTACCTACTTGAGGTTCAAACTCTGGACCTCACTGCATCCATTCAGTAAACCATAGTCAGTCAAGGCCTCGACCCTGTTGAACATGTTGAAAAAGATAGCAACAATTCTTTATTCTTTTGTTCTACACGTTTACCTACTCTAGGTTAAAACTCTAGACCTCACTGCATCCATTCAGTAAACAATAGTCACTCAAGGCCTCGATCCTGTTGAACATGTTGAAAAAGACATGTGTGCTCTTTTTAATTGGTGAGGTGAAATTGGATTTAACGTCGCGTCCAAGATTATTACACTTATATAGCGACGTGCATGTACGTGTGTGTGTTTGTGTGGCTGCTTGTACTAGTCCGGACTGATGCCGATTTATAGTGCTAGCTCACTGAGATACCATGCTGCAGTTTAACATGAATACCCCACTCAGACACAGTATACTGACTCCGAGCCGACCAGTCCTTGTTTTAGCCCCTTAATGCCGAGCGCCAGACAGGGTAACAACAAGTACCATCTTTTAACGTCTTTTGGTATGACGCGGCCGGGGATCGAACCCCGGACCTTCCGCTCTCCGGGCGGACGCTCTACCACAAGACCACGGAGGCGGTCCTTTTTAATTAGCATTGTAATTGGAATCAGTTTATGACTCTTGTATAAATGGGTGGAAGAAAACATATGAGGTCAAGAAATTGATCCTTGCTGCAATTGGCTCTGCGTATTTTATTCCTTAAGACCAGGATCTACTTTTCATAGGTTCAGTCCCATATCTACCGAGGTCGTGATCCTTGGTCTTTCTGCACCGTCCAAGAAATTGATGGTTTCCACAAAACGGTAAACATCTATGAACTGTGTCACCTTAGGACCTTCCACATAAGGCTGTGATATTGTTAATATACTGTTCCACATACATGTATTCAAAGAAGCGTTAGACCCAATTCACCCACTTGTAGTGCTTCTAATGCTTTGGAAATGAAAGAAATGTAGGATTCCTGGGATGTTTGTTATCATCCGAAACTCAATGTGTTTGTAGTTTTACGATAGTTGTAAGTCTTTGTTAAAGGATGTCATTACGATGGTTGTGGCGCTACAAACAGTCAGGGCCCTGCGCACTCAGGACCAGGTGTAGGCCGGTGTGCCGCTGGGGTCTACTAGCGTTACAGCCACTGCATATTGGGCATTGTGAATTGTGGAAATTACTCTAACAATCCCTTATCAGAATGCCAATTAGGATGTTGACATGCATGAAGCAATGTGAGTCTGTTAAAAGTGAATACAAGGGGCTGGCTATGTTAGGAGCGTTATCTTTATGATGATGTGATGGGATAGTTTGAACAGAGTGGAAAGTGGAGTGTCGAGAGCTTCAGGTTTCTATAATTTTTATGAATATAGTTTATCTATGTCCTGTTGTGTTGCTATGGAAATGCTACAAAATATTTTAGGCAGTATTTGTCACTTTAAGATATTTCTGTTTGTCATTTTAGTAGACGTTACTAGAACATACAGCTGGTTGCTTTAGTTAGTGTAGTGGGTTTTTCAATATTCCAGCAATGTCATGTCGGGGGCCACCAGGAATGGCTTCACACATTCAACCTATGTCGAGAACAGAACCCAGGCCTTCAGTGTGACGAGCAAATGCTTTAACCACTAGGCTACCCCAGTGCCTCCATAGTTGGATTAAGTGTGTAAAGCCCTTAACGAAGACATGCATGTTATTGAAATACCACGACTGCCGTGGAGGAATGTATGTCATAATTGTATTTGTTCTTTTGAGAAATGTGATATGTATTCTAAAGAGCCATTCATTGCAGGAATCACTCAATTGGGATTAAGGGTTAGAACTGCTTTCCAGCAACCTAGGCTGGTCGTAAGAAGTAACTGGATTGGGTGGCCACACCCTGTTACTTCGGTGATTGCCTGTCCTCGTAGCCTGACGGTGTAGGCCATTGCTCATAATATTAATCACTGGTTTGTGTGACTCCATTGTTTACAGGCTGCTCTCATAGCTGGAATATTGCTATTAACTGTGAACATTGAAAGAATCTGCAGCATACATTCAGAATTAGATTGTTTTCTAGCACATGTGATTTACACTTGACTTTGTACCTGTTTATCTTTGTTCATATTTAAGATTGTCTTGTTCTTTTTCAGGCTTCCACTTAAGCGGAACGATAACAGAGCCTGCCAAACCCCTTTTCTCAGAGCCAGAAAAACCATACCAAGTATCAATAAGTTTTGACAGGTGAGTTGCCTTGTCTACATACAGTATACCATTATGCCTGCCATTTTGTCAACTTGCTACAGTACTGGGTTGTTATGAACTGTGGTACGACCTGTGAATACACAGTCTTTTAGAAAGTGGTCAAATGTAACAAGTATTATGTTTGGGATTACACTTTCTAAGTGGAGTACAAATTCTAGTACCGTATTTTCTTGAGTATAGTGCGCACCCATGTATAATGCCCACCCCCCTCTAGCAGATTCAATATTTTGGGAAAAAAATTTGAATACCAAGCGCAGAAAAAAAATGACACCGTACCCCTTTAGTGAAGTCCGGCAAACAAACAGGTGATGAGAAACTTTGTCAGTACAAATTCGAAATTTGAGATAAAAAATCACCAGACAGGTTGATTTACTGCCAGACAGTGTAATTACATGATTAATTTACGTACTTCAGTATGGATTTGTTGACATGGTTTTTCCGGTGTTACGTGCTCACGATAATGTCTTTCCATGGGGGAAAAACATCAAAACTCATTAATTCGTGTATAATGCGCACCCCCTTCTACACAGCTGTGTTTTTTGGAACAAAATGTGCGCACTATACTCAAGAAAATACGGTACTCTTTTGGGTGAAGTACAAACTTGAGTTGGTACAAACTGGTTCATTACACCATCAATGTTTGGCTGATTACTTTTGTTTGTTTGTTTGTTTTTGTTTGTTGTTTAACGCCGCACTCAGCAATATTCCAGCTATTTGACGGTAGTCTGTAAGTAATCGAGTCAAGGCCAGACAATCCAGTGACTGACATCCTAAGCATCAGTCCACGCAATTGGAATACGATGTCATGCATCAACCAAGTCAGCAAGCCACCCAATTCTGTTAGTTGCCTCTTACAACAAGCATGGGATGCTGAAGACCAATTCTAATCTGGATCTTCACTGGTGTGGCTTGTTACTTCACTAGCTGTATGCTGAGGACTTTGCTAAAAATTCTGTCTTGGTTCTGATAAATGAGGAATAAACATATGAAGTAGTATTTCAGAATAAATTTATCTTCTGACTCTGATCCTTAATCTTCAAATCAAAGCCTACCATTTGTGTTTGGTCTAAAATTTATTACATGATAATATTAATGAAATATTAAATACCCCGTAAACAGATTTATGACATTTTAAATGGTAGCTATCCTGTGTGTTGTGTGCAGGATATGACCACCTTTATAATGTGGAAGTAAGGAGTTGAACAGGAATCGCTTCTAATCATCATAAAAGTGTTAGAGCATGGCCAATCTGTGGCAAGTTCACCTCTCCCAGGATCAGTTTTCAACAAAAACTTGTAATTGAATCGAAATGTGACACCATTGATGTCAGTGACAATTTACTCTGAATGACATACTTGTCTCCGTCTGTTGATGAAGCTATTGACCATGTAGCCCCACCCCCTATGATTACAGCATCACCCACACTACCACCCATTCACCACCCCATTCACCAGAATCAGGGAGTGTAGCAAGGGGGACAACTCTGTCAAGAGGCCCTCTTCATTTTCAACAATGTTTTGGTAGCCAGTCAAGCATGCACGATTCCATCAATACACCTGACTTCACACATTCAAATTGCTAAGCTGTACATGAAAAGTTATCTCCACTATAATTTGTCTATGATGTATAATTAGGAAGATGGATTATTAGCCTAAGAATCCAAGTGCTAACAAGCGTTCCATGTTTGTAGTTCAGCTGTAGAGAAAGCTGTCCTACAGGGGGCGCTGTTCCTTGCTGTGATGGTGACTGCGTTTGAAAAACATTTTTCACATGAGAGAAGCAAGGAAGCAGAGATATCTAGTTTTCCTCAAACTCCTTGAAGCGGAGATGTGCTTTGTTTGCAAACTTTATTGCCGTTTATCAATGTTTATTTCATGTAAAGACCCTTATGATTGAGCCTGGATTAGACGTTGCCTACTAATTGCTTGCTGTTACAATGGATTTATGAGATTTTGGTGGAGAACTGGTTGCCTTGCAGACAAAATGATGCAAACTGCGATTAATTTTGTCAACCAGAAGTAGAATTCATGTGTTTAGTCTCAGGATCCCTGCGATTTATGGTGTTGATTACAACTGCTAATAGAACAAAGCAAACTATCAAGCTTGATAACATTTTTTTCACTTCCAAAGGAACCAATTAGGGCCATTTGTGAACCTGATGATTCAAAATGCAAAAATATGATTTCAGGTTTAAGGGATTGTGTGGTTATTTTCAGCAGTTAATATTTCTGCCATTATGCTCATTGAATGTCTATTATCTTGAATTGAAACTCCAATTATTCGAGAAGCTAAAAATCAATATTTTCTATAAAGCGAACAGTTAGTTTGAAAGTGTGATTGAAGTCAACCAAACGTGTGAGAAGAACCTTATATAAATCATCTGGAAGCAAGAATAAAACATTTCCATCTCAATGGACGCTTATCAAGTTATCATTCTAAGGACTTTCCAGCTCACAATGGGAGACATGGCGATATGAGGTTCACACAAGCACATAAAATGCATTTAGTTTGAATATACTGAATGGCTGTCTGGGCTATTATCCTTACTGGTTTATAAAGACATTTATTGTTACAATAATAATAAGAATAAAGACATTTAGAAATGTTTTGTTGGATGGATTTCTGGCGATCTATTTGAGTTTAATTCTGCGTGCATTTTGAAAACAGGAATGACGTAATGTGAAATAGTTTTATTGTCATAAAGGGGCAAGCTTTATCTCCTAGGTCTCGTCGCATCTGTTTTGTGTTTTCACTTATCCCTTTTATCTGTTTTTTTTTAAAGGAATACTTTAGAGTCTTTCGACTATTTCTAATTCATCAAAGGCAGTTAATATTCAACTTGAATGTGTATTCAAGTTCAACCATGGATCCAGCTCTGGGGCAACCACCTGTTGTCGGGGTATTTTGAAAGAGTTATTGTAGCACATGTGTAATGGGATGGGAAACAAAATTCAAAATTGTCTTTTGATAATAAAGTTTAGGACTCTTAAATATGACTGAATAATTAGACTAGTATTCTTAAATGTAAAGAACAATGTTAAGTTATTACTTTATTGGTTTATGTTTTGTTTTATTTTATTTTTTTAAGGCAGTTTATGTTTCATGTTTAATTATATTGTTGCAAGTATTACATGACTTTCAAATAATATAGAAACTTTGAAACACATTTAACTGACATTTGTTAGCCATTGCTCTAAAAGGTGACTATGCTTGTCGTAAAAGGCGACAAACGGGATCAGGTGGTCGTGCTCCCCAACTTGGTTGATGCATGTCATCAATCCCAATCGCGTGGAGCGATGCTCATGATATCAATCACTGGCTTGTCTGGTCCAGACTCAATTTTTTACAGACCACCGTCAAATAGCTGGAATATTACTGAGTGCGGCGTTAAACGACAAACCAACCAACCAATCTAAAACACGATATGAAGTTGGCAGCATATGAAGCCGGGGGTCAAGTTGGCTTGGGTTGGAGTTCAGTTCTTCTCTTGAGTACACGTTGTGGAATTCATTTTCAGTGCTATGAAATTGTTGTAAATATGTTTGACTTAAGTTTTTTTAAGAATTGCTCACAAATGTGTTTGTTTTTCAGGTGTAAAATCACATCTGTAAAATGTGGCTGTGGAAACCGAGATATATTCTGGTGCCACCATGTGGTGGCGCTGTCACTGTATCGGATACGGAAAGCAGACAGTGTCCAACTACGGGTGCCGATATCCGGTAGGTACTGCCATAGAAGGCTGTGTTGACAATAGAGTCTATCTGGCTACACTAACAAGTACACTGATGGTTAAAAATAGGGTGTCATAGGATTTCAGCAGAAGAATTCTTTTTTGTCACTGAAAGTGGTAATAGTGCCCCAGTGTGTCAAACAATGTTTGGTCATCTTCTATGGGAACATATAGGATTCCATCGCAAGCACCTGTTGTCGCACCTCTATGAATCAATATACTGTGATGTTTGTTTGCAGATTGATCAAATAATAGAATTGCTGTCTGTGACAAAACTACAAATCTACAAGCTTGAAGTAGCTTTTAGTATTAGTTTAAGTATATTTTGTGTTATATGTTCATCTTAAACCAAACTGAATTGTACTTGACTCAGGCTTTGGACAAGTGGATCAATTTGCAGACTGTTACATGATGTTTATAAGCTGAGTTTGCTAATTAAACTGAACTTGACTTGACTCTGGCTTCAGGCAAGTGGCTAAAGTTGCAGACTGGTGTTGTTGTTACTGTCTATTAAAACGTGAAAAAATCCTTGGGGTCATTCTAGATATTTGCTGATGTGAGAATATAGGATAGAATTCTGCTTCCATATAGCAACATCAGGTTAACAAGCATTCACTGTGTTTAGAAAGCTTCTTACAAAATACGACCATTGTATTGTCTTTGTCAACGATGGGGGTTCCTTAAAACAGTACAAACTGATCCAAACGAGCCAAAATATTAAGTTTTTAGTTTTGTATAAGTTTTTTTATAGTGTCAGAGTTATGGATATGGTATCAAATTTTCCTTCAAGTTCAAAAGTATACATTAAGATTTCCTTGCATGATATGTTAACAGGAATTTGTTGTTTTCGTGTCTTGTACGTATAGACAAGTAGTGCACCCTGACTAGACGGTGTCTGCAAAGATTTTAATGTCAACAAATAAATATGTTTGATTGCATTATCAGTGGATTTATTTGCATAACAAGTAATGTTTTCCTTACTGCTCATTATAGATAATACATTTTCAAGTAAACATTGTTGTTTGTTAAAGACTGATGTATGTTGTTGATACTGCAGGATGGTGTTAAATGTTCCTCTCAGTAAAGAAGCTGATGAGCAAATATATTTTTTAAGAAATTGATTGTCACGTAGTTTGTGATAAATGTGTTTTGCATGACAAAAATAGAAATTCTGAAAAGAATTTGTCTCACTTAAGTTAATCTTAAAAACAAATATTTTGGACATCCATTAAACAAAGTTGAAAAAAGGAAATGGTTATCAATTTCATGATAATATTATGCTGTATTATATTTCATATACTGATCTTCCAATATTTGAAATAATATTGTTACATTACTTCAGTATTTTCTTTATTAGTGGTTGCAGATTGAAATGGACTTTACGAACAAATTCAAACGCTTTTTTACCAAGAAAACATCTGAAAAAAACCTCCAGAAATATTTTGGAAAATTAATGTCAAAGCTGAAAAACATTTCATTTGAGATCCTAGGCAATCAAAATATCTGGATGAGTGGGTATTAATGCATGTGTCAGTTGTATAGCATTATCATGCCAACAACAAATTATTTTTTGGTTCTTAGGTTCAGTAAACCATAAATTCAACGATGACAGCCATTTTGAAAATTAAGGATAATGATACTAACTGCAAATTTTTTCATTGCTCTGTGACGTTGTAAGACGATAAGGGCAGAATATTGTGACAATTAAGCTGTGAAGTTTCATAGAATTAAAATGGTTACTCTCTTTAAACTATATCAAATAAAAGATGTTGGCTTAAACTTTAGGTTCCTGTTTGTTATGGTGGCGTCTGTTTTTATGTTGGATGCTCATAAATATTTATCTTTGAAAATTCATTATGGAGCTCTTACACTTGAACTAATTTAAACTGAATGTAGCTTTATGGTTGTCCTCTGAAGGAGGGTTTCAAATTAATCCACTTGGAACTAATGGATGAGCTTCACATTACAGATGAATTTCCACCATAGCTTCACTGAGCACAGTAAAGGCTAAGATAGAGGGGGCCATGTTGTTTTGTACCTAGCTCGTCACCTAGGTGCAAATCCGTTTTTTTTAGTTCGTGTTCTCTGAATTATATCTATGATTGCTTAGCTTTTGTTATGGGGTAGTTTGTAGGTATTTTTAGACATGATAATATTGATAGGTTTTAAATTCTGTTTCCATGCATTATTGGTGATTCAGATACAAGCCCATAAAATGTATTTAAAGTTGAAGTAGTTTATCATTTATCAATTTTTGTTGATGCTTGGCTGCACCTGTTTATTGGGAAATACAAAAGAATTGTACTGAGAGTCTTTTGGTTAAAGGACATTGGTTGTGTAACAATCGGACATTAGGTTGGTTTAATAGTGTCAATTACAAGGTTCAATTTACTAAAAAAGTTTTGGTTACAAAACTCTAAGATGGTTTCTTCCAGGAGTATCCTTGACCTGGTTGATGCATGTCATCGTATCCCAATCGCGTAGATTGATGCTCATGATGTCAATCACTGGATTGTTTGGTCCAGATTTGATTATTTACAGACTACCATCATATCTTGAATATTGCTGAGTATGATGTTAAGCAACAAACAAACAAACAAACCTCTATAGCAGTAACTCTGATTGTTTGTCTAATCATGCTAATAGTGATTGTATGCTACCTAACTTTTGATAGGGATAATCAGATATGTCCGATGTAAATATACACTTGACTTCTGAGAATCATTTTTGTGTATCATGGAAAGATGAAAATTATCCCCATCAAAAGTTGAGTATCATTGTTTGAATTAATTTTACAAAGTCTTGTGCATCTTCATCAGTTGGAGTCAGTATGAACGGTCGGACATGTAGGTCCCTGGCCAAATAATTAGATACATGCTTAATCCTGCCCTCACTATTTTGAGTTGTTTATTCTGAATTGTGAAAACCTAGAAATAGATTAAGGTCACATTGAGTTCACTTCACAAGAACATTTGAATATCTTCATGATTCAGAATGACAAGAAGAGCTGTTGTGGTCTCATTAATATATCGTATAACATGTATCCATCTGATATTGATATGATTAAGGTTTAAAATTATATGAATTCTTTTCCAAAATGTTGAAACTGCTTTCATCTTAGAGTACAGGGTATTCTTGGGTCAGGGGACTATAGTATGGTGTTTCTTCATGTGGTTTTGCTGTTATTTCCCCATTAGTCAGTGTCTTGCTGTCTGTGTGTTTAATCAGAAGGACTCATTAGCCAAATGGTTCAAGTTACAGACTTAATAACAGGGTTGAAATGTCGGTGCTAATAGCCAGTCTATCTCAGAGTGCCCCTGCACAGCTGATTGAAAATTTGATGCTTCGGTCTATTCCATCATTTGCATTAGTATTGTCCTTTGATCAACCACAAAAATGTTTGCTTAAATTACTATGGCCGGAGCTTGTCTTTATGTGATGTTTTAGTCTCTCTACTAAAAATACTTTATCAATAGTTTTGTTTGAACCCTTTTTAAGAGACTGAAATAAGTACTGTTTTGATTGACAGGTGTTTTCTAAATATAAACCTGATTCCTATGGCATTTGGTTCACTTTGATATTCTTTCTTAGCTGATTATCATCAGCCTGTTCCAAGCTAAAGTTTTGTTTTTTGCCCTATGCATTATGACACACTGGTTTGGAAAATTTGTAAAACAAACAAAAGATATTGGTCTGGTCAAGATACAAGATTTGATGGTTAGATCTTGTAGTTGCTGCTATACCCATTATCTCAGATGTCAGTATTGCTATATGTCAGTTATATGTCATCAACGATAGTAATATGACTGTTAATACTATTGCTTGGCTTGAATTATGATAACCCTTGTGGGGATTTAGAACAGGAGTTAGAACAGATCTCCAGCAACCTGTGCTGGTTGTAGGAGGCAACTTGAGAGTCCCGAGACTAGGATGATTGCATGTCATCGGATGCCAGTGGCGTAGATTGTTGCTAATAATATCATAAATTATTGGATTGTCTGGTCCAGAGTCGATTATTTACAGGCTGCTGCATAGAACCTGAATATTGCTAAGTGCAGCGTTAAACAACAAACCAAAAAGAATTATGATAGTTTTGATACTGCTGTTGGTAATGGTGACTTTTGGGGTGCAGTGGCATGAGTGACTTCCTGTACCATCGACTGAAAAGTGTGCAGCATGACATACAGTATTCGTATGTTTACCATATATTGCCGTCCTTAATGCGACCCCCCTATAAGGCAACTCCCTTGTACCCACCTTCAAAATCAACCCTAAATCATATACCCCGTCTATAAAGCGACCTGGAATGAAGCACATCACCAGCACGCACACAAACCTTATATTTGCAATAAAAACATATTTATTCTGAGTTGTTTTTTTCTACAATATGTCGAGAGTGTACTACAAAGTACCAGTTGGTAATCTATTATGTGAAATGTTTCTCAACACTGTTCAGTGTCTAATCATTTCAGCTTAACTATTAATAGTATCTATGGGACAGTGGGGTAGGCAAGTGGTTATGGTGTTTTCTTTTCATGCTTAACCCCAGGTTCTATTCCCACATGGGTAATGTGTGAAGCCCATTTCTTCTGATGTTACTTGGATATTGCTAAAAGCGCCTTAAACCCATCTCACTCACTCACTCATATTCTGTGTGCCATCTATTACAGAAACACTTCTACAGATGAGTCGGGAACAGCTGCAGAAATTTGCCCAGTATTTAATCGCAGAACATCATACAGATGTTCTACCCACAGCCCAGAGAATAGCAGATGAAATCTTGCAGGCAATGTCCGAAATCAACATGCTTCCAGGTAAGTCATTGATCACAGCGTCGATTGCAGAAACTAACAAGTGTGTTAATATTCATTGAGTGCAAATGTCTTGTAGGGATTTGCTTTGTGAAATTTATGTGATGTGACAGGTCCATTTGTTGTTCTGAGGCTCAACAAAGGAGTTTGAATTTAGATTTGTCTTGAGAGCTGTGTTGACAGGTATTGATAATTCTTGTAGGAAAATTGATGTGTCTGCTGTGATGGCCAAACTCCATTCCTCACTGGTATTGATTAATCCTAGCATTGTCTCCATGTAGAATAATTCACATTTCATAAATGATCAAACATTTTTCACATGATTTTTCACTGTATGAATATCAATTTATTATGAAATTATATACGGAAACATGTGTTATCACATTTGTGGAAATAAAAAGAGTTCAGAGATAATGATTCTCTATTCTATTACATATGTGAAAATATTATTGTTAATTATGCATTCTGTTGCATACATTAGCAATGGTAAATGTGATAATTTAGAAAAATGAACATATTTTACAATAATAATTGCCTGCAATTCAATACCAAAGCCTTTGAAGAATATTTTTATTGTTAATGTCTGTTTCATAATCACTAACTACTGGTGTGGTATATTTTAATGGAGATAAGCAAACTTTAGTGAAATATAAATATAAAAATGTCAATGCCTGAGAATAACCAGTCTATTATCAGACCAAACAGATTCCATTGAGTTTTAAAACGCAAAATAACGATGAAAATTATGTGAATGTATCACGGGTGTTTTGCGAAAATCCAGATTTACAAATATGGCTGTAGCGTTGATGATTTCAGCACAAGCACTCACCCTACCTGAACTCATTGAAGTGTTGTTTAGTCCTGGACTGCACTTTCACTCATTGTTTGAGTTGTTGTGGAACTCGTATAGAATAATGTGGCGGTGTTGCAGGTGCCCCGGACCCTACAGCAGGCGCATCTATTGATGATGACAACAGTTGGCATTTGGATGAAGAACAGGTTCGGGAACAAGTTCGCACATTCCTCTCTCAGGGTGGATACCTCAACTCTTCCAATCAACTTAACTCCATGTTTGCCAAGGTAGGTAACTCTTCCAATCAACTTAACTCCATGTTTGCCAAGGTAGGTCACTCTTCCAATCAACGTAACTCCCTGTTTGCCAAGTAAGGTAACTCTGCCAATAAAAACTAGCCTCCATGATGCCAAGGTAGGTCACTCTTCCAATCAAAACTAGACTCCATGTTTGTTTGGTTCTGTAACTCAGACAATCAGATCACTTCTTTGAGAACCATTGATCAGTTATGTTAAATTGCTTGAAACCTATCATTGAAGTAGTATATACGGGTGGGGTACGAAATGTATAGAGGTCAATATCACATATCCAGTCAGACAAATATTATCCCTTTGAGATATGTTTTTTGACTTTTGAAATCATATCCCTTTCCACTTTGCAGGTGAGAGAGATGTTGCGAGCCCGAGACTCTAATGGCGCTCGAATGTTGACGCTGATCACAGAGCAGTTCCTGGCTGATCCTCGGCTGACTGTCTGGAAGACCCAAGGGACACCCATGACTGACAACTGCCGACAACTCTGGGATGAGCTGGGTAAGGATATACCCGTACACTGAAACTGTGCCAGGTTAATCTGGAAACCCTCCTTATGGTGATATTCTTTGCTGGATTTGTTTTCTTTGATGTTTAATGCCACACTCGGAAATATTCCCGCTTATCCAGTGATTGACATCATAAGCATTGATTTACGAAATTAATCATGTCAGTGAGTCTGGCCACCCAATCCCGTTAGTCACCTCTTACGACAAGCATGGGTTGCTGAAGACCAGTTCTAACCTGGATCTTCCCGGGGCCACTTGCTACTGGAGATGGGTACATGTGTACCCATGGAGCTACCCCAGGACTCAACCCGTGAAGATTCCAGGGTAGAATAGGTCTTCAGCAACCCATGCTTGCCGTAAAAGGGGGCTATGCTTGTCGTAAAAGGCGACTAACGGGATCGGCTGGTCAGGCTCGCTGACTTGGTTGATGCATGTCATCGTATCCCAATTGCGTGGATCGATGCTCATGATATTAATCACTGGATTGTCTGGTCCAGACTCGATTATTTACAGACCGCCATCATATAGCTGGAATATTGCTGACTGCGGCGTTAAACAACAAACCAACCAACCAACCAACCAACCAACCCCAGGACTCATTCATAAGACTGTTTGAAAATCCACATGATTTCCCTGGCGACTGTACAGTCCTTATTAACAGTGCTTGCTGTAATGTGATCAACCTTGTCTCAATTTGTACAAACACTGTGGAATAATCTTCTTAGATTAGGTAAATTGCATGTTGTAATTTTTTAAATTCATAGCAAGGAAATATTTTGAGAAAAGGATACTTTAGTTTTTTTACTATAACGGAAACTTATTTCAGGTGCATTATGGGTGTGTGTGGTGCTAAATCCAAGCTGCTCTCCGCTTGAGAAGGAACAGTGGCGTGCCCTCCTGGACCAGTGGATCGGGAACTCTCTGTGCCCCCTTGAGGATGCAGATGGGGGTCGGCAAATACCTGATGTCCCCCTCACCCGGGATCTGTTAGCTGGAGGCACGAACAGTATGTAGTCACATTATGTCTTACCTTTATGAAGGATTTTGTTATGGATTTAGAACAAATGTTACTTGTTACCTTTGATATTTGAATGCCAACTATGAAATATCAGTATGGAGGTCAATTTGTTATCCTTGCCTATGTAACCTCTGGGATGTGCGGTTGATTTATGTATCGAAGGTTCGGTCGGGTAGCCTAGTGGTTAAAGTGTTCACTCGTCACGCCGTAGACCCGGGTTCGAATCCAGACATGGTTACAATGTGTGAAGCCCATTTCTGGTGTCCCCCTCCCTGATATTGCTGGAATATTGCTAAAAGCGGTGTAACTCACTCTCACTTCATGTATTGATAATTGTGTGTCCATGTACAAGACTATAGGATGATGTAGCAGTTTGTTTTTATGTGTGTGTTTTGTCTCCAGATACACCCCCTCAGACCCGGCCACGCCCCCGGACAGTGTTCCAGCATGCCCAGGAAGCGAGCCAGCTGACGTGGGAAGACCGACACCTACAACTGATTGTCCACCAGGACAATTTCCACAGTCGTGATGCATGGAACTCCAAACTCTTCGACTCCCGGGGACTTCCTCTCTGGCATGGTGAGTACTCAGTGTCAGCCATCATTGGAAAACAAGAGTTGAAACAGTCAGTTTAGAAGTACCTGTCTTTGTTCTCAGTCAGCAATACGACACTAGTAATATGTCCCTGCATGGTAGCATTTTGTTTCTGAGAGAACAAGTAATAAGTTACAAAGGTTAGTGTCCAAACTAGGCCTCTTTTCCTGACCTATTTATAAAGAGGCATCACCTGAGAACCACGTGTTTTGGGGTTTGTTTGAAAGTTGACATATAGTATTTTTCATATGACTATAGTAAGTCGGTCATATCATGTGTTCTTTAATTTGTTTTGAGTAGTATATTATAACTTCTGCTCAATGTAGGGTTGACTCTTTGCATGAATGAACAACAGTCGTCAGCAATTGAAACATACAGCTTCTCAGTCAGGTCAACTTCCTGAAAATTATATGTAAGTAATGTTCATATGTCGATTTGACAGTAATATGTTTGTTTTAATTGCAGAGCATATACCTACAGCTTGTGCCAGAGTGGATGCCCTGCGTTCCCATGGTTACATTAAAGAAGCTTTGCGATTGGCTGTTTCTATTGTAAGAACAATGAAGTTAGAACAGAAGAGAAATCAAGAACGATACAGAGACTTGCAGAGAGATATAGGTATGTGTCAAGACGATTCACTTGATGCTACAGAAACTGTATCAAGTTTACCTGAATAAATAACAGATATAATCTTTGTAAAATAGTTTCAGAAGATATTTTAAAGTGACTGTCAAGTATGTGTACTTAATGGCATTATCTTCATCAATATTTTCAAGTCATGCTTCTGGTTATATAATAATTGTAAATGGTTTTTTTGCAGTGTCAGCCAATCCTTGTATGTCAACATGTGGGTCAAGGTCACAACCACCTGTCAATCAAACTGGTCTGATTGGTCACCCCCTGAACCCCATCTCTGTCCTGTTTGAAACCCTGCTGGAGGCATGTCTGGGGCCCGATGAACATCATGGAAGTGGTGAGAATGATGACGATTACTTTGAATGGCATTTGGGGCGGTCGGGTAGCCCTAGTGGTTAAAGCGTTCACTTATGACGCCGAGTTTGATTCCAGACATGGGTACAGTGTGTGAAGCCCATTTCTGGTAACCCCTGTCATGATATTGCTGGAATATTGTTAAAAGCGACATAAAACCATACTCACTCACTCACTCACTCAAATTGCATTTAGAAGTGATGCACATTAGGAAGAGAATTCATGGATGTTAACTTCCTTATAATAAAGAAGTTGACATCCATAAGTTCTCTTCCTTTTGATGATTACTGTTTAATAATCATAAAAATAATTTAATCATTTTTATGTTCATTAACAATCCTTTCTAATGACCCAGGGAAGTGATATTGTATGTTACTGCTTATATGAATGACAAACTTATATTACTATCTTAATTTGTCGTAGTCTGAATCCTGCATGTTGTAAAATGATTCTGGCCTAGTAATTGTATATCCGCTAAACTAATTCATAAACGCAGACTAACATATACTGGAAATATTGTGTGTGTCTAGGTTGAGTATTGAGTTATTCATGCATTCTTCTTTATACTGCCTTAATATAGATCCATATTTCATCATAGATAGTTGTCATTTTACATGATGCTTAAGAATTTCATGGCCACATCTAGCTTGATGAAATATGTATCACATTAAGCTTGATATCATTTATTTTGGATACTGGGGAAGGTCAAGATAGAAATGAGTTGAAGTTGAAGGGACCTACGTAAATACTTCGAGTGTCAGAGGTTCGACACAACTGAAAAATTATCATTAATGAACTAGTACACAGGGACCAGGCTTTTACTTCGAGACAACAGTAAGTCCGACACGACGATGTTTGACTGTGTTTCATATGGAATGTTGTTTTACGCAGGGTCATCATCTTCAAGTTCAAGTTCCCGTAACAACAACAACAGTTCCAGCAACAACCATTCCTCATCTTCATCATCATCAACGTCATCTTCATCGTCGTCATCCTCACAGCGCTACACACACTTTGCTGAAGGATTGGTATCCGGGGAAACCTACCTCACTCTAGCCATAGAAGTGGCTCTCATAGGTATGGTTATTGCCAACTGTTTACTATCGTCTTGGTAACCATTATTGCCCTGTAGTATATTGCCTGTTTACTATCGTCTCGGTAACCATTATTGCCCTGTAGTATATTGCCTGTTTACTATCATCTCGGTAACCATTATTGCCCTGTAGTATATTGCCTGTTTACTTTCATGTGCACCGTGTTGCTTTGATGTTGCTGGAATCTTGCTAAAAGCGGCGTAAAACCATACTCACTCACACACTCCCTCCAACATTGATATATCATGGGAAATCCTTTCCCACGTTTTGGACTATGTTTCTGCAAATGCTAGTACATATGAATTGTTATTCTCAGTTTTAACATCACCAAAGCTGCTGACAGTTGTACAGTGTATAATTTTTGTGTGTAGGTCTCGGGCAGCAGAGGATCATGCCGTCGGGGCTGTACGCTCAGGAGAAGGCGTGTAAACAGGAGGAGAGATTGCTGTCCATGCTACACAACATTCCCTCGGACCCGGTGATCATTGGCGTCATGAAGAGCCAGGCCACGCTGCTGTTGGAAGGTAGGTGTTTACTTGTTAATAGAAGGCTTTGGTTCATGAATACAATAATATCAAATCCTGCAGAAATATTACGACCATTACATCCTGCTCATGGAAGCTGTTTTCTTCAGTTTTATTATATCGAAGTTTACACTCCACAGATTATGTGTTTACTCACTAAAGATTCAGTGTCTGTGTGTATTCTAGCCTTTGATATTTTAATTTGGCCAGGGTGCCATTGTACAAAACAACCTTAGAGCTAAGACTGTCATAAGTCTATGTTAATGTATGCGAGTTACGATCACCTTAGCGCTAAGATTGCTTTGTACAATGGCACCCAGGTTTGTCCATGGTTATGACACTGCTGCAATGTACTGAACTCACTTGCTTACTCAGGAAATAGAACCAGTTCAGTGAGAGGCAGACCTATGAATACTTTAATATTGTTGAGCACTATTTAATGCAAGCATGACTATTTATCTTTCAGGGGGTCCCAGTAGTGGTTTGGGAGTTGGCATCCATCCGGAGAGCTACCCCATGCACACATTTGCTCGCTACCTCTTCAACTGTTTGCTTCCTGTTGATGTCGACCTCGCCTATATGATCGGCATGAGGGCAATGAGGTAGGCATCTTCCCATCACCAGTCACTGCCCTTAGACAAGGCTACTGATCCGATTTTATCTATGAAATACAATCAGCCTTGCTCTTATGGCATTAATTGTTGTGTCAATAACGTATTCCAACGTGAAGAAAAAATCAATAAATTTCTGTCACAGGATTTGTAAGAATATTATTGTCATAAAGTTTTGAATGAAGTTTGGAAACCGTGTTCAATAGCACCAAACGTGTGCCATGGAGAAGAAGGGGAAAGAATGTGATTATGGAAACTCTGGACCATTTACTGGAAATTGTATAAATTGTGCGTAAATCAATGTTGTCCTGCGCAGTGATAAGATGTGTTAGCTGCCTGGCAGGAGATGTAATACAATTCCTTCACTAACACATTGTGTGCTGTCATGATATTAATAATCAATATTTGACTTCAGACTACCGGTGCTGGAGAATACAGATGAAGTGAACCTTGACAATGGCATCAACAATGTTGGGTCGGCCATCTTGAGTCGCTTCCCGCGGTGGTTCATCTTGAGTCACGTGGAGGCACAGCAGTGTGACCTGGCTTCTACGCTACTTGCTGCCTCGAAAAGTTAGTACTGAGTGATCATTTGCCCATCTTTCTCCAGAATAAAACATTGCACTAGATCAATAATGTGATTAATTTGGCAGACGTCAGTTCTTATCAGTGAATAATTTGTAAAGGATTGTGGCAAATAGAGGAAATCTGCTTGATTCCCTGTGAAGCTAGTTTGGATGATGCATTTGGGAACAATGTCTGTGTTTGGGAAATGATCAATATGCTTGTATGAGGACGAGGTTGATTTGGTTATATTACTTTTCAATTTTATTTTGTGTTCGATCTAAGTGTGTTTATGAATAATTTATTAATGATGGGTTAGTGAAATACTGGCCCAGTTGAACACACAGTAAGTAAAAATGATTTCAGAAAACCTGAATGACAGCACCAGACCATATTGATGAGTGTGTTTGTCGGACAAGTTGCTGTGAGTGTCCGCACCCCTTGTATGTTTCTGTAGCCGTGGGTTATGTTATGTTGCAGGTGACACCGGTCGACTGCGCCGAGTGCTGGAGTGCGCCCAGCAGCACATACACAGCTCCTCCCAGCTGTACAAGCTGGCGCAGGATGCCTTCAAGATTGCCACCACCCCAGACGGCTCCAAACACATGCCTGCTCTCAATGCCGCATTTGAACTAGGTCTTCAGGTAGGAGAATTGCTGCCATTTGCTTTTGAATTGCCTGAAACTGAAACTGAAACTGAACCAAATTTTAATTCAACTAGTGACTGTAATTATGGTTTTAACATATCATTAGTGGTTTTCATCTTGGGTTATGAACATCTTGGGTTTTAGTACAGAAACTGTGTATTGAAGACCATACCTGTTTTTCAAAATTAACATGGAAGTCAGTGGATTCTTGCCATAACCATCATATTAAATTAATAACAGGGATCCCCACATTCAGTTATATACTATGTAGCAGTAATTATCAATGATGGACCTCCCTTAATTTCTAACACTTGCAACGTATATCTTGATCACTGCTTGCCTGTGGCAAGGGAGGTAACTCAACATCAAGTAAATGAACATGTTTTGTGATGACTTCCCTTAAAATTATTCCCTGTGCCATGTTTGCAGACATGTTACTTGCATCCTTCCATGTCTGTGTAGGTTATGAGAATGACATTGATGACTCTGAATTGGCGACGTCGGGAAATGGTGCGGTGGTTGGTGACGTGTGCAACAGAGGTTGGAGTTCAGGCGCTCATCTCTATCATGCAAAACTGGTTCCAGTTGTTTGCACCCATCGAGGCAACAAGTAAGTTTCGCTCATTGATCCTCATCAGTGTCTCCATCTTGTTTATGGAACCGGGAGGCTTCCTCATGCATGGGGTAAACGACAGTTGCTTGACTGCTGAAGACATTTTGATCACTCTTAACTTTCTTTTACCAAGATTTTTATGTTGGTGCAATTTATTTTATTCTTTAGTTGTTGTTTTTTAAAGAGCTATTTACTTCTAATTTAGTACTCAAGGTAATTAACTTTACATTTTAAGTAATACTGAGCATTGATTTTTACACTGACCATGCTGAAAACTGAATTGTGAAGCAGATAGACTGCTTGAACTGAGGAAGGGAAAGGAAAAGGGCTGGGACGAGTCCAAATTTACTACCTGGGAACCCGACACCCTATATATTGGCGGTCGGGTAGCCTAGTGGTTAAAGCGTTCGCTCGTCACGCCAAAGACCCGTGTTCGATTCCCGACATGGGTACAATGTGTGAAGCCCATTTCTGGTGTCCCCCGCCATGATATTGCTGGAATATTGCTAAAAGCAGCGTAAAACCATACTCACTCACTCCCCGACACCCTATTAGCCGACCCTACCCAGGTACCCACTGTAGGTCTCAAGAGTTGGGAACAAAATGTACCGAAGCCCTGGCAAAAACTATTTAGATACATGTATCAAACGATCAGATCATGGTACACTGATGTTGACTGAAGCGTTATCATTACCCAAACATATACAAGTCAAAAGGAATGTTGGCATCATCAGAAAGAAATGCAAACATTAGCGATTTGTAGTGTAACCACTGAGCTACAGTGAGTTTTTAGTCATTAAACAATATATCACGTGAGTAACCACGGGTCCAGATAGTACTGTGGGTTATCGGGTCCTACTCAGGAACCACCCAATCTGAGTACCCGAGTTACCCATTTTAGCCCTAGAAGGAAAGGGTAGTTACCACTACAAGGGTTGAACACTTACCTCTAAATCAGGGACGAATTTTGTTGATGTGATGCATTTCTACTGAACACAGCAGTAAACATTAATTAACATATTTCTTTGTGAACTTCATTTAGTATGGCTGTATTCCTCACTAACTGTGATTATTGCTGTTACAGGTACTGTGGCTACGACAGTGGTGTCCCGAGCAACGATGGACCAGCTGAAGTTAACGTACCCCCAACACGAGGAGCTGGCTCGATGTGCCCGCAGCCTCGCACTCCAGTGTGCCACCAAAGATCCCCAGAACTGTGCATTGTGTGCCCTAACTCTGTGTGAGAAGGATCCTGTAGCATTCGAGACAGCGTATCAGATCGTCATCGACGCTGCAGCTCATGTGATGAATTCCAGTCAGTTATTTACTATCGCTCGCTATATGGAGCATCGTGCCTACCCCCACCGAGCATATAGACTGGCGCTCCTTGCCATGAAAAATCTCCACCTAGCTTACAATCAAGACACCCACCCAGCCATCAATGACATTCACTGGGCATGCTTGCTCAGTCACTCGCTGGGGAAAACGGAACTGGCCAACATGATCCCGTTACTCGTAGAAAATGTGCAGTGTGCTGCTGTACTGTCAGACATTTTGCGTCGGTGTACATTAACGGCGCCGGGTATGGCAAGTGCGGACGGTAAAAGACGAGCAATTAAATTGCTGTCGTATGAAAAGCTACCCCTCAGACAACTTATGGAAGCGACCATATACGCATACATCCAAACGACTCATTCCAAACTGACCCATATTAGTCCCCGACACTACGGAGACTTCATTGAGTTTCTCAGCAAGGCTAGGGAAACATTCATCTTAGCTCAAGACGGACATATACAGTTTGCTCAACTCATTGAGAACATGAAACTGGTGTATAAAGGCAAAAAGAAGCTTATGTATTTAATAAAGGAACGATTTGGATTATGAGTGAGCAATTGTGCGACAGCATTATTCACGGGACCACTTTTAAGTTATCATTCTTCATCAGTGCTATGGACTTCTTTTCTTCATCTCAATGGTGCCACACCCATCTGTCTGTGACCCTGGGAAACGCAAACATGGCTGGACAAGCAACTATCGTCACCCAGTATTTCCAGATAGGCTCATAACTCACACAGTTGTTGATTTCTCTCCTTTTGTTTATATGTCAATATACATATTGTTTTTGAATACTTGTAGAATATGATTTGTCAGTAGTTTACACACTGAGGATGTAGTTTGTCATGCCAAACTGACTTCTTTTTTCTAGTTTTCCAAGCCATAATGCGTTGTCTCACTTGATCATTGGACCAGCAATATATATATCGAGTTGAAACTCAGGAATGCAATATATATGGTAACCAAAGGCTATCAGCACGTTTCCCATGTCTGTATTTTGTATGACATATTTTTTATGGAATGATTGAGAAAACACTAAATGCATGTTTTGAGATTTTACACATAGGATTTGTAATGAATACAGCTCAAAGTGTTGGACAGTGTCCAGGAATGTATAGAAATGATACAAATAGTGTTGTGTTGACCTGATACAGTGTCAAGGTCACCTGTAGGTCAGAGGTCACATGCTAAGGTCACCAGCTTGGCTGGTCAGAGTCACCTCTGACCTTGACTCTGACCGCATGACCAAGATGTCAGCAAGTCGTGAAGGAATGTTCATTGATGTAGGTTAACAACTGACCTGAGGTCATATGAATATTCGTAATCAGTCAGGTTATAGATTTCCCACAATGCAATAGGTGTCATGCTATGTGCATCTACAGGGTTCAGCATGTGATCAAGGAATTGATATTTGGAAAAACTATAAATAAACAAACTTTGGAATATTAGGATCTTGTATAAGATCAACCAATTTTGGATTTCTCTGAACAAAAACAAGTAATTAAAGCCATTATTAAAAATGTGTTGGGGCTTGACACATTCTCAGCTGTGGAGCTTTAACATTAGCTTCCAGACTTTCTATGGACTAGTTTGCCACAGTGGTACATGTTTGGTAAAAATGGTCGAAAGAATCCAAATTATTTTCAAAGATCCTTTTGAAAAAATTGAGTTCGTACGGGAAATACTACAAACAATATGTTGAATGTATTGTTCCATTCATTAACAGTTGTATGCAAACACTGTTAGCTCTGAGAACACAACACTTGAGTATAACACTGTTTGAGTATTTTAAGGCGGAACTGTCACAGTAAAAGATGTGAGAAGTTTACAAGTTTTCACATGCTGTGAGGACAGGGTAATACGATTTTAAGATAAGTTTGAAATAAACTTTTAATTTAGTTGATATATTCTAAATCTGTTTTTGCAGTATTTTCTTGATTTGGGAAAATGTATTGTTATTGTACTTGTTACGTTATGCCTGTTTGTGGAATATTATTATTGGTTACATTTTCCATTTATGTGTTTTAATTTGGAACAAAAGGATTAGCGGAGTATTGTTTGAGCATACATGTATTTCATGTCAGGAGAAAAAGATGTTCCAATGGGATTTTTAATTTCCTTTCTGGGGTGTTATTTTTTTTGGAATTGGCTACCTCTGTGTATTGTTGTTCCTGGCACTCTATTATTCTTTCAGAGTCTCAGTCATGCAGTTTTAATGTGTTTTGTCAGCGTATTCATTCAGTTGAATTCACATACAAAGAAAATGGAAACAACTTGAGCTGTAGGTATTGTTCTGTGACCAAGTTGTTAAAATTCTGATTTTTTTTTTTTATTTGATGGAAATCAGGATTCATAAAATATGGATCTCAGGGACTGAAACCCATTTTTTTCAAGCCCTAAGTTTGTATTTTCAAACTGTTTCTAAGCATATATACCCATTGCCATTGTAGAGTTATTTACTCTCAGTAATAACCTAAGTAAGTTATTAATGAGTCCTGCACCTTGAACATTGTGTGACATATTACCTGTACAAAGAACCATGATATCTGTTGTCTGTCTTGACATTTGTGTTAATGTGATATCATCTTTTCCATGAAAGTTATAATATTAAAAACTGTGTGTTATCTACCTCAAATGTCGACTATCTAAACATGTAGCCAGCATAATTTTCTCACCGCTGATAACCCAACACATGTCGTTTGTGTCCATAAAACTGAAAACAGAAACGTTTTTAGAGACCGTTATTTACAAATTTAAACCTTTACTTCAGCTGTGCAGACAAAGGCTAGAGTTAAATTGGAAATGAATCCCTTTGTATGTATTTAATGACTGTTTTACTGGTTGTTCGTGTATTGATATGCTACTCAACGTTTGAGTAGTTTTAAGACCACACCTTGGACTAAAGATGACTATTTTGGTTCTTTGCAAATGTTGAGAAGTATATAATCGATGTGTTTGTTTGGGCCTACCTCATAAACAGTCATTGTTGGGATATCAGTGGTACAAATCAAACTAAATCTACCTTGAAAGTTTCATCATCAATCATCACCATCATCATCATAATCATCATGAATCAGCCATATTCTCATAACGATGTGCATAGCCTCATTTTGTAGTCTAGTCAGAAACCCTTGTACAAGAATTTTCAATTTCAATATAGATACTGAATTCCTCCTTCCAGTCAAATTTCTTACATTCTTTCAAAGTCTGTTTTCTCCTAAACTTGTTTTTGAAACTCCCCTGCACTCTATCCTCGACACACTACAGAAAGGGCATATACTGCCATCTATATAATGTTGGATTTTTAGCAATCAAAATATTTTATATTTCATGGTACAAAATGTTAGGTAGGTTGTTTTATATTCATCCCAACACCTGCCAAAACATTCTGATTCCGTTAGCTCATAATGTTTTTTTGTTTTTTTTCATTTCTTTGTCATGTATTGCAATAGAAATCATTTGAGTTCCAATTCCAAGAACATTCAGTATTGAATCGCCGTCAGCTGGTGTGGAATTGATGTAAATCCCATGAGCAGTTTGTCACTACAGGAAATTCATTGATTACATTGAGCCTGAAGTATTTTCTTCCCAAATCATAATAACTTTTGTAATACTATACACCGAGCAATATTGCCAAGCTCTCAACAGGGATGTAATGATATGCAGCAGAGCTTAGCATGTGTTATCAATATGTCGATGTGCATAAAGCCTATAGCATCTTGTGACAGATCAGTAAAATGTTTATTCTATATATTTATTTCTATAAGTAATGTATATGTACTATTGTTTTGTATCAGTCATAATTGCAAGATAGATCCCATAACATAAGGAAGTAAAAACATTTCCCCATTTTCTAAATAGGTAGCCCTGAATTTTAATAGTTTTACTATTTTGGACAATTTCCCCTACGGTATTTGAAAACTTCTCCAACACAAGGGAAGAGTAATGTCCCTTACATTTCATAGCGTCATCATAGAAACTTAAATATTATAATAAGTGGCATTCAATTCTATTATGTTATCATATACTATTAAAATAATCTGTCTTAGAATGGATTTATTATGTAATGATTTTGGATTATTTATTCTTTAAATAATAATTAGTCATAATGACCTTTTTATTCCTAGTTGTGTCTGTGTTGCATGTGTAAGACATGACTGCACATACTGAGATGATGGTCACTAACAGTGCTACATCTTGGTTTATACAGTGCTATTGTTGTTTTGAAGGTCAGCATGACACAATCAATCCATGCATGATCATGTCCTTGCCTAGAGACGTTTATCCGACTAATGTACTATCTTTTGTACTGGTATTACAAATAAGCAATTTTTGTTCGAAAAAAAAAAATAAGCAAATTTTATTTTCCATTTTTAGGGTAAGTAGCTTTTTAAATTAAGGCATTTAAAGAACAAGCAAATGTTTTCTTATCATAAATGAAGCCATATTAATTCATTTATTTATTTGAGCACAATTCATATTAAGTTAGATACAGTTGGGATGTTTAAGGATTGTATAATTAGTGTCAAAATAGCCTGCAATCAAAACTTCAAGCCCAGTTTAAGCTTCTACAACACTGCTTAATACCAATGAAAACAGCGTACCAATGTGATGGATGATTGTCCTCTTGTGAACGGGAAGATGAATTGTTGAGATATGTTTTTAAAACAGACTGTGTGTACCCAAGGACCACCCTGATTCGTGGAGGAGTCTGGTGGATGCTATCACTGTTGTTAGACATGGGAGAAGCTTGGGTTTGTTTATCCAGAAAGGTGCATGTATTGTGTTGGTTTGTTTCTGTATTTTGTGCCCATGAGTTGTATACGAGTCGAATGTTAGTCGTCATTGGTCGCTACCATCACTCATTAAAAATAATGAAAACAAAAAGATGTCTATTTATTGAACCCAAAACATGGGTTTTGATAAGTTGTACCTTCATATTATCTTTCATGGTATAATAAAAAGAGTGAGAAATGCATTCTGCTGTTTTCGTTTTCATTCAACTTAGGGTTAGAGAGTTGGGTTCATGTTGGAGAAAGCCACTTACCGTATAACCTTGGTTGGTTGTTTGGTTGGTTGTTTTACGCCACACTCAGCAATATTCCAGCTATATGACGGCGGTCTGTAAATAATCGAGTCTGGACCAGACAATCCAGTGACTGATATCATGAGCGTCGATCCACGCAATTGGGATCAATGACACGCTTCAACCAATTAAGCGAGTTACCGTATAATGCTTTATAGACGACGATATAAGGTATATGCTAAGCATCGCGTTTTACAACTTTGTTGAATATAGGGCATAGTATTGGCAGGACAGGGATCATAATCAGGGTGATCATGGGATTCGAACTCGTGGATCATTGCAACCCACACTTCAGAGTGCCTGATTTTGTTTGTTAAACGCCGCACTCAGCAATATTACAGCTATATGATGGCGGTCTTTAAATAATCGAGACTGGACCAGACAATCAAGTGATTGACATCACGAGCATCGATCTACGCAATTTGGATATGATGACATGCATCAACCAAGTCAGCAAAACTGACCACCCGATCCTGTTAGTTGCCTCTTATGACAAGCATAGGTTGCAGTAGACCTCTTCCACCCCGGATCTTCACGGGTCGATCACTGCCTGAAATGTATTGCAATGTAAGGTGCTCCGTGGTGTGTCACAATAGGGATAAGTTGAGTCGATACAAAGGGATAGAACCAGTCAACACCTGTTCATTGTACCTTGACTGTGGATCATTGCTAATGCTGTCAACAACTGGTATGGCTGGCCAGGGCAAGGACATACAGCCTGGGGATATAGCTGGCAGGGCTGTCGAAAATCAATACCCGACCTGATTGGATAAAATATACATAAGTACAAAACACAGCTTTGAAAAAGTGTTAACATACAATGTAGTCAGTATGACCAATATAACTGATGTCAGTGTGATGTTTACTTCCTTGTTCTGATTATGATCACACTTGAGGACACGCTGTCTGATTGGTTGACTAGAGTACCACATTCAGTGAATAATGCAACATATGCACAACATTTAGGAAATGACCAACGAGCTACAAGAAATTATGGATAATCTGTCCCTAGTGATTGAATGGTGTTAAAGGCCAGGGACTTGCAGCATTCACTCACTAGGGGCAGATAATCCATAATTCTGTGTAGGTTATTTTATACTCATAGACAGAGAAAAAAACATGAATTGTCAACCCTAAAGATTAACTTTACTAAAGGCAGTCTACTGTTCAGATGATGTCCTGTAATCAATTTGTGATGTCATGAACAATGGATGATGTATCATATTTCTTTCAACAATAAACAATAAAGGGGGACAGCTATTAGATGTACAGAGTTGCATCCCTTGGACACACCAGAAACACTTCTGGGTTCGAATCCCGAACCCCTGAGACCTGCATCATTTCGGGCTTTCCTCCCACATTTAGCTGGCACGCTGTGATATAACTGGAATACTGCTTAAAACGGCGTTAAACTCAGTCACTCACTCACTCAACAATAAAACACAGTGATGCCAACTGACCAATCAGCATTGAGAACACTAAAATGCACTTGCCACAGGTCGGTCATCCACGTGTGACGTCACGTCACCAAGACAACAATATTGGCTCACCTTTACCATTTGGAATCGGTGTGCCAAACAGTCACATCAACAGCTCAGACAATTCCTGGGTTGAGACCAATTAGCGGCAGAACATCCATCGATATGCCCAAATTTGCTTCCACGTCACCTTTAGGCACGCCTAACTTGGTGTAGGCAGCTTCTCAGGTTCAGAAGACAAGACTGGGACAGTATACTGTCCACAGATGAGTCCAGGTTTCATCTGGACAGCTCTGATAGTCATGGAAGGGTCTACAGGCATCCAGAAGAATGTTATAGCGGCGTTTGTATTACTCGGTGAGTGAGTGAGTATGGTTTTACACCGCTTTTAGCAATATTCCAACAATACCATGGCAGGGGACACCAGAAATGGGCTTTACACATTGTACCCATGTCGGGAATCGAACCATCTTCAGTATCACAAGCGTAAATTAAACTTTTAACCACTAGGCTACCCGACCGCCCATATTTCAGCTGATGAGCATCAACAAATACAACTTCAATCCTTATGACAGATACATAAATCAAAACAAAACAATCCAATAAACATCAAACTTTAATTATTTAAAGCGAACTATATTAATGCGGAGAGTTGTGACATCGTGACGTCTCTGTTATAACTCCAAATGGACGCTTCACTTCGGCGACCCGACATACACATGATCTGTCTGGCTTCAAAGCCTGCATCAGTCATAGCCTGAATCGATGTCACTCTCAGACAGTGGGCTGCGTACCATTTTGAACACTTTTAATATTTGGAAACATCAGCCATGAAACCTTTGAAACTAGTTTTCTCTAATGATTTACAAGTATACCATGTTTGTGAGAAAAAGACCAAATTCACTCTTATCTGAAAACTTAAATTATGGCATTAGTTTTGGTGGAATGTGCACAATCTAAAAGAAATTGTCATATGATGAGGCCGTCCCTGTGTGACATTATTCATAGACATTGAGGAATTCAGCTTAAGTAGTTCTAAATGTCTCCTCTAGACATAATCACATGACATACAGACGTTCATAGGTTTGAGAATGGAAGTGTCATGGTATGGGGTGACATCACAACTCATGAGAGAACACAACTCATCACTGTTAATGGCGGTTTGAATGACGTACTTTTCCGGGACGACATTGTTTGAGATCGTGTTCCACACTTTGTACAAATGCAGGGAGCCAACATCACATAGCAGCAGGACAAGGCCGGCCCACATGTTCCACACTTTGTACAAATGCAGGGACCCAACGACACATAGCAGCAGGACAAGGCCGGCCCACATGTTCCACACTTTGTACAAATGCAGGGACCCAACGACACATAGCAGCAGGACAAGGCCGGCCCACATGTTCCACACTTTGTACAAATGCAGGGACCCAACGACACATAGCAGCAGGACAAGGCCGGCCCACATGTTCCACACTTTGTACAAATGCAGGGACCCAACGACACATAGCAGCAGGACAAGGCCGGCCCACATGTTCCACACTTTGTACAAATGCAGGGACCCAACGACACATAGCAGCAGGACAAGGCCGGCCGACATGTTGCACATTTTGTACAAATGCAGGGACCCAACGACACATAGCAGCAGGACAAGGCCGGCCGACATGTTGCACATTTTGTACAAATGCAGGGACCCAACGACACATAGCAGCAGGACAAGGCCGGCCGACATGTTGCACATTTTGTACAAATGCAGGGACCCAACGACACATAGCAGCAGGACAAGGCCGGCCCACATGTTCCACACTTTGTACAAATGCAGGGACCCAACGACACATAGCAGCAGGACAAGGCCGGCCCACATGTTCCACACTTTGTACAAATGCAGGGACCCAACGACACATAGCAGCAGGACAAGGCCGGCCCACATGTTCCACACTTTGTACAAATGCAGGGACCCAACGACACATAGCAGCAGGACAAGGCCGGCCGACATGTTGCACATTTTGTACAAATGCAGGGACCCAACGACACATAGCAGCAGGACAAGGCCGGCCGACATGTTGCACATTTTGTACAAATGCAGGGACCCAACGACACATAGCAGCAGGACAAGGCCGGCCGACATGTTGCACATTTTGTACAAATGCAGGGACCCAACGACACATAGCAGCAGGACAAGGCCGGCCCACAAGTTCCACACTTTGTACAAATGCAGGGACCCAACGACACATAGCAGCAGGACAAGGCCAGCCCACATGTTGCACATTTTGTACAAATGCAGGGACCCAACGACACATAGCAGGACAAGGCCGGCCCACAAGTTCCACACTTTGTACAAATGCAGGGACCCAACGACACATAGCAGCAGGACAAGGCCGGCCCTAGCGTTCCACACTTTGTACAAATGCAGGGACCCAATGACACATAGCAGCAGGACAAGGCCGGCCCTAGCGTTCCACACTTTGTACAAATGCAGGGACCCAACGACACATAGCAGCAGGACAAGGCCGGCCCACACGTTCCACACTTTGTAACAGACTTTCAGAGGCAGCATGACATTGCTGTACTGCCATGGAACGAAGCATACGATAGGACCAGAACCAGCCAGTAATGCTAGCTTAGTTCGGCCATTCTTAGGTTGACGTTTGAAACAACATCCTCCAGGCCGCGTCTGTATCAACACAAATGGAGGACACACCCGACCTTGACCTTGTTAAGCGAGTTGCTACACCACCCATCTTTTAGGGCGTGTCCCTCCTCTCCTGGTGTCCCTCCTCTCCTGGTGTCCCTCCTCTCCTGGTGTCAGATATGGGTTTTTGTCAAAGAAACTGTTTTGATAAAACATTGATCAGACGAATGACCAAAATTGCTGAAGTGTCAAAAACAGCTTTCACTCCAATAACAAGTAAGATATAATGGGATCTATGTTTCTAGGCCAACAGGTGTCAGTGAGTGAGTGAGTGAGTGAGTTTGGTTTAACGCCGCTTTTAACAGTATTCCAGTCATATCACAGCGTGTCAGCTTAATGTGGGAGGAAAGCCCCAAGTGATGCAGGTCTCAGACGTTTACCACTTCGGTGAAACCCACGAGCACGGGTATGGTGCCGACAAACCTAGAAACATAATCGGGGCGAACCGGGATTCGAACCCACAATCAAAGGTTTCTGGAGTGGCCAAGGGACGCAACTCTGCACAGCGAATCGCGGCGCCTTAGGCGACTGGTGCTCCCCCACAACAGGTGTGAAAGATATGAGACTACGAGGGTCATGTCTTAATGTCAGATCCCATTGTGGCTCTCAGCTATATGTTTCCTTGTGTTGGAATGAAGGACTAGGTTTAATAATAAAAAGAAACACCATGACATCACTGACATATTTTATTACATGAGATCCACCTCAGTCAACATTACATTCACCATCTTCCATGAAAATTCGCTCAAACACACCACAAAAACAGTAAAACTTCTGTTACCATGGCTACAGTCTCCCGGCTTAAAAGTTCAATCATTTCAAACATGTTTCACAGACAAAGATAGACTACTTGTGATCATCACAGAATGAACAGAAATCTTATCAATGCCTATCATTTATTTCACTGACAAAAGTACACATGATAATGGGGAAATGAAGAGAACTAAAGCAGAAAAAAATATTTATCAAACTTCAAATATAAAGGAACTAAATATTTCAAATCAACTTGTTAACTACTGCAGGGCTTGAGTCTATATAAAACATGCACTAGTGCATTCTGTTATTGAAAAATGCAACCTAATATTTATGTCCAATTTGTGTCAGAGTAACCTTTACATAAGGAGTTTTGAACACACTCCATACCTCTAAGCTATATTTACCATACTGCATCACTAATTGCTGTGTTATGTGTCGTAATTCATGACACATGACACAGTCATCAGTGATCACAAAATTGTACTTATTTCGACTCGCCTATGCATGTTTCAACTTTGATAAATTTATGGGTCCAGGGTGCAACCTGGTTTTGTCTAGTGCAACTAGCTTTTCATGTCAACATGCACCTGGTGCAAGTAAAAACAAGTTCCTTAAATCAAGCCCTGTACTGGTTTCCACTATTGACAAAACATTCAGCACAGTTGCAGTCCATCACACAATGTCACAGTATCCGATCCCGTGTTCGGATGCCGAGAAGGTGGAACACAACCTCCACCTCCTTCAAAGTGTCCCGATGAAACCCGTACCCCCTGGAGACCTGATGTTAGTATGGTGTTTCCCTTGTCCTGATCTTAGTAGTCACAATTTTCCCATATCCTCCTCGGTCCTCGTCATAGTCTGTCCTGTACTCGTCTCTCACCTTAAAAAGAAAAACAGTACATGTTTCACAAATTTCAAGTTTTGTTTTATTTTGTTTTTTTGTTGTTTAACGACGCACTCAGCAATATGACAGCGGTCTGTAAATAATCAAGTCTGGATCATGAGCATCGATCCACACAATTGGGAAACGATGACATGCATCGACCAAGTCAGCAAGCCCGACCACCCGATCCTGTTAGTCGCCCCTTACGACAAGCATAGTCGCCTCTTACGACAAGCATAGTCGCCTCTTACGGCAAGCATGGGCTGCTGAAGACCTTTTCTACCCTGGATCTGCACGGGTCTATGAAGGTGATACTGTGTTATAACCTATCAGGGATGTTCATCATTGTTTTGGACATTACTTGTTTCTTTGTAAATCCTCTAATGAGTCTGAGCAGGTTTTACTTTTTCTTAGTACTCAGTAAAGACCTCATCCTTGGTATGACATTTTACGTTTTCTTTGTAAAACCTGATGGAATGTTGTATGGAGACTACAGCTGCCAAACCAGATACTTTTTAAATTACAATTATGAGACTAAATAACAAACAAAAATTAAAAACACCTTGCAAAAATGTATTTTTTGTGGCAGACAATTTCTTTTTATCAACAGTCAGAAACAATTGTTTTTGCAAGATTTTCTGGGACATTTTTTATCCGATTAATTCGAGGCCCTCCCTCCTAGAATATCAAATACATGTAGTCGGTCCCTAAGCATGATAAGATTTAAATGAGTGAGTCTAGGTTGTTTATCACTGCACTCAGTAATTACAACAGGGGCTTGTAAATAATCCAATCTGGGCTAGGCAAATCAGTGGTTGACAGCAACAAAGACACCAGTTCATACATCTTGACTACCAAATACATATTAGTCGACTACCCACACTCTGGTTCACCAGAACAAGTTTTCTAAATCTCTTCATGGAGTCTTATTCTAACATGAGTTGGAGTTTGTTTGTTTGTCGTTTAACGCAGCACTCAGCAATATTCCAGCTATATGACAGCGGTCTGTAAATAATCAAGTCTGGACCAGACAATCCAGTGATTGACATCATGAGCTTCAATCCACATTTGGGATATGATGACATGCATCAACCAAGTCAGCAAGCCTGACCACCCAATCCCATTAGTCACCTCTTATGACAAGCATAGTCACCTTTTACGGCAAGCATGGGTTGCTGAAGACCTATTCTACCCAGGATCTTCAAGGGTCTTGTGGTCAGTTTAGTATAAGATAAACATGATTCCTTATCATGATCATAATGCCATACATGTTGTTAAACTTGACTTACAAATCTGCCAAAATAATAACTGAAATTGGATTTTCCCTTGATCTAATGACCTGTATTTTTAGGCTAAAAATCCGAAAACAAATGTCTGGCCTTGTGAGTGAGTGAGTGAGTTTGTTTTTACGCCGCTTTTAGCAATATTCCAGCAATATCACGGCGGGGGACACCAGAAATGGGCTTCACACATTGTACCCATGTCGGGATTCGAACCCGGGTCTTCGGCGTGACGAGCGAACGCTTTAACCACTAGGCTACCCGACCGCCCCTCTGGCCTTGTGAGGATTATCATGCTACACATATCATGTTATCACTCAACTCACCTGTCCCCCACTCTTGCCACGCCCATACTGCCTCCCTTCCTTGAAGCCAGCGTCCCAGTCAGTTCGAATAATCCGATCATCTAGACGAGTTCCATTGATATACCTCAGGGCATTCTCTGCATCAATTCTCTCATAATATCTGTGTTTCGATAAGGAAAGTTCCACTCTTCACAAAACAAAAACACAGGAGAATGATCACATTTACAAGTATTCATATATAAAATCATCTGATTCATATCTGGAGGAACATAAATCCAAAATATGACATTTATTACAGCTAAAATGGATAGAATTATCATTAAACCGCCCACATGTTATCACAAATGACAGTCTGAAACTTGATAATGCCCTCATATTTCTTGACGACGGGCCATTATGACACCCGTTGTTAGCTGACATCATAGGGATAGGGAAAGGTGACATCACACTTAATAGTGACGTCATCTGGTTTGATTTATGACATCTATATTTGTAAAAGTGGGTCGTGAAATTCGTGTTGATTGCAGAAAAAAATAAAATTATTTGATAACAAATTCTATCCATTTTAGCCATAATAACAGTAACACTATTTTTCAGGGCATTATCATTTGCAGAAGCCCGAGATCTTACCAACTGCCCTCCTTTGTCGGGCAGTTAATGGAAGACCTTGGGCTTCTGCAAATGATAATGCCCTGAAAAGTAGCGTTACCCTTATATTACCATTGACTGCTAGGGCAGGGACGATACACTAACTGTGCGATCTGATACCTTGTTCACAATCTGAAATGTATCACGAGACTTGCATGTTCTCTTATCTGTGGTGAATAAGCCATGTTTTTCATGGACAGAATGGCCAAATACCTGGAACATTGGCGATAAAGTTGATTTTATAGTACTAACCTACTGAGATACCATGCCGCAGTTTAACATGGATCCTCATCTCAGACACAGTATACAGCCTCTAAGATGACCAGTCCTTGTTTAAGCCCCTTGATGCAGAGCGACAGGCAGGGTAACAACAAGTACCATCTTTTAACGTCTTTTGGTATGCAACGCACAGGTATCAAACCCCGAACCTTCCGCTCTCCGTGTGCTCTGAGCGGACACTCTACCAATAGAGCACAGAAGTAAGGGGCAATGCTCACCAAATATGCTTACACAACTGTATCAGCGAAATGAAGCACAAGCTAGCAGCCTATACACATGACAAACCTGTTGCAGTGCAAATATAGACAGAACCAGTGTCTTTAAGAGGGGTTTATTCCACGATGTATGGCTCAGAACAGGAAATGAGATACTTCTGACTTTGAGAAATATGCATATGGGCTTTTCTGGATGCAAAATATTGCATCTTATACCGTAGTCGACGTAATAAGCGCCCAGGGCGCTCTCAAAATTAGAAATAGGGGGCGCTTATTGGAACATTATTTTGTCGGGAAAAAACAAGAGTTGAAAGATATATTTTGTGGTTTATGCTGACAGCCTGAAATGTTTATATACGACAGATATATTTTTCCAGAATTTAAGTGCCCATAATTAAGGGTGCATATAACACACGAGTGCGTATTATACGCAAATAAATAAGTATTGTGTACATTGATCAATCGGAAAGGGTGCTATTTGGGATTGTTCACGAGCCAATAAATTAGCAAATATCGCCGTGGGTGCTTATTAGAGTAGGGCGCTTATGTCGAATAAGGTACTCATGAACATTAACAATGGACACAAATAATGTCAACTGCAAGTACCACTGGGTGCAAAACACTATGGATGTGAGAGTGATTGAAGCTGATGATATTTTAGCATGTACGTAGGAATTACCTGATAGATATACTATCAGTTTGCAGACAGTAAAGATTAAAACAAAGAAATCCCCATCTATCAACCTGACAATAACCTCTATAAGGCATTACACATTCTTTGTATTTGTGTGTGTCGCTGCTTGTAGTAGTCCCGGTGAATACTGCTAGCCCACCGAGATACCATGCTGCAGTTTGACATGGATATCCCACTCAGACACAGTATGCTGACTCTGAGCGGACCAGTCCATGTTTTAACCCCTTTATGCCAGGCACCATCAGGGTAACAACAAGTACCATCTTTTAATGTCTTTTGGTAGATCTATGAAGCGGCCAGGGATTGAACCATCAACATTCTGCTCTCCAAGCAGATGTTTAAATATACAGACCTCGGTAAACACATGCATACACATAAATTCATCATGATAGTGAAATCACATTTAACATGTTTATTAAGGTGTTAGGGTTCAAGGATACTCTACAAAACAAAATCCACATGGTGTCTTCCTCATTTTGTCAAGTCCCATGATAATTCTCTTTACGTCCCCCGATCGGTTGAACAGCTCGTAGATTTGTTCCTCTGTGGTGTAGAATGACAGATTGCCAACATAAAGAGTTGTTGAATACGTGAGAGCCTTTTCCTGTTCATTTCGACTTCCCTGTAAACAAACACCAACGAAAACTGCATCACTGTGATCATAATTCAGATTGTAGTGGAGCTGACAATTTTCGGACCAATTCTCTATCTATAAATTTCTCTACTTTAACCAGAGACCATATGGTCTCTGCTTTAACTAATACGAGTATCCACACATTATGGATGTCCAGTTGTGCCATGAAAAGGTTCCACTAATTTATCGTCAATTCCTAAGCAAACAACTAATACATGTCATACAGGGCCATGTAACTAATAATAATAACAAACTCGCAAACGAAGCAGAAAGCACACTAGTATGTAACTATAAAAATGATAACAAACAAACTCGCAGACTTCGGCCTCGTCTGCAAGTTTTTTGCGAGGTTTTTTTTCAGTAGTAGTAGTAGTAGTAGTAGTAGTAGTAGTTACATGGTCATGTGCACAGCATAACCAACAACCATACCCATGAAATTTGACAAAATGTGACAACCAATACCCGTTCCCGTGCATGATTCCGTAAGTGGAACTAAAATATGGCAATTATCACAATAAGACTGCGAAATACCTTGAAATGTTGGTCCCGGTAGGCACTAAGACCCACTGATACAGATCTCTTTTTCAAAATTTGAGTCATTTTGAAGGTTTGGACAAGGTTGAAAAGAGTTGCTTTCTTTGAACGAAGAGTGGTTTCGTGAAACACACAATCCGCGCTTCCGCCGTCAACGTCGCTGTGGAGAGTATAAAACGCGCAAGCTCCAAACAGAGATTGTTCGGTCGTCGCCACAGCGCGTGCTACTGACTGTTGGATATTTGTGATGTTGTCTTTCCGATTTGGGTGGCCATAACAATATTTGATATATGTGAAGGATCTGTCCAGTCCCCTGAACATATTCACAGCTAATATTTTATTTATACAACTTGTGAAACAATGTTTGACATAATATCATATATTCTACACAAAAGACGTTTAAGTATGGGCGGCCATTCGGTCAAAAAATACAAAGTTGAAAAAAAAGACAAAATTACGCAATTAAGGTCAAATATGACGAATAAAGAACTAAATGTTACTACTAAAGATCAAAATACAATATTAATAGTCAAATGTTACGAAAAGACGTCATAAGAAAAGAAAGAACCATGTGTACGAAAGAACGTCAGTGAGCACGAAAGGACGTTTTCAATAAAGAACGTCAGTGAGCACGAAAGGACGTTTTCAATAAAGAACGTCAGTGAGCACGAAAGGACGTTGACAACAAAGAACGCCAGATGGCGCTGCAATTTGTAAAACATTCCGAGTTTAATCGGCTTGTTCCGACCACCCGATTCTCTCATTTAAAGACGTATTATATACGTCTTTGATGTGACTATTTAATTAACCCGTCATTCCATGCCAGAAATTTGTTTCACACATTATGCTATCTATCGAACCTGGGGCTTTTGCCTTCCATTTGTCCATTGCTAATCACCAACCAGCCATAATAAACTGTTTGCTTCTTCTGATAATGTTTCCACCTTTGTTATCTTATTACTTTTGTTGTTTTTATATGTACATATACACATGCACAAAAGTTAAGCGCCACCATATTCATAGTCTCTTGATTTCACGTGTGGGAATCAGAAATACGAAATACGATGATGTATGACTGAATTAGGCTTCCATAGTTTCATGAACCCAAATTTTTCCAGATACCACAAGGAAAGCGTGCTTTACGTGTTGTTGCAGTTCCCCTACCCTATAAATAGTGAAATTCAAGTTTCGGACACGTGGTTGCGTTTTGCTCCTGTGTGAGATTCCCCTTCCAATAGAGGTTGAAAATCAGCCATGGTGAGGAGAAAGTTAACGAACGCTGAAAGATGGCAAGTGATTGGCATGAAAAATCCTGGCATGTCATGCAGGGCCCTTGCAAGACAAATGGGTCGCCATCACAGTGTTATCACTCGTTTGATTGTCAAACATGGTCAAACCAATTATGTCAGTGACAGGCATAGGTCTGGTAGGCCAAGAAAGACCTCTAACAGAGAGGATAGACGTCTTTTCAGGATAGTCAGACGAAATTCATTTGCCACTTCAACAGATTTAAGACTGCAGTGGATTACCCATCAGAGACTCTCGACGATGACCGTAAGGCGTCGCCTCCGAGCAGCTGGTTATAACGCCAGAAGACCAGTAAGACGTCCTCAACTGACTGAGAGGCACATGCGGAATCGTCTGATATGGTGTCGTGCCCGTAGTCGATGGAACTTGGCCAACTGGAGAAGGATCCATTGGTCTGACGAGTGTCGAATGCTGCTGCGAACTGTTGATGGTCGAATACGTGTTTGGAGGCAACGTCACACTCGTTTTGCACCAAGGAACATCCAGAAGACCTTAGCATGTGGCGGGGGCGCTGTCATGATATGGGGTTGTGTTTCCTTCGGCTGCAAACTTCCGCTGGTGACAATTCGTTGAAACCTGAATGGCCAACAATACCAAGATGCCGTTCTTCGTCCAGTGGTAGTCCCTCATTTTGACAACCATCCTCTTCAGACAGGACAAAGGGCTCGGAGTATATGCTTACCCTTTCATATGCTTACTCTGTGAATGAATGCTAGGATGCAGAGAACATATATACACATGCACAAAAGTTAAGCGCCACCCACCATATTTGTGAGCTGTTACTTTTGGCACTTAATGATGACTATTATAACGAGATGTACGATTGTTATAAGCCGTATATGTAAACCTCATGTAATGCAAAAGTTGTCCCAAAGCAAGTTTATCTTGTGTGCCAAAAGAATATGCGCAGAAAGGAATTTTACCGAAGACCAGAAATTGAAGGATTAGAAATCATTGAAAAACTTTTTTTGTCATGTAACTGTCATGCTATCAGCAGACCATATCAGGTGTCACATAGACAGACACCCTAGGGAGTGCAGAGTCTATTGCAAGACAGAAACGTCAGTAACGTGTGTATGATCCACTGACATTGACCACAGCTTCAACCCAACGCCTCATGCTCATTACAAGTCGTTGAATGCTTCTCTGAGGCAAACGGATCCATTCTTCATGAAGTGCGGCTTCAAGTCCAGCGAGGTTTTGAACTGGGGGATCACGATATCTGATTTTCCGGCCAAGAATGTCCCAGAGATGCTCAGTCGGATTAAGATCCGGACTACAGGCCGGCCAAGGAAGAGTGGCAATAGCTTCCTGACGCAAATAAGCCAAAACTGCCCGAGATCTGCGTGGTCTAGCATTGTCGTCCATGTAAACAGGTCTTGTCTGAAGAGGATGGTTGTCAAAATGAGGGACTATCACTGGACGAAGAACGGCATCTTGGTATTGTTGGCACATAATGATATACCTTACATATATTTCACACCCGTGAAGATCTGGGGTAGAATTGATCTTCAGCAACCCACGTTTGCCATAATTTGGGCGACTATCCTTGTCTTAAGAGGTGTCTAACGGGATCGGGTGGTCAGGCTCGCTGACTTGGTTGATGCATGTCATCGTATCCCAATTGCATGGATCGATGCTCATGATGTCAATCACTGGATTGTGTGGTCCAGACTCGATTATTTTCAGACCACCGTCATATAGCTGGAATATTGCAGAGTGCGGCGTTAAACAACAGACAAACAAACAAACAAACAAACAAACATGTAGTTCACAAAGGTGTACTATTTAGAAGTCTGGACCGTGGCGTGTCTGAGTTAGAAACTTCATGTAACAAGGGGGCATGGGTGGCCCAGTCGTCTAAGGCGCCGCGCCGGGCAGAGTTGCGTCCCTTAGGCACGCAAGAAACCTACGATTGTGGGTTCGAATCCCGGTTCGCCACGATTATGTTTCTAGGTTTGTCAGCACCATACCCGTGCTCGTGGATTTCACCGAAGTGGTAAACGTCTGAGACCTGCATCACTACGGGCTTTCCTCCCACATTAAGCTGACTCGCCGCGATATAACTGGAATACTGTTAAAAGCGGCGATAAACCCAACTCACTCACTCACTCAAGTAATTGGGCCAACTACCATCAACTTACAGTACATGACCATGTAACTATACTAATAACAAACAAACCTTCGGCTTCGTTTGCAAGGCCCTGAGCTTTCAATCATACTTTTATCGCCGAAGAGCATTAATTGCAACGTATCTTGTATTTCATGTTCACTTTGTGCATGACAAGATTCTGAATATATTTGTTAAACGTTAACGCTTTTCATACATATTTTCTACTGGGTCTGCATCAAACATACTCTTCTCTATTAAAAACCTCCTCCCAGACATAAATTGAATTATCACAGCGCCGATGAACACGTTTTCCGAAGACACATCATACTGATTTGGCGTTGCAATAAACTATATATATATATACATAGTACAATATATATACAACGTAAATGTCTTTCTGTTTCGAAAATGTATGTATAATGTGGGCTGAGGGGAAGCCTGATATGTATACAAGGTCCTAGCACTCCAGTGCTGATCAAAACAAGCGACAATACGCAAACTGGATGTGTGCATGGTCAGGCGTTGTGACTGCCGTGACCTGGTTCATCGTTGTTCATACATTCAGTCACTGGTTTGTCCGTCTCAGATTCGATTATTTACAATCCGCTCTGACATATGTAATACTGCTGACTGGCTTTAAACACCATTCACTCACTATTCAGAGCCCCCATGAAGATCCCGGATAGACTAGGTCTTCAGCAACCCATGCTTGCGGTATTAAAGAGGCGACTAATGGGATCGGGTAGTCAGGCTCGCTGACTTGGTTGAGGTAGGTCATTGTATCCCATTTGTGTGGATCGATGCTCATGACATCAATCACTGTATAGTCTGGTCCAGACTAGATTATATGCAGACCGCCGTCATATGGTGAAATATTGCTGAGTGTGGTGTTAAACAACAAACAAACACTATTCAGAGCATCTTTAAAGAGTGTGGGAGCGTATTATGAGCACTGACATCTTAATTATCACTGATTTTCCGTGTGAATTCTGGTTAGAATGGACCGCACTGAGCAATATTCCAGCTATATGACGGCAGTTTGTAAATAATCGAGTCTGGACCAGACAATCCAGTGATTGATAACATGAGCATCTATCCACGCCATAGGGATCGAAGACATGCATCAACCAAGTCAGCGAGCCTGACCACCCGATCCGTTAGTCGCCTTTTACGGCAAGTATGGGTTGCTGAAGACCTATTCTACCCTGGAATCTTCACGGGTCTGCCAGAAAGAGCAACAATCCAGACTGTCAGGGTACAGAGACACACAGGCCACATATGTTATACATTTCAATAATTTGATTATCATATTAGTTGTCTCTACCACATTCACCACCTCTATTTCAGGGGTGGGGCAAACGAGAAACAAGGAGATTAAGCAATGTTTTTGACTTAAACATTGAATCTTCAATTTCATACTTGAGAGCTGGTTTTCCCATCTTCCCAAGTCAAGGGAGTTAACTGACTGTTAAAGTCCAGTTTCCACCCTTGCCGAACTAGGTTGGAATTTTGGAGTTTTTTGGCTGAAGTAACTAATCTATGCAGTCCAATAAAAATTTCCTAACGAAATCGACATCCGGGTCGTTAACAACATGGATTTCAACTGCAGATTTTGGTCGACAGCAGGATTTGCAAAGGATGTGTAAAATAACTGGGCGTCGACAGATATTTCCAAATCGTTTCATGTTTTTTAATCAAGGTATTCTAGTGATTTGATGCAGTCGCAGGCAAGACCTGTTATATTACAATATAGATCTTGATCATCGATCACACCGCCTTGACTGGCTGCTGCCATTTTATTTGAAACAAATGCAAGTGACATGAGAGGTGGAATCTGATTGGTCAATAGGAGGGGCATAGAAAGGACATAACTCGTAATAGCAACAAGTGGTGATAAGATCGAGCCCAGAAATTCCAGCCTAGTTCAGTTAAGTCCCTTTCCTCGGGAAGATGTGCTGTTCCAAGATGCACTATCCATGCTGTGCAGCCATTGTGTCCATCTGATCCCAAGTCTAGTTTTCTTGTTATATGCCTTAAGCCCAAGGTTATCTACCATGACATTATCCTTTAATAAATAGTCAATGTGTATACCATATTTCAATTTTTTTTAGTGATGCAGATATAGTACTATGAAATGATGAGTTTATATATTTCAGAAGTACAAGGTTGCTTGCATCATTGTAGAGGATTTTTCCTTCCCCATCATTGTCTATATACAGTTGATGTATGAACAGAAAATGGACTAAATCAAATGTTGGAAGATAATTTTAATGAGACAGGATTAACAAGCTGGCATATTCTCTACCAGTGTTGTCTACAATGTACATAATAACAGAAACAAACCTAAAGCCCTCCAGCAGTGCCTCTGAGTTCCCTGTCACACACTAACCCTGGTCTCGGGTGATTGGAGTCACATCATTCTTATTAATACATGTACAACATAATATACATTAACAGAAACAAACCTAAGCCCTCCAGCAGTGCCTCTGAGTTCCCTGTCACACACTAACCCTGGTCTCAGGTGATTGGAGTCACATCATTCTTATTAATACATGTACAACATAATATACATTAACAGAAACAAACGTCAAGCCCTCCAGCAGTGCCTCTGAGTTCCCTGTCACACACTAACCCTGGTCTCAGGTGATTGGAGTCACATCATTCTTATTAATACATGTACAACATAATATACATTAACAGAAACAAACGTCAAGCCCTCCAGCAGTGCCTCTGAGTTCCCTGTCATACACTAACCCTGGTCTCAGGTGATTGGAGTCACATCATTCTTATTAATACATGTACAACATAATATACATTAACAGAAACAAACCTAAAGCCCTCCAGCAGTGCCTCTGAGTTCCCTGTCACACACTAACCCTGGTCTCAGGTGATTGGAGTCACATCATTCTTATTAATACATGTACAACACAATATTCATTACAACAGTTGGGTGGGACCAATGCGTTCAAGTTTCAAGATTTTTTCCCTGAGTATATGTAGCAATTAGCAAAACACTTAAATATGCAGGCGACAAAGCACGGACGTTGGAGTAGGCTGTCCTTTAGCTGGATCATTTGAAATATAAATGTCAATGCAATAGTCTGTCATTAGCAGACTACAGAACAGGTACCAACAAGCCCAAAACATTGACGATCGATCCCGTCCAGGGTCGTCCCAGGTCGACGACAAGAGTACAGGATCGATCTGACACCAGGCTCTATGAAATCGAGCTCAAACAGCAAATGCAACTTTCATCAGCCTCCTGGTGTGCAAGTTATTGGTCAGACGATTTGAATTCGTCCACATGCAGCTAATCTCCATGCTCGATGGCCATGTGCTGTGCTGACCCTTACAAATCATCACACTGCCAACATACGCCAATGGTGTGCACAGCATCGAAACTGGGGTAATCATTGCTGGTAACTTGTCATTTTTTTTCAGATGGGTTCCGATTCACTTGGGACTTCCTTCATAGGCATGGTGGTGTCTGGCGACGTCGAAATGAACTTCAAGCCAATGTCAACTTGAGATGTCATAACAGATTTGGCGGTGGACTGGTTATGGTGTGGGGTGGCTTCACTGTGACTGACCAAACCCCACTCCATATTGTGCAAGGAAGGGCCACTGGACAGTACTATCGGGACAACATACTGACAACCACTGTTGTCCCATTTGCAAGATGTTTTGGTCGACATTTCGTCTTTCCAGATGACAAAACATGTGCACAAATCATCAACGCTCACCTCCAGTAGCACAATAGCCACAGAATGCCATGGTCAGCAATGAGCCCAGACCTTTCCCTCCACTGAACTCTTCTGGCACATGATAGGGAGAGGGGCTTAATGGGGATAATGTTTACATAATAACATCTTTGGCACATTATACTACATTTACAAGATCAGATATATTGCCCTCAAACTTCCTGCTGTTTCTCTTGAACTCCCTGTCACACTGGACTCGAGTCAGGGCATATGAAATACAGAGAAGGTTAAATAAGGAGGATTTTGTACATAACACCATGTGCCAGGAGCTATTTACAGAGACACATGTAAGGCCAAATAAAAAGTACCGTATTCGATGTAATAAGCACCCAGGGCGCTCTCAAAATTAAAAATAGGGGGCTCTTATTAGAATATTATTTTGGAGAAGAAAAAAAACAGAGTTGAAAGATAAATTTTGTGGTTTATGCTGACAGCCTGAAATGTTTATATACAACAGATATATTTTTTCAGAATTTAATTGCCCATAAGTAAGGGTGCATACTACCCACGAGTACGTATTATACATGAATAAATCGGTCTTGTGTACATTGATCAATCGGAAGGGGTGCTAATTGGGATTGTTCACTAGCCAATATATTAGCAAATATCGCCATGGGCGCTTATTACGTCGAATACGGTACTTGTGTTTCAGGTTACATGGACCAAACAGGTATGCGGGAGTAGGTAAGGTTCTACTTTTTTTATATCGTTTTAATGATGTTGAACATGGATGGCTTGCAGAGAATGCATGTTAGATGCAAAGTATCTAAAACTTGTAGGTAAAAATAGCCGTAGCAAAAATAAATCTGATTTTTAACCAAATGATTAATAAGGGTTTCTTGACCACTGTTTCCACCATGATAAAAACATTTGTGTCGCAAGTGAAACAATGGGTCAGTAGGGTGACCTGAAACACATGTATTTTAAATTTTTATTTTTTTCTGCCTAATATGAACTACGGTGCACACAAAATCAGCTTGTTCACGGTCACCCACAACTCTGTCTTGGGTTGGGGGGTTAGGGGGTTGGGGGTTAAGGGTAGTTGGTGTGTGTGGTGGATGAGAGTGTTGAGTTATGTTGAAACAATCTACAAGACAGTCATTTAGCATAAAGTTACAATTTCGTAACATGAAAAACTAGACAATAGCTTCAATACAGGATAGTCGATGTCTACATTCCTTCTGAAGACACCGAGTACAGTGTTGCCATTGTAGAACAACCTGACCCTAAAACTGATACAACACAGTTACAACACTGGCAGTACAGTCACAATCCTTGACTCCTCTTCTTCAGAAGACATTCAAACTGGAGGCTTAAATCCGGGCATCTGTCCACATTTCCTGGTAGAAGAATTAGTGTTTCCTTCACCTTCGGTACCACATTTACCTTGTTCTTCCCACCATCCTGACACTGCATGTCATTCTCAGGTGACCCACATAACACTGGGACCGTGTCTTCAATGGAGTCATTAAGGAAGTAGGTCTTTATATCCCAATCATCCTGAGATACACCTGGCATGTTAAGTGGCTCTTGCAGAGCTTTCATCACCCCTGTCATATGGTCACAGCTACTGACCTTGGCTTGTTTCTGGACCTTGTCACGAGTTCTGTTTGTGCCAGTATGTGCATTAGTGCTAGGCACAGTGTGCAGGGTTATCTGCACCTCAATTGTCATATACTGAATTCCTGAGTGATAATGCACATCAAATTGCAGTTCTTCCATTCTTCCTCTTTCAACTAAATGTAAACAAATAAAAAAACATATGTTTAGATGTTTATCAGTTATCACACTTTGAGGTAAAAAATTGCATGTATTTAATGAGACTGACAGATATGGACCACCATCAATGTTTTTGATTGACATAAACTAAAACAGTATTATCACATCCAAAATATGAAAACAGAACCCCCCTTTTTGTTACGATCTGCAGTTATTTATTTGCCTTTGACAATGTGGACACAAAGATTTTCAAAATTTGCTTTTATGTTTATTCTCATTGCTAACAAATTCAAAGGTAGAAGGTCTGGTTGACATATTGTTCTTTCCCATATGTATTTCCAGGGACCATATGCAGTATATGGTCTCCGGTATTTTTTGGTGCAAACTTTATGTTAAACATGCTCAAACTCTTGCCATCAATCCAAGATACCAGTTACAATGTGCATACACAGATTTCACAAAGCATTGCACAGTAATCATTTTTCTATTCTCTTGGAATTGTGCATCGCTTTGTATGAAACTTTCTCTTACTGGTCCAAAGCTGCATTTGTGATGCCAAATTTATATTGATCAAATATGTGTAGCGACAGATTATGTTCAGTCCCCTAATGCCAAAGATTCACATATGTGGCAGAACTAATGAGCTGTTAATAACTAATAAGTAATAACGAACATATTTGGCGGCAAACAGAATTCTGATTTAGAATCAATAAGTAAAAGCTAGCGTATCTGAATTCACCCAAAACACTTTTTAAGTATATTCCATCACAATAACCTATAACACAGGAACTCGTTATTAGTCAGTAAATAAAAAATTATATACCCCTACATCAGAGACCATATAGATCTACCGGTATATGGTCTCTGTCTATATGTAAGTTCTCTACTTACAAAATGGGTGTGTATATTTTTATTTACTGACCAATAACGAGTTCCTGGGCCCTATAAGCTGTATATTCAACAATATTGCATGATTACTATCCGCAAATTGGAAAACCAAGACAAAAAAGCACCCTTTTTACCAAATGTCACCTGACAGTAGTGTACATCAAAGACTGGGCAAGCGCTTAAAATTTCAACTTCTGGAGCATTTAACTTCGCGCACCTGTCGCAGTTTCGTATAAAATATCTAAGTTACTACTGCTATAACACATTAATTTATTTCTAATATTATTTTATTCCGTATAATCACAAATTATGTCACTGATATTTGTAGAAAGTTCGTTTTGAAATGTACGCAACTAAAGTTATTAACTCGACATGACATGCGTTGTCGTGACATGGCGATGTGTGGAGTTTGCACATCAACATTACCCACTTGTGTCTCTGGACTAGATTATTACAGCTAATGCTTTGGTAGACATGGTAGAACATTGACTGAGATGCCATAGCCCACAGACAACAAAAAAGGTGAAACGTTGCATAGGATTTTAGGTGAGAACTCATTTCTGTATCATGCATCCGATATAATGATGACACAGGCCCATGAAGCAGTCTAGTGAAACACCGAATATTGCTTAAAGCAGCGCAAAACTATACGCTCTTACCCCAGTTTAAATTTGAAATAGTTGATTCATTAAAATACCCCAGTTTAAATTTGAAATAGTTGATTCATTAAAATACCCAAGTTTAAATTTGAAATGGTTGATTCATTAAAATACCCAAGTTTAAATTTGAAATGGTTGATTCATTAAAATTTAACTTGATATGGCTTGTGTTTTTTTCCTATTTGTTTACTTGCTTACTTTGTTTATTTTGAGACAGATTGAGCTATGAGAGGTGTATTAAAGCTCTCTGTTTATCTACTGTGCCTGTCCCTCCTGCTAGAGCTGGTTCTCGTCAGTGGAGTGGAGTTCACCTTCAAGAGATACAGCTACAAGAAGAAACGAGATGTCAGTATTGTCAGGATAATAAGTTACTAGATATAATCACTGATTCTGTTCATTATAAAGCTCTTGCTAAGTTTGAGAACATGAATCATTATTATGTGCATATCCCTTGTCTTTTGAATGTGTTTTTAAGAAAAAAGTAGGAAAATTCTCCTTAACTTTATTCAACATTATTATTATTATCAGTATAATCAGTATTATTTTACACTTGTTGCAGAACATATGACACCCTTGTGAGTTAGAATTGGTCTACAGCAACCTTGTAAGAGGCGACAAACAGGATTGCTTGCATGCTCAGACTTGGTTGATGCATGCCATCACATCCCAGTTTGTTTAGATCGGTGCTCAAGATGTCAATCACTGGATTTTCTGGTCCAGACTCAGTTATTACTGTCATCATATAGCTTGAATACTGCCTAAAGCAGAGTTAATTAGACAACAAGACGATGACAGCAATCCAAATTTTCAGAAATATTGGTGATACATGTGATATGGATACCTTCATTTGACTTTGGGACCTGTGAAGATCCAGGGTAGAATAGATCTTCAACAACCCATGTTTGCCGTAAAAGGCGACTATGCTTGTAAGAGGCGACTAACGGGATCGGGTGGTCAGGCTCGCTGACTTGGTTGATGCATGTCATCGTATCCCAATTGCGTAGATAAATGATGTCAATCACTGGATTGTCTGGTCCAGACTCGATTATTTACAGACCGCCGTCAAAAAGCTGGAATATTGCTGAGTGAGGCGTTAAACAACAAACAAACAAACATTTGACTTTAGCTTGACAAATATTCTGTGTCATTATAGTTTGTAGTCAGTATTAGAAAGTAAGGGTGTATTTGAATTTAGCCTATCTACATGATCTATATCTGGGGCATTAGAGTTATGATGAGTCCTCAAAGAATTTCATTCTTAAGTGCAAATATTTCAAGATGATATATAGTAAAGGGATGAAGAACTAGGATCAATCATTAGTTGATGACTGAACATTTACCACATAGGGACTATCTGTCAGTCTTTTGAAGTGATTCCAGACACTATGTTATACTCAATCTCATTAATATCAGATCTTTTACTTCAATACAATACTTCTGTGCGTGAAGATCAGGGTGCCGTTGTACAAAGCAATCTTAGCGCTAAGATGATCATAACTCCCATACCTTAACATAGACTTACGACAGTCATAGCGCTAAGGTTGTTTTGTACGTAACCCCGAGGATACCTGTCTGAGGATACCATGTCTGATTTATGTATCACAAAAACAAATATGATTGGGGAGTGCAAAGAAATAGCCACACTATATCATGCTATATATTGTTGTTGATATTGTATACATTCCGTCCAAGAGCCATGGCATCTACAGGCAAAAGTGTGTACTATCAAGGGAATATTTGTGTTCTTTCAGTCTTCTTTTGCTAAGATTGAAATTTAAGGTGGTAAACCACTTTCGATAAGCCATATCATTTTATAAAGCTGCATCTTCTTGGATGAAAACCCACTCATCCTTCATTTATAATGGTCAGTCCAAATTCATGCAGGGGTTACCTGATACGACTTGTGGGGGGGTTGCAGAGACACATCATATTGGAGATTGTCAGATATCTGATTTTAATGAGATTGTGTTATACTGCTTGCAGGACAAGCGTTACAAGCATGCGAAGGAGAGATGTGAACGAGCTGGAATATGTGAAGGGAAGGGGAGCGTGGACTTCATCAAGTGTCTGCGGGAATGCATGTCCAAGAAGTGCTATGATGAACTGTATGGACCTGATGAAGTAAGTGTGAAGAAGTGATCACTTTGTCGTATCCTAGATCACTTTGTGGAGTAAGGCTCAGCTTCATACCTCAGTCTCCGTATCCTGGCATGGAATAAATGTTGGTTATGGGCACGTTCGGATGAGGCCTGGTGGAGAGGTCATCTGCTGGAGAGCGGAAGGTCGGTGGATCATTGACCGGCTACATGTAGCTACTATTCAGAGATAGATAATAATAAGTAACTGATTTTCTACACCAATTAATTAATATGCAGTTGTGCACTTTGCATGCTTATAAGTTAATACACCATAGGTATTCCACCTTTAGACAGTATTTGCCAAATTTCCCATGCTCAATTTCTGAGTGCTGTATTGATAGTCATTTTGTATGATTCAAAATAAAAACATTACTTCATTGTCAGTAAGGATCTTAGAAACTTACAAGGAGAAACCATGGTCTCCCATGTATGATTTTTAGAATTAATATCTTCCTCTGTCATTTGTCTGTAGAAATCAGATTATATTCATATTTTTAAACGTATCCGATCTCACGCTGTGCCTTTCTTACTTCTTTCGATCCTATTGTGGGAACGTCCTAAAACAAAGTGTCTAGCTTCTAAAACCATTTCACCCGAACACCCTTCGCATCACCATTGTCTCCACCCAAACAAGTGGGACACATCCTACAATCTTGTGCATCGTGATGTAGGTGGTTTGATCACCTAACATCATTCTCTTTCTTGGAGCTGACAGGCTAGTGTAACTGTGAGGCGGGGATGGACGAGCAGACATGTACGTGTGAGATAGGATAATTATAAAAATATATAATTTAATGTAAAATTTTCATTATTTTTTACTTATCCTAACTCAAACTATGCATTTTATCCCACGGATAGAGGGTGGGTTCAGATTCCCTAGCCTGTGGTGGTCTACAGCCGTGAGATACACACGAGTAAGCTGGTGTTCAACATGCTACAACCATGACTGTGTCAAATGCATAGTGTGAGATGGGATAAGTTTAAAAATATGAATATATTCTGATTACAACAGACAAATATCACGATGAATGGGATTGTAGTGTGTGACCAATTTGTTTTGGTGGGGACTGTGGTGATGCCAGGGGTGTTCGGCCGAAATGATTTCAGAAGTTGGGAACGTTGTTTTAGGATGTTTCCACACAAGGATTAAGAGAAAAAGCAAGAAATGCATAGTGTGAGTATATTAATAGACAATTTAATGTAAAATTATCAACTTGTTTGAAAATAAGATTGAGGTGAACGAAGGAAAGACATGGATTTTAGCTCATATGGACACTTTTAGCTCTCCTATTGTCAGTATTTTAGTTCAATATTTGTGACCGCTCACGAGGCAAATGATCTATTTTGTGTTTGCAGTTAGAGGAAGGAGAAGTGGACGTGAGACTCAATTCTTTCAAAGGCTGTCTTTATCAACAACCATATGAGAACTTCTAAATGAATACAAGTTGTGCATCCAGTAGTATTCCCAGTGGTGGTCTTCATAACATGACAGTGCCTGTGCAAAGACTTTCCAAGAGTGTCAGTAGTAATCCCGGTGGCTTACACGGAAAGTTACTGTGTCACAACAAGGACCTCACATCATTTCATCGTAGTGTATGTATGTATACAAAAATATTTCAGAAAGACGTTCAGTCCAACATATTCATGCTCCCAGTACATTTTTCTGGATTATCATGGGTTGTTTTACAAAACCTAGGAAATTATAAGAGTGAAATGTTTACAATAAGATTCTTGATGTTTTGCATCAAGTACACTTTGTGTATATGTTTTGTACATTTTATGTACAGAAATAAAAACAAATCACATTTTGACATTTTTATATTTTTTTATTTCAATACTTTACAGAGTTGTAGAAATCATCAAACTGATTTGTCATAACTGTCATGCGTGTCTTCTGTAAATAATATTTGAAACTAAAAATATACTTATAAATACTATAATACTGTAATACAGATAAATAACAGATCATGCAGCAGTGAAATTTTGTTATAAATAAATGCCTTAACATGAATCACTGTCTGCACCTGCTCTGCTGGATGATACCACCCTTCCATGCCAACTATATCTATCCTTTACCAGATGGAAAAATGTCAATGATAATTGTAACTAAACTGCAGGATAAAAGAAAGCACCCCCTTGGACTGGATTTGACCAAAAGAATTACAAATATTATCAAAGTGTTACTAGGCTGAAAACAGTCACTGCAGCACTGCAAACTTTAAATCTAAAACACAAATTCACACATTCACCATTGAATAACCATTTCTTGTTTGTTTGATGTTTAGCAGCGGTTGAAACAAACAGTTTTCCACTAGTCCTTATAATGATAACATATAGCAAAACCCTTAAAAACAGCAAATTTCTAGTAGTCCTTATGATACCTTAACTATTGGGCAGTTTGTCAAGGGCTACAGGACTAGTGCCAATTTCTAACGCTGTGTTGAGCCACCATCACATATGGGAGTATATCTTCTTTTACCCGGCAGTTTAGTTGACAATTTTCTCTTTGCACTTAGTCCAGTGAAATTTAAGGATGGACTATATGATCTATTAACAATTTCTAGTCTCGATGTTGTAATTGGTTTCCTGTGCGAAGAGACATTGTTTCTGTGCAGTCAAGAGAAAATCGTTGCTTGGAAGACAAATCTACATTATGACATTTGCATACCGAAAAAGTGGATAGAACTACTAACTGACTACTAATAGCCGAAACATTGTTCCTTTGTAGTCAACTGTAAGACAAATCTACATTATATTATTTACATACCCCAAAAAAACCTGCCTTTGACCCAGAGAACCAGCCGAGACAGTTTCTGTGCAGTCAAGATAAAATCATTTCCTGTAAGACAAATCTACATTATAATAATTGCATTCTGGGAAAGTGGTTGGGACTGCCAAATGACCCAGAGTGTAGTCAATACTACCTTGATCTGTCATCGTATGGATCCCCAGGGAGCTGAGAACGACATTTAAGAGCACACTGATCTACTGGGGCAATAACAGTGTATCGCTTTCAGCATGCACTTGTGTATGGAATCTAATGCATTATTAATACTCATTATTATAATATACAAGAAACTCAAAACCACAGTAGTGTGTAAATATGACTGCCACACATGTTAAGTACTTCTATTTCTACACGTTTCCATTGAAACTCACCGGACATGGAGTACAAGACTATATCCTCCATGTTTCACTGATATTGTGCAAGGTTAAATACACCCAACTTATACAGTCTTCAGACAGCATGAACATGGTTTTAAGGACCATGCATAGGAAGGAGAATATGGTTACGTAGCACTGTTAATATATCAAGAACAAATAAACCAAATCATTCCCGGATAATGATTGGTGTAGATAGCAGATCTAAAGTACAAAATTGTGCATTATGCAAGTTCAAGAAAGTATTTTTCCCAATCTCATTAAAATCAGATCTTATTTTTCGCTACCGCTAAATAAAGATCTGAGGACATCCCATTACGGATCACGTCAGAACGACCTTTCGCAAATTTTGACCGACCAATGAAATGACTGACAAGAAATCGACATTAGCAATCAGAAGGCAGCTTTCTCGAGCTTTACGACACTAGATTCAAACATATTTTGACGTATTCTCGATTAAAATATTTATAGCTGATAAGAAAAACATTCTGGAATGGCTTATTGATGGCCTAGATTGTAATGAAAACCAGTAACTGTCGTTTGGAATACCCCGTGTTGAATATTTCGTGGTTGCATGATTAGAAAACACATTCCGACTGTCACTTTCATGATCTGGTAAGCGACGCTCATTGGTTGGATGAAAGGTGGTTCTGATGTGACCCGTAATGAGATCTCATCAGATCCTTGTTTAGCGATAGCGAGAAGTAATATCTGATTTTATTGAGATTGGTATTTTACCATACTAAAACATAAGTACAACGCTTTCATGTAGGATTTTTGTGCAGACGCAAGGCTGGAGAAACAATGAGCTTATATTGCAATATGAGATTCTGAATGTGAAGTGCCACAGCTTTAGTGTCTGCATCTAATACCTACTGTCAGACACTAGCACTATGAGTGAGTGAGTGAGTATGGTTTTACCCTACTTTTAGCAATATAACAGCAATATCATGGCGGGGCACACCGGAAAATGGGCTTCACACATTGTACCCATGTGGGCAATCAACCCTGGGTCTTCAGCATGACGAGCCAACGCTTCAACCAATAGGCTACCCGACCGCCACACTCGCAACATGAAACACTTCACGCAACATACTTCTGATAGAAATGTACCACATTCTTTACAGCTTTGTAGAACTTGGGAAAATCGTTCAGAAATTGGAGTAAAGTCTTAATACCTCATTTAGAGGGCAGGGGGTTGAAGAGGTCTGTCTATTTTCAATACAACAAAACAAAGTTTTAGAATTTGTACAGTTCAAGTCAATAAACATCAACTCGACTCATCATTTCTTTGGTTTTGGTATGCATGTGAAAATCAGTCCTCCAACCTTTGACCTGCTCCCTCAGCGCAACAGTTTCACTAGGTGAGGTAGACATTACGGTGAAGTCAGATTAGCTCCCTCAGCACAACAGTTCCACTATGTGAGGTAGACATTACGGTGAAGTCAGATTAGCTGCCTCAAGTGACAACATGAACCACTCAACTTTTGAAAGGAATAATCAGATATGTCATCCGATCTGAATATACACATTTCATGAGAATCAGTTTTGTGCATGATGGAGAGACAAAGCATACCCCAATCAAAAGTGGAGTGGTATATATCAATGACATGCAATAATGTGCTAACAACAAAATAAAACATTCTTACAATGAAAGGGCATGTCAGTGTTATATATGAAATATAGGTTGAAATTGTTCTTCCTTCTTCTTGTTACCAACAATCATTTAGATACGTAAATGCATTCATAACTGACATGTATTTGTGTAAATATTAATTTGAAGCTGCAAGACATAACCCTGTAGGGATTTGGGGTTGGATCAACCTATGCTTGTCGAAAGATACGACAAAATGGATTGAGTGGTAACCATTAGGGCATGAGACATTGCTCACAATACAAACTGGTTTATCTGGTCCAGACTTGATGCAAACAGGCTGTCACATAGCTGGAGTATTGCTGGGTGCTGCATTAAACAACAAACACCAGGATACACATCAAACTTGAAAATGCTTCACACTAATGCATGTGTCAACTGACCCGTGAAGATCCGTGATGAGAAGAGGTCTTCAGCAACCCATGTTTGTCGTAGGAGGCAACTATGCTTGCCATGAGAGGCAACTAATGGGATCGGGTGGTCAGGTTCGCTGACCTTGTTGATGCATGTCGTCATATCCCACTTGCGTGGATCGATGGTCATGATGTCAATCCCTGGATTGTCTGGACCAAACTTGATTACTTACAGGTCGCAGTCATATACCGGCAGCTGGAATATTGCTGAGTGCGGCGTTAAACAACAGACAATTAGTCGTTGATGTACTGGTTGAGTGAGATAAGTGAGCTATATATAACATGTATATGATGTGTAACATTGTACTGAGCCTGTAGACAAACCTTTGTTTTACTGAGTAAGCAACAATCCATGACACAATGTAGCACTGTGTAGAATTGATAGGGTGATACATACTGTTATACTGCAAGCAGTGTTACTTTTCACTGGGACATTTTCTGAATGTATATTGTGATTACTTCAAACTTGAAGTGTGAGCACCCTCCTTCCTGGTCTCGGTGCTACATTGATATACCATATGCTTGGTAAGTGTCAATGCTACATTGATAAACTGTAAGATTGGTCTCGGTGCTACATTGATATACCATATGGTTAGTAAGTCTCAATGCTACATTGATACACTGTAAGTTTAGTTTCAGTGCTACATTAATATACTGTAAGGTTGGTGTCGATGCTACATTGTAGGGCTGGGATGAGTTCAAATTTACTAACTGGGTACCTACCCTACTATCACCCGACCCTACCCGGCTGTAGGTCTCAAGAGATAGGCAAAAACTGTCTGATTAGAAAAGTTAGATACACATGTAAAACGTTCTGGTCATGCATACACTGAAGTTGACGGAAGTTTTATCTTTTTTTCAAACATATAAATGCAAATATTACTGACTTGTAGTGTAACCGTAGAGTTTTCGATATTTTTTGTCATTAATAATATCACATGACTAACCACGGGTCCGGGTAATCCTGTGGGTACCCAGGTCCTACTCAGCACCCACCCGATCCAAGTATGCGGGTTACCTGTCCCAGCCCTTGCTACACTGATATACTGTAAGGTTGGGCTGTAGTACAGATTAGAAGTAGATCGGCCCCCATGCTACATAGCTGTAGTGAGAGCGTAGAAGTTGCTCTAACTCCTTGGTGTGATCAGCGTCTCGTGTTTCAACAACGCACTTCACCTGAAAGCATATGTAAGATATGACTCAGCTATGCATTATGTGCATTAAGCATGGTCCCCAGTGATGTGGAATTGTGCACAATATAAACAGCCTTATTAGTAGTATATGTGAGGTCACTTAATTTGTATTTTCAGTTTTCACACGTATAGTTGTGCACACATTCTGTTGTCACCAGGCAACATCAGGTGAGATTACAGTTGTGTTCCACAACATTCTGTTAAATATAGACTGATAGAAAGAAATAAGGGAACATCTAATGTGAGTTTGTTATAATGCCTCTTTGAACAGTATTTCAGTTATATCATAGCATGTCATTTTAAAGTTTTGTATATACCCTAGTGGAAATTAGAGATTATCTGTCAGTGCCGTCAATGATTTGTTTGTTTGTTTGTTGTTTAACACCAAACTGAGCAATATTCCACCTTTATGACGGCGGTCTGTAAAATAATCAAGTCTGGACCAGACAATCCAGTGATTGGCATCATGAGCATCGATCCACGCAATTGGGATTGATGACATGTATCAACCTAGTCAGCGAGCCTGACCACCAGATCCCGTTAGTCGCCTTTTACGACAAGCATAGTCGCCTTTTACAGCAAGTTTGGGTTGCTGAAGACCAATTCTATCCTGGAATCTTCACGGAATTGAACAGATTTTTACATAACACTCAAGGAATTATTTTGTTGATTGTGAAGTATTTTTACTAAATACTAACATAATAAAAAAAGGCTATTTATATTGCACATATATCCACACCACTCAGGGGCATGCTCAAAGCTTGTTATTACCCCGGTCACTGGATCAAGCTGTCTGTTAGTAGCTAGAAGGTTAACAACCACATTGCCATCTCATCCTACCGGGTACCCATTCACTGCTGGGTGGACAGAAGCACATTAAGAACAAAGTCACTTGGCCAAGGAGATGCCACATGTGTTACAAGTGTTTCAGTGTGGGGCAGGACCAAAGCCCTAGAAACTCTCAGGAGCCGAGCTGCCAAAACGCGGTCACCCATCCAAGGATCACCTGATTTGTGACCTATGTGCTGTGCACAGGACCACGTGCCACCACCATATTTCTATGTGATTTACTTCATGAGTATTTTCATCGATGAAGTCCAGGCCTATATAAGCTGTCATTGCATCAAGATTTCTGGATGTGTATTGTTTATATGTATATTATCACTAGTTGGGCAAAATGCAATGAAAATAGTTTGCTGGATTCCATGTTTCAAAATTTACCTTGATTCTGAACTTACCTGCACTGCAAAGACATCACTTTTCAGCCAAGCTCTCTCATGGAATATGTCCTTGATACTATAACAAATTGGAGTGTTTTTTTATATAAATATAGAAGAATAAAAGAAATATAAATTTCTATAATAATTTAGATAAAACAAGTAGCCATATGAGGAAAACAACTAGCCAAATGAGTATGAAAAAGAGAAAATATGTTTTTCAGCACAACATTGAATAAAAATGATACTTGTCCTCAAGTTTCTTTAACTCTGCCTTATATATTTTCCAGGTGATTAGACTTAATTAGAATTGTTTTAAAAAAAGACTTCTAAAAAAATATCTTTATGATTAACACAATGTATAATTTAGCGATGAATTGGTAGAGAATATTCATGAAGTAAACATACTGTTTAACTAGTGAGAGAACAATTGGACACATCAACAGGTTACAAAAATTCTGAATCTTAACCCTACCTGACTCCCTTGTCTGCTATAATACGGGTTAGCTCTGCTATGCCTCCAGGTCTGTCGGTAACCGTGACGACAAATCGGACCAATCGGCCATCTGCAGCGAGGCCTCTCTCTATGACCCGTCCCAGAGCCGTTGTGTCTATGTTGCCACCACAAAGGGCCACAACCACCCTAGGGATTACAATAGCAAGGGAATGAAACAAACACACTTCATTTATTCTATCCTCACTTGATGAAAACAACCTTGAGAACAAACAATTATCTTTGTGTAACTGCAATCTCATTGAAATCAGATCTTTTATTCCGATTAGATACCTCTCTATGTAAAGATCGGATGTTGATCCAGGTGAGCTTTCTTATCAGCCATTCAAAATCAATGCTTCTAAAATATTAATAACGAGCATATTTCAAAACTATATGAGCATCTAGAAATTAAGAAACTGATCTCAAATACTGTCTTTCCTTTTTAAACACAAATATTCTTCAAATTACAAACTGAAATACTTCTTTGTGGCAAATTTATTTAGAATAGGAAAACACCATAATCATGAACATTGATTACCTGCTATTTATAAAACTACATGAAAAGCTATATACTTAAAAGCAACAAATTTGAATTTTAATATAAACATTAAGTAACAGATTTGAATTTTTATCAGAAAATACAGACATACTTTTTGCCAGCCAGTTCTGGAAGCAGTCCCTCAACAATGGCTGCAAGCCCTGTAGCTCCAGCCCCTTCAACCACCGCCTTCTCCAGCTCAATCAGACGCAGGATGGCAATAGCAATGTTCTCCTCTCTGGAACAGTCCCCGACAGGTCTTACTGTACATATCACCAGTTTGTTTCTCATGTTATGCTGTGCAGAGTTGCGTCCCTTGGGCACGCCAGAAACCTATGATTGTGGGTTCGAATCCCGGTTCGCCCCGATTATGTTTCTAGGTTTGTCAGCACTATACCCGTGCTCGTGGGTTTCACCAAAGTGGTAAACGTCTGAGACCTGCATCACTTCGGGCTTTCCTCCCACATTAAGCTGACACGCCGTGATATAACTGGAATACTGTTAAAAGCGGCGTTAAAAACCCAACTCACTCACTCTGGTCCAGACTCGATTATTAACAGACTGCTGGAATATTGCTGAGTGTGGCGTAAAAAAAACAACCAACCAACCAACCATTGGCACCATAGCAACATCCAACAAAAATTATGTGGGGGAAGTCTGATGCATGGAATTATTTTCATTCAGTTCATAACAAATTATAGGTGAAATAACACATGTATCATATTGTGGTACATATCCCAATACATGAATCATTATTGCCATAAATTGCAGTACGAATATCAGGCCATACTCATCACTATCTAAAACCATGAGCCATGATTCACGCCATTGGCGAATTATGATCAGCCAAGTCACAGCCTTAACACGCCATTGATGTGGCCTCTTACAACCAACAACAGAGTGATGGGGTCCCATTCTAACATGGGCCCCTGTTTCATGGCTGGTCAGTGGTTTGTCTGGTTCAGACTTCCTACTTACAGTCGGCCAGGATATTTCAGTCAAATATTATTCACACTCTGTATGTGTGAGCTAGTTGGATGGTGAATGTTGATCGACTGACGTTTCCAATTGCTGATCAAGATATTCATTTAAAAATTGACTTTGCATTTATGAAGTATAAATATGAAAAACAGTGTGCATCTTGTGTAAATCTATGTTTACGCAAAGTGTGCACAACATGTTTTACATTTATACTCCATAACTGCAAAAAACAATGAAGTAAATTCTTATAAATTAATATGTCGACAATAATAACTTAACTGACTGCTAATCAGTAACACACACAATAATGTAGACGGCAATACAGAATCAAATATTCTATCATGTCTATTATCAGCCAATCAGTAGTCTGTCAGTAGGCCTGGCCTAAAAAATTTCGATTTATGGAAATATAAAAATAATTGCTTGGTTAGCCAATCGAATGACACAGAATCACTTTCAATTTATATATTGTGAATTGTACTTCTATCCGGTGTTGAAACTTACTTGACTTGAACCATTTTGTCGATAAGGGGTTTCCCTGTTACAAAGGCATTTACGCCAACTTCTGGCACTGCTAAACCTGAAATATCACATAAAATATGGCATTCAGTTGACTCAACTCCTATAAAATAGTCCAATAAACATACCAAAACAACTGTAAAACAATGTAAATATAAAAGGTGTGACTGTAAACTACAGTATTAACCTGAAGTTGTACATAAATGAACAATGGAACATGTTTGTTTATTTCTTTGTTGTTTAACGCCGCACTCAGCAATATTCCAGCTATATGACGGTGGTCTGCAAATAATCGACAATCATGAGCATCGATCCATGCTATATGGATACGATGACATGTTTCAACCAAGTCAGCGAGCCTGACCACCTGATCCTGTTAGTCGCCTCTTACGACAAACACAGTCGCCTTTTACGGCAAGCATGGTTTGCTGACGACCCGTTCTACCCCGGATCTTCACGGGGAGGCAAGCATGGGTTGCTGAAGACCTATTCTACCCCAGATCTTCACAGGGAGGCAAGCATGGGTTGCTGAAGACCTATTCTACCCCAGATCTTCACGGGGAGGCAAGCATGGGTTGCTGAAGACCTATTCTACCCCGAATCTTCACGGGGAGGCAAGCATGGGTTGCTGAAGACCTATTCTACCCCGGATCTTCACGGGGAGGCAAGCATGGGTTGCTGAAGACCTATTCTACCCCAGATCTTCACATGTACATACCTCCATGAACATATCAGCATTACACCATGTGCCATGCAAGGGTACTGTCAAGAACTGGCACAGTCACATTGAGTGAGATCATCACCAGACTCAATTATTTACAGACCGCCATCATATAGCTAGAATAGTGCACTATTTATAAGAAATGAAGAAAGAGAGTGAGTGAGCATGGTTTTACGCCACTTTAAGCAATATTCCAGCAATATCACGGCGGGGGACAGCAGAAATGGGCGTCACACATTGTACCCATGTCGGGATTTGAACACGGGTCTTCGGCATGACGAATGTACGCTTTATCCACTAGGCTACCCGACCGCCCCAGAAGAGAAAGAACAATGCCATCACTCATCAAGGAAGAAATTGTCTTGCTCAGTGCACTAACCATCAGCAAGGGTGGAGGTAATTTTAGTGTAGACAGGCTTCCCTGCATTAAGAGCTGCTGCAAAACTGGCACATTTTTCAGATTCCACACCCTGGAAAGGGAGATAACTTCTATTATCAACATTATGTTTACAAAACACTCACAGTTCAGAAGAAAGAAGTATTATTTCAGAAGTCAGCTCCAAGTACTCTGGACTGGCTACAACCACAGCACTACTCTTAGGGGGAGCTCTCTGTTTCTATTTCTTTTCAACCAATATCAGTGCTTATGAAACTGGATGTCAAAGACAGAACAGTAATGGGTACTAGTTTTCAAGTCCTCAAATAAAGAAGATAACAAATACTAGCATATTAGTTTACATACAATGAAAGCTTGTTAACTCAAACATTTAATGTTTATCAGAAAGAGATACATTGAAGTCAATTCTTAAAATCACTATTTACATAAAATGTTTGTTAAACTCACGATGATCTGCACATTTGGATGAAGGCTCTTGATGGCCAGCGCTGTCCCTGCAATGAGCCCACCCCCTCCGACAGGGATGATACAGGCGTCGAGGTCAGGCACCTGCTCCACAATCTCCAGCCCCATCGTCCCCTGGCCGGCCAGAATGTGGGGGTGGTCGTACCTGGACAGACACAGGTCACATGAAGCACAGGCACTCAAAGATATAGAACACTGCTGAGGCAACACAAGCCCATCAACTTTATACAATCAATAATTGCTGAACAAATGCTGAACAGTTGGTTTTAAAATATTTCTGACTGGATATTAAATATGTCAACAGATAAAAATAATCCTGGATATTTGCTCCATTACATTTCCCGAATGTACAAAGATATTAGCCCTGTTAGTATTTCAGTCTCTTAGAAAAAATAATGTCGTTTGTTATTTATTACAATTTATTGAAAAGAAGTGTAACCTACTGAAAGATGAATGTCAAAATAAAAAGGCAAGTTGCTGATTTTCTGAGATTCAAAACCAATCAAGGAGAGGGTGTATTTCTTCCTGGATTGCCGTATGTAATAGATTCCTTAGTGGCAGTCAGTTTCCACCAGAAACAGTGATAAATGACTTCCTCATTAAAGTGTAATAAGTAATCAACACCGGTGGCTCACCTGTGTAATTTGTCACAGAGTGTGCAGAATTACATCCCTTATCCGTAGTGGATCTCCCGGTGATCATATCTACAATTTTCCCTGCTGTGGTCCGAGGTCTACACATCTATGACTTACATAACTTCAGGCTTTCCTCTTATTAAGCTGCTGGCTGTGATAGAACTGAAGCTCTGATGAGTGTGTGAGTGAGTGAGTATGGTTTTTACGCCGCTTTTAGCAATATTCCAGCAATATCACGGCGGGGGACACCAGGAATGGGCTTCACACATTGTACCCATGTCGGTAATCGAACTCGGGTCTTCGGCGTGACGAGCAAAGGCTTAACCACTAGGCTAGCCGACCACCCCAAAGCTCTGATGAAAACAGAGCTAAGCCAAGTCACTCGCTGTTGATTGAAATGTACAAACATCTGTTGACTGAACTTACCCATTAATGTACAGCAGATCATTCTTCTTTCCAATGTTCATTGCCACTACCTTGGACTGAAACAATAAGGGTTGTGTGCTGTCACAATCACAAAGAATTATTTATAACCTTTTACAAAACTGTTAGCTACTCATAATGCAATGATCAAAGTGTTTATTGTAGGTTCAGATGTTCACCTGTTAAAATGTTTGACCGAATCAAGAGTGCCAGTGATGTTATTAAGGGTAAGAACCAATTCTTTTATTTTGTAAGCCTGACCTGTTTACTTCTGAAACTGGGTGTTCTAACATATTATGGGTGCTTCATTCAGTATTTGGCTGGGTTTCCATTCCCTATATCTGCATGTTGACCATTTTGAGAAATGAAAACTTTATGTTTTCATAAGTAAGGATCTCATATATGTCTTCTGACATGTCAGTATTTTTAACTACAATTTTATTATCATTATGAGGACAGTTTACACATTGAAAGGGCAATGGTGACATGCACCTGAAGAAGGTCTTGCCATGTACAATAACTTTGAAGAAACATCTCAAAAATGACAAATTATGCATGAATGATTTGTTCATTGGTATAGAGGAGAGCTTTAGCACCCAATTAAAATCACAAAACACTGTAGTCTGTGTAAGGACAAAAGCAGTCCATTCAAAAATATTGTACACAAACCCACTGCATGTGAAGGCTATTATGGGCAGCCATTCGGTTAAAAAATACAAAATTAAAAAAAGGACAAAATTACACAATAAAGGTCAAATAATACGAATAAAGAACTAAATGTTACTAATAAAGGTCATTGTTCTAAAATCATGCTAGAATCCATGAATGTATTATGAAAGGAAAACTGTCCCAAATGTAATGTGGAACTAACACCGAAAATATGTATGTAGCATTTTATTGCTTATATATATCCTATCATATTCAACAACGCAAGAATGTTATTTTGAAACACGTTTTGTCAAGCCCATTTTCGTGCACCTGTTGTAGAGATTGATCTGAAATTGCTGATCGACGATATCCATAGACGTATTGCGTGGGATACAATTATAATAGTGAAACTTATCAGCGTGTACATCGCAGAAATATGAAGCATGCTCATTTATATTCACCGTAACATTGAATGGTGATTCTTAAATATCAACAAAAGTTCAAATAAAGTTTACCAAGAAACTTGCATGTTGATTTATCGTCTACCGTTTCCGGGTCACGGGAGCATGCAAGGTCAAACGGATTAAATAATACGCCAATTACATCATCAAAGTCAAATTTTTATTTCATATTAGTGGTGATTACTGATACTATGTAATGACTTATGTTTTTGCTGTATGTGATAGGCGAAATATTTCATAATTTACTGTAACTGTTTTGGTACTAAAAATTATCAGGAGACAACCCCTGTCTGTGAAATCACATCCGGTGACCTTTGCACTTACTGAATTATTGCTATCAGAATTCACGATCTTTATTGTCGTTTTTCTCTTGTCATATTAATTGGAAAATGACAAATAAAACATCCTTCGATTGAGAAGATTGTCAACTTTCGCCAAGGCATATTTATAAAGGCAATGTAAACTTTGTTGATATTGAAATAGCAAAGTGTTATTCAGAGGTCGGGCGAAGCGCGACATATGTTTGATTTAGCATCATGACACGATTGTTTATTTTTGTTTATCGTAAATATTCAATCAAAACGCTTGAAATTAGGATTAGTGAATATTTATAAGTCATTAATTGTTTCCTGCAAATTTTATAACACGACAAGTCAGATTAACCCGAATGTTCATATTCTGCAACCGACATGATGACCTTGAAAATTAAGTTATTTCCTGTTTAACGTTTAGATAAGAAAGTTACTGAAATGGTTCATAATTTACCATCGCGCTGTTATTTACGGATAAAAAACCCCGAATTTTTACACAATTAAAATTAAGATATCAGTGATATGATTATTGAAATCAATTTGCACAAATGTTACGATATTAAAAGGTTCCTAGCATGATACGCAAACCACCTTCAATAACGCAATTCAGGTAAGTTCAAGAAAAGTTACAAATGTTCGCTTTGGTCTTAACCTTGGTATGATTGAAAACATCTGGACATTTTTATATAGTACTGTGTAGTTTTCTATCAGGAATAAATCACCCGCCCTCTTTAGAGCGCCTTATGCTAAAATTAATCCAGCAGGCAGGGGTAAGAAGTGTGAAAATAATTCAGCAGGCTAAAGGTTAATTAAAGAGCATCCTAGAGTCCTTACCTCAGCAATGTCCTGTCCTTTCACTAACACATTGGCACCATAATGTCGGCAAGCGGACACTTTCATGAGCGGTGCCACAATTGGCATGACGACAGTGACTGGGATGCCAAGGTCATTGCCATGAAATGACAGTGCCAGAGCATGGTTACCGGCACTGGCTGCAATCACCCCCTTCTTCTTCTGTTCCTGTACACACAGAGTTGACTGTCAACGTCATCAACACACAGTTGACTGTCAACGTCATCAACACACACAATACACAGTTGACTGTCAACGTCATCAACACACACAACACACAGTTGACTGTCAACGTCATCAACACACACAACACACAGTTGACTATCAACATCATGAACAGACAATATTTGAGCAACTGCTCCAAAGTAAAACTTTTTTCATTTTTGGTTTGTAACTGTTGGGAACCAAAAGCCACCACTCAAGAAATAAACAAACTAATAAAAGGCTACGTCCATATGGTTATTTAGTTTAGTATTGTGGATGAGAAAAACTACAAATTGCAATTTGATTTTGTTATACACAGAGCTGAAATGCCAACCGTGCTCAAAATATGGGGGTCTGGGGTCCTTGAGGTTTGCCAAAGAATCTAGGGACCCTAAATGTTTTACTTTTATCATTAGGGAAACGCCAAGAACCCTAAGACTTTTATGCTTAATTTCGACCACCACTTTATAGCATTGTCTAAAAAGTTTGGAGTAACTGTAATTGAAAGATTTTTCTCCTAATACATTGTTTTGTCTGAGTGAACTACACTACTTACATTAGACAGCAGTAGCAGAGTGTATCTCGCTCCTCGCTCCTTGAAACTGGAACAAACACAACACATCTTTGGTGATCGTAATAATCATAGATTTGAAGGCACATTTAAGTCAACCCTGGAGATCAAGTGTGTGGGTATGCGCAGATCAAGAGTCCTAGTGCTATTGATTACATGTACTGGAGATAAAATCCTAGGTTCCACTGAATACATGTAGAAAAAGTCATATAGTTGCCAGATAATATATGTGGATAAGTGTTAATTGCCATGATATATACATGCAGATAATGGAAATAAAGTCCTAGTTGCCACTGAGTACGTCATCAAGTTGCGTGCGCATGTTCGAATCTCAAGAAATGTTTTATCGTGAAATTAGCCATGCTTCGTTCTTCATTGTTCTTTGTGATTTATTGCGTAGCTATCTTATATATGTGGATAGAGCGTTAGTTGCCATTATATATATATACATGCAGATAATGTAGATAAAGTCCTAGTTGCTATAGTGAGTGAGTATGGTTTTACGCCGTTTTTAGCACTATTCCAGCAATATCATGGCTGGGGACACCAGAAATGGGCTTCACATGTACCCATGTAGGGAATCAAACCCGGGTCTTCGGCGTGAAGAGCGAATGCTTTAACCACTAGGCTACCCGACTCCTAGTTGCTATAGAATACATGTAGATAAAGTCCTAGTTGCTATAGAATACATGTATATAAAGTCCTAGTTGCCATAGAATACATGTAGATAAAGTCCTTGTTGCTGTAGAATACATGTAGATAAAGTCCTAGTTGCTATAGAATACATGTAGATAAAGTCCTAGTTGCTATAGAATACATGTAGATAAAGTCCTAGTTGCTATAGAATACATGTAGATAAAGTCCTTATTGCCACTGAATATATTCAGATAAAGTCCTAGCTGCTATTTAATATACTTGTAAGTAGAGTTTGCTTTAAGAAAAATAAGCAAGAAAAACAATGATGTCAGCTGACCTCCCTGTGTACTGCAGAAACTCCTTCTTGAAGTAGAGTGACATTCCAAACAAGTTGGACATCTGAGATTTCTGAAAACATCAGTCGGGATGAATCTCCTATTACAGTCAGCACAGTGCAAGAATACGATGACTAAGCAATTATAATGAAAGAGTGAGAGTGAGAGACTGCTGGGTGGTGCACTGCATTATTTAGCCATATCACAGTTGTTGAGACCAAGAAGGGCTTCCCACATTGTACCAATTCACACTGTGTCTAAACCTTTTGAGATTACTAGCGCGACACATCACTTGACGTTACTTTCAGTAGATCATAGACTTAATGTAGGGGACCCGTGAAGATTCCAGGGTAGAATAGGTCTTCAGCAACCCATACTTGCCGTAAAAGGCGACTGTGCTTGTCGTAAAAGGCAACTAACGGGATTGGGTGGTCAGGCTCGCTGACTTGGTTGATCCATGTCATCGATCCCAATTGCGTGGATTGATGCTCATGATGTCAATCACTGGATTGTCTGGTCCAGACTCAATTATTTTACAGACCACCGTCATATAGCTGGAATACTGCTGAGTGCGGCGTTAAACAACAAACCAACCAACCAACCAACTTAATGTATGGATTTTTAAAGAACTTTTGACTTTTAGACTAATGACTAGCTACTGCATATGGAGCACAGGACCCAGACAAGCCAATGCCTAACCACGTGGCTACCACACAGCTCCTACATGGTCTAAGAAACTATGATACATCTATTTAGTCTAAACTATAGGTATACTACGTACAGTGCATGGTGTTTTCTGGATGCCCCCTTTGATCTTGTAGGCAGCAGCACTGATGTCCTGGAACTTGATGACCTGTGGATTTTGGGGGTCACAGAACTCATCATGGACCTCAACATACTCCTCGTCCTCATCCTCATTCGGGGTCTTTGGATCCATCACGTACACGTCAAGGTTATCCTGACTGTCTGCTACCACCCCATTACATGCCTGCTTAAAGGAACAAATTAGGACATTACTACTCCATTTCTCTTTTAAATGTACACAAGTCTCCTCCAAAATCCTTAAGAAAATTAATAATCATTTAGACAATGAACTTCAAGCTACACGCAGTTATGGATTATATTCCAGAGTGAATAAATTTTGTAAGTTTGAGCCTTGTGAGGGAATTTCAACATTACATGTTGGGCAGATAATCTGTAATTCTGATTTGTGAGCAGTTTATTCTTTACATTAGTCTTTTTTTCTGAGAAATGTGGGTGTCCTGATCTCGGTGGGGGGTGGGGTGGGGTGGGGTGGGGGGGCATCAGCTCTGCCTATTGTTGGATATGACATCACATAGAATAGTTTGATATTGTGAACAATGGATGACGCCATCTTCAATTATTTGCAACAGTGACATCACATAGCTAAGAGCCTCTTGGCAAACAATAAATATATATTGTTTATGAAGACACTAAATGTTAGACAAGAGGTCATCAGTCAAGTAGGTCAAACATGAAAGACCAGAGACTATATACTGTATTCGACGTAATAAGCGCCCTGCTCTAATATTTGCTAATATATTGGCTAGTGAACAATCCCAATTAGCACCCCTTCCGATTGATCAATGTACACAAGACATATTTATTCTTGAATAATACTTATGTTATATGCACCCTTAATTATGGGAAATTAAATTCTGGAAAAATATATCTATCGTATATAAACATTTCAGGCTGTCAGCATAAACCACAAAATGTAAGATCTTTCAACTCTGTTGTTTTTCACCAAAATAATATTCTAATAAGAGCCCCCCATTTCTAATTTTGAGAGCGCCCTGGGCACTTATTATGTCGAATACGGTATGCAGAATAATACGAATAAAACATTGTACCTCCTCAATGTTATTTAGGTTAAAGTTTCCTCAGTTTGTTCATGCATTCATGTTTGAATCACCACCACTGTATATGTACTGGCAAGAACTCATCATAAGTACAATAAGAAAACTCCAGTAAACATAAGACCAAAGACAAGTTCATTTCTTCCAGGCTTGTCTATCTTACCTGTTGCTCATGAAACTTTTCTGCTAATTTCTAACACTGTATAGATCAACAAATAATCCAGACTTCTCCAAATGATAGAAAATCTGTTACATTAATCAATAACTACAACAACCAAGTGAGAACCTTGGGAGTGTGCTGAGAGTGAGTGATCTGAGTTGGGTTAACGCTGCTTTAATATTCCAGTTATATCACAGCATGTCAGCTGGATGTGGGAGGAAAGCCCAAAGTGATGCAGGTCTCAGACGTTTACCACTTTGGTGAAAACCCAGGAGCACGGGTATGGCGCTGACAAACCTAGAAACATAATCGGGGTGAACTGGGATTTGAACCCTTGATCATAAGTTTTTTGCCTACCCAAGGGACGCATATCTGAACAGAGAATTATGGCGCCTTACTGGGCCTTCCTTGCCCACAATGTGCTAAGAAAGATCAGCTAACAACCCTTTGACATGGTTCAGAAAGTTTCACATCTGAATATTTTGTCCATGTTGAATCCATGTGTGATGAGAGACTATTGCTAATCTGAGAGAAGACGGCCACACTACCAGCCACAGTGTACATTGAGCAAACAGCTGAACATAGTATTGTACAGGCAAGATGACAACAACACACATCGCAGAACTCACCACGACTTGTGAATGACCTTCACTACAGCTAAGAACTTCCTACAGGATGCCCCAGATCAATTCTTGTTGCAGTGACTGACATACCTTTGGATGTGTGTCAAATGGGTTCATGATATTCAAAAGGAAAGATTTAACATGAACTGAGAATACTCAGTTCTGATTGGTCAATCAAAGGTATCAAATCATTTCTGATGTTCTTACCCATTAACCATATAATAACATCTAGTTTTGTCCATATAATGCTGAAAAGCACATTTTACTCTGTCAATGCCAATCAATTAAGATATTTTCATTGTTACTTTACTTGGCAATATCGGTGTACATTTTTTTATGGATTATAGATATATGATGTAACATACATGTGTAAATATTTCATTATCCCAAACTGGCTTCTACAGGAGATATCACTTGGGTGCATTACAATTATTTGCAGACCATATAACGTCAGGATTTATCAAATACATCAAAACTCATCAATAACAGTTAAAACCGCCTGAGCAATCCCCAAGAGTTTTTCAACCAAAATCATTATAGGTAAAATATTAATATAAACTTCTCAGCCATAAACCCTGAATGTTTCATAGCCATTTCAGTAACTGTGATCCAAGGTCTTAAACATTCAACCAATCAAATGATTGCCTTAGCAAAGCAAAAGGCGGCAGAGAATAACATCCTGACCAATGAAATTACAGCTCTCAGTTTTGGCAAATTTCAAACTTTACCGGCATGTCAAAGTAAAACAAACTTGAGTTGTAAGTAAATTTAGGGAGCCATACGTTAATGTGCGCTGTAACTGAGTTAGCGTTATATTGAAGGGCGCAATAGTGAGTGAAAACTGTAAATAGACACAAATTACACACCTTCTACCAGCAACATGTAATTTCTGTTACTGTAAACAATAATTTGTATGATTTTACAGAGACATTTTTTCATTAGATCATAGTAATGGTTACTGCAGGTATAATGAGATTGCTGCAGTTGCCTCTTGGAATCTAGTCTTTGTGAAATGCTAGTGCATGTCTTCACTGAATGTTTCTCGCAAAGTTATGGCCAAGACACTTCAAATAGTCAGCATAAAAGTTTGATTTGATAAGTGCAAATGGTTATTTGAGTTAAAATTCATTAAAGCACTGAATATGGACAATATTTAACTTCGAGTATAATATAAAATGATTTTGTTTTAGTGCAGCATGGCCATAAAAAGGTCACAATGATTTTGTTTGACATGTGCTAATATCAGCCCACTACAGTGATAATCAGAGCAAACATGAAGAATATTTCACATGAGTGAATTAATGTTTTTACATGACCATGCATGTCTTGCTATCTAACTCCAATCCCACTTGTAGTTTTAATTACATTTTATATTTGGACGTAGTTAGGGTGAAGTATGATTGACTTGTGCACTAGGGTGTGTGTTTATTTATATAGTCACAGAACTCATGCAGTCTCTACACTGATATAAATGAGTAGTGAGTTATCCATGTGTAAGTATTACATATGAATTTAAGACCCGGCTACATATATTTTTCCTAGCTTTACTGATAAACATTCTGTGACAGAGTAAAATACCAGGGCAACTGCCAGAGACACATGCCAATCTAGAACATTTTCATGATTTTATGAATATTGAATACCACATTTTTTTATATATATTACCAATTTCAAAGAATATTTAGGACATTTTGGATAATATTAGGTTGACAACAAATTTATCTTACCGACATTCATTCCTACAAGTCCAGAAAACATGTCAACAGTTTCACAGAGGTAGCAAATCTTGAACCAGACGGATTTGGATAAAAATGTTGGTTCACTTCAGAAACTCAACAGTACTTATGAGAGATAAGCATGTTACCTAAGATGTGTTCTGATTGATTTCTCAGCAGACGACATGAAATATGTACCCCACCTAGCCTGTGAGCGGCTATATGAAAAATAACCAATCAGAAGCTCGTATTTTAATGTACGTTAAGAGGAAAATCAGTGTCCTAGAATAGACCCAATAATGACCTGCTGTGTACCATTGAGAGTATGTTTATTTATTTACCTTACTACTAGTAAGTAACATTCAATCTCTTTTCAGAAAAATAAATATTGTTTACATAAATTTATTTTTTACCTTACATCAAATATAACCTATTTATCCAAATTTAGTACTAAATCATATACATGTGCATCTGTACATCATGACATATTCCTAGGCTAGCCAACAGAAACATAATTAGCTCCATCAGAGACCATATATGGTCTCTGGCTCCATTAATGTTAATTTTTCAGGAATAGCCAGTTAAATGCTGACTAAGTTATAAATGTGCTTGTTTTATCTCCAATAACAGCTGGCAATAAAATTCAGTCATATGAAAACAATAGCATGCTTTATCTCTCTCACAGCAAGAGAGTGCTAGCAAATAAGTCAGTTATCTTAAACAAACTACAGACAAGGCAACAAAAACAAGCACTCACTTATCCTCGATCCAGAACAACAAAGCCAACTTGAATAACACAAAACCTCTTCAAGGATTTTAAATTTTAACCATGCTTACAAACCACACAGTTTTAACAATTTCATCCCTGATAATATAATACAACTTACAGATAATCTGATTACACCTCTCTAACCTCCATCCGAATAGATGTGATCTCACAACACGTGGTGAAATGAACCGTTGATGCTGTCACCAACTGTCACATCAGCTCACGCGGAGGTCGTCTGCCATGTGGACATTATTTGCATGTGACAAACATGTTTATGAGGGACTGCTGCTATTGGCTACCACACACAGGCTGAGTGTTCACATTCCATAATAAATGAGGGATCAAGGCAAGTACCTTGTCTGACTCCTGTTGATGGAACAGGGTACGAACGGCCTGCTATTTGTTACACAGTGCATTATATATTATGGGAGGGTATTTCAAATATTTCAATTACTTGAAAAATAAGATATAATTAGCTTAGGTAAGAACAAATTAATTCCTTAATATTTAGAATACTTTTTAATAATTCCTGATGCGATTTCTTTTAAAATTATTGTTTATATCATTTCTGGCTGGTACTCACATCTCAACTGGAATATTAATTACCAGAGATGATAACTGTCACAATATGCTACTGCAGTGTTCATGCATGCTGTGCATTACTCATAATGGAAACATACACCAAACAGATGGAGCTGCCCAATCAAGCCTGTTGTATTAACGAGCATTAATTAGCATGATTAGTGGCCTGCTGATTATTAGGTTTGTCTGAAGCAAGCGATATGGCTGTCTCCTTTTTCCCACTTATGATAACTTCAGGGTCTAGTGATTATGCCAGCCAATTCTTCATTCCCTCAATGTAATGAATAAATCCACTGTGTTTAAAGTAGAAAATGTTCTTACAGAAAAATGAATATGTATATGTTCATGACTACTCTTAAACAGATATGGTGGTATTGTATAGACTGATACTTTATTGTCATGAAAATAGGAGTGCAATTTGTACATACTTGGATTTTATATAAATGTCAAGGTAAAAGATTGGGGGGGGGGGGGGGGGGGGGCATTAAAACAATGGGCAGATCATATGTAGTAGTAGTAGTAGTAGTAGTAGTAGTAGTAGTAGTAGTAGTAGTAGTCTCAATATGTTACAACAATGTACAGTTGTGGGGATTGTCTATACAGGTAGCATACAAAAATACTTTCATGGAACTTGTTAGGCTGATACTTTGATCGTGACTGCTCCTGCCTACACTGACTGTGTTCATCACCTTGTTCACAAGTGTTATAAGAAGTTAGGTTTATTAAAGAAACATGCACAGATAATGCCCTCCAATTACTATTATACAGAGAATTTTGACTGCAGGAGCTGTTTTATGAAATAAGTCAGTTTTACTCTGCATTTAGCAATATTCCAGCGATCTCACATAACAGTGGTGGGACACCAGAAATGGGGCTTTACACGTTGTACCTATGTGGGGAATTGAAACTGGCCTGACAAGCGATTGCTTTAACTGCTGGGCTTACCCAACGCCCGTTTTTCTGAAATAAAGTAGTCCAATTTGTTTTATGAGCAGACTGAGTTCTTAGCCGATATATATGCAGTTTAATCTTTTTGCTGTATTTGATTTCAAGTCAATCTTGGCACGCAGATCTAGGACAACTGTTAGTGTAAAACAAGAGAGGCTTTTGTAAAAAAGACAAAACTTAACATGAAGAATGTGAAAGATTATGTAAGTCAGAAGAGTGAGTGAGTACATTCATCAAAGCACATGCATGCCGCGGACAAGCTAGGCGCCCCAGGTTACACCATTAAGATGCCATCAAGATCTAAAAACAAGTATTTGAATGTTGCAGTAACAGCTGTCCTTTGGGAATGATTCAAGAAGTGGTGTGAAGACACTTAACATACAGATGTAGATAACAAATTAATCATGCAGCCTATGGCAGCCTTCTTGAAAATGTTATTTTGTCTCATGGATAGGTCTGGGGTACACTAGCATCTAGTCTCTGAAATGAACATATTGTACAGGAAAAAAAACAGTTGTTCAATTATCTTAATAAAACTTTAATAAGGAGCCCAGAGACTCTTCATTTTCAGATACTGCAATAATCTAGACTTGCCAAACATTATAGACTTGCATGAGCTGTATTGGATATATTTGTATTAGGGCTGGGACGATAAATCGGGTACTTGAGTCGGGTGGGACCCGTGGTTAGTCATATGATATATTCATTTATGACATTAACAATAAAATTTCATGGTTACACTTTATAAGTACAAGTCGCTAATGTTCACATTTCTTTCTGACTGTGCACACATTCCTTCTGACTTTGATGCGTTTGAGTAAAGACAAAGCTTCAGTCAACTTCAGTATATGCATGATCAGATCGTTTTATACTATATATAAATACTTTTTGCCAGGGCTCCATTAAAAAACTTCCATTTGAACATTTTGTACCTAAGAGTAGGGTCAGGGTAGGGTCAGGTAATAGTATGTCGAGTACCCGGGTAGTAAACTTAGACTCGTCCCAGCCTAATTTGTATCAGGGTCTGTATACCAGACTAGGTCTAGGGCTGTGGAGATACATTTTTGTCACGTTACTTACATTAACAGTAATAATGCAGTACGAAACATGATGATAATGAATTGTGAATTTTTATAATAGTCCACATGACACTATACACTACTGAAAATGAAGCTAAGAGCCCAGTTTGGGCTAGTCGTCTCCAGTCAGAACCCCCTGTTCGGAATTAATGGGATCCACTTGACCTTTAGGTTAGCTGCTGTGGTGTTTGAATCTAAGGAATTGTTAATTCTGTGACAGTTTCAACATTAGGGTTATGACAATCTAACCAACAAAAACATAATGACTTTCATAAATAATTTTGAGACACTGCACAGTAATTTCAGAATGTGATGAAACAGTCCATTGCATACAAAAGCAAACTTTTCAAAGACAAAGTGAGAGATAAATTGAAGATTTCAGATGTACGAAATGAAAGGTATCCACAAAGACTACAACAGATTACACAGATAGAGACATAACACATTCACAATGCACAGGGGCCCACAAAGCGATCTTAGCAGTAAGGTGATCGTAACTCCCACTCTTCAACAAGAAACCATGAAATAGATTTTATTTTATAGTCTCTGCTTCAACATAGACTTACGACAGGTATAGCTCTAAGATCGCTTAGTGGAACAAAGCCCTGGACTTTTAGCAATACTCACCAATCATCTGGTGTTCGCAAAACAGTTCAAACTCATATCAACAAGCATTCCTATAGAATGTGAGGGAATAGCATAACAACACAGTGGGAAATATCCTAGCTCCCTGACAGCAGCTGCTCACTGCTGTAGTGACTGGACCCTGCATGGAGGGTGGGTCTGGAGGGTCAACAGTGTACACCACTCCACTTGCTCAATCGGGCTACAGAGTCTTCCCTGAGTGGTCACCCATCCATACAAACATCACCTAGCAACCATCCCTCAACAGGGACTAGGCTCGAGCCAATTGGCAATCCTAGTGTATTCAAAATGAGTTTTGTACATTCTTAGTCCACTAGTCCTTATTATGATAACATATAGCAAAACCCTTAATAATGGCAAATTTCTACTAGTCCTTATGATACCGAAACTATTGGGCAGTTTGGCAAGGACTACGGGACTGGTGCCAGTTTCTAGCACTGCTGTGTGTGTGTAAACTAAAATTTTATTGTTTGTACTGATCAAACTGTTAATAATAACTCTATTAACATAGAGAGACAATGTCTTAAACTTGACATATCACTGAATAAAACATCTAGTCCTAGTCTCAAAAGAAGCTGTATTCACAATGTGGGACTACCTTTGGATATATCATGATATATATTTGATGAAGTCTGAATGAAAAGATTTTACAGGAAGTCAAATTAATGATGAATTAATATAGGAATGGAAATCACCCCTAATCATTTATAATGACATTCACGATGATCCAGTTAAATATATAAACAGTTGTCCAATCAAATTACACACATCAAAGACTTATCTATATCATGTATATACGTCTTTGCACACATGTACAAGAGAAAATTTGAGGCAAGTTACTGACAAGAGGGACAGGGATCAATCCATTCCAGGCATCAATTCTAAAATGGATGACGGTGCCAACCTCCTTTTACTATGCCAAAAGTCAAAGCCTGTAAGTTGTATTCCAGATCCTGCAGTGCAATGCGCCTGATGCCATGAAATGTTTATCTGATACGCAGATGCCAATATCTCAAAGTTGAAATGTATTTTTCGTCTTTTTTTCTTGCAAAGAGCAACAAATCACTAAAATATTTCACCCTAAGCTTATGAACATGCAGGGTCATGCATTCCATGTGATAATACCAGTCCGATTTACTTGTACCAGCTGTGCACACTGACAAGACTCAAGGGTTCTTAAACTGATTGCCAAGACACTCAAGAATCTAAGGTAGTGCGTGGTTCCATGACAAGCTGATCAAGGATGCGCTAATGACGGGAGTCAGTTAGTCATCTATTTGTTATCAGTAATCAAATACAAGTGTAAATGATAGCTTGTATTTTTCATGAAGACTGAAAAATACCTCATGTGACATGAACCCTTATGGGACATGACTTCTCACTTGTATCGAAATACAAACTAATGTAATATAATAAGTATATAATATGTATATATACTATTTCATTAAAGTCAGTTGAGATGTATTTGTGATAATCCAAATAATTGTTATGTGATTTTATATTGAATATATGCAGACAACAATATTCTGAAATTTAATAAAACAAATAAATTACTGACTGAAATAAAACTGTCAATAACTAACCTCTTTACTATTACTTAAACGTCATATGATAAGGTCAAGGTCAAATTCAGGAAATGCCTTGTGTTGATTGGTCAATATGTAGTTGATGTCGTCATAATACATCGGAGGTGTGTCATTTTAATCCAATCAGCTCAAAGTGTGTGGTAAAACTGTACGTTGACCAAAGCATCGTCTGCTTGGTGACTGTCGTTTTGCAAGGTCAATGTAAACACAAATCTCAGTTGGTGTCTATTTCTAATAATTGAACATGGACGTGTCAAAAGAGTATTATGAAATAGGTGAGAAAATGTGGTTTCAACCGGTTTTACCCAAAACGAATGATTACGTGATGTTTTTGTCTTGGGGATACTTTGTCGTGTGTACGTCAGTGATTCTGTCTTCCTTCGTGACACATTGATACTAAAAATATGTTCACTCTGTCCATCAATACACAAAATATGAATGAAAATATCCTTAAACAAGCGTCATACTTTCCTGTATGAGATAAAAACTAGTTCAAAGCAGACTCAGTACCCATGTATCAGTAACAATGTTATAAGATCAAAACAAAAACGCACGTCAAAATTAGTTTCTCCGTTCATAGCGCTTTTGTTGACTGGTCAGTTGATAGCCAAGTGCCTTCGGTTGGATCTCGTTGCGAGGGTATGATGTCCTTGCGGTCAGGCACACTTCTGCGTAAATATATATACGGTCACGGCAGACACCAACACATGGGTGGGTGTTTACGTTTTGATTGATGGAAGTGTTCGGTCACGTGACTCATTCAATGCCCCCATTACTCGAATACTAGATACCACACAGCTGCTAACAGTAATGATAACAAGTTTGAGTACTCAACTGAATCTACTTCGAAAACAGTTGTACATTGGGGTATATATCCAACTCATCTTTTAATAGGGATAATCAGTTATGCCAGATATATTAAATATACACATTACATAGAATGAGAATCAGTTTTGTGTATCAATGAAGGATAGAATATATCCCTAGCAAAAGTGGTGTGGTATACTTCGATAACATGCACCAAAGACGTATATAGATCTATATACGTTTGCATGCTTTGAATAGTATCGTAAGATTTTGCCCTGCGTAGCATACACGATAACACGTGAACTGAAACAATATCTTGTTTGTGAACTAAAATGACTTAAATAATACAAAACCGATTACATAAGTAAATAATTTCAAGTTAAAGCGCAATTTACATAATTGACTCGCGGCGTATAAAATTGTGAAATAATGTTTAATCTATAAATAATAATTACATTGTAATGTTTGAATTGATGAAATTGAAGACACTAGACAACCATGTACATGTATGGTATTCCAGACTGACAACAGCACCAACAATCAAACGAATATCGTAGACTGCACAGTGAGAAAGTAGAGGTGGCAAGAAACTGGCGGAATATTTACCTACCTAGTGTTGGATGTTATTACACTGACATTTATTCCCAGAAATAAAATTATCTTATTTAAAAATATATATCTACAAAATAAAAATCCAAATGGAGCCCAGAACAAACCTTAATTTACTGAGGCAATCTAGACTTGCCAAATCATTCTAGACTTGAGTTGGACTCCTTTTTAAATGTTTTCTCTTGCGTCTGGGAGACAGACTATAGGATATTATAATTGCGAGGGGAAGTGAAATACATTGTTAGTCATAGTAACAGTATAGCTCAGTACATGTATTTTCCTACATCGGGTGTTGAATGGTCATTGAATACGCATGGCTTATAGTTTATTCCAACTGACGCCTCTCTATCCATGTTTTGCCTTACATCCTGTGCTATATGGGATTAAAATCTTATCCCTTTTCATTTCGACGTGTAGTGTTGGTTATATTAGTCGCGGTCGGATTCGACCATTGTGCGGATTGATAAACATTTAAGAGGTGTGTATGTGATTTTGTACCCAAAACTGTTTTTGTACCCTTGGGGTTTTTGTACTCAAATCCTAAAACATATCTATTTAAGTATATAATTATATTTATTTGTACCTTACACTGCAAATAATGACATGAATATGAAGCACTGTATACTTCATATCCCTACTAAAATAATGCATAACCACACAGTGCCTCAAGTCAAAGGTCAAGCTCTATATATAATCCCCAGGATTCACACGTTCCTACACAATCTACAACAGGTCTGGGAGCTGAATCGCAGGACCGTTGGCTCTGGCAAGTTCATAGTACATGTGACCGCCTCCGTGGTCTAGTGGTAGAGCGTCCGCCCGGAGAGCGGAAGGTCCGGGGTTCGATCCCCGGCCGCGTCATACCAAAAGACGTTAAAAGATGGTACTTGTTGTTACCCTGTCTGGCACTCGGCATTAAGGGGCTAAAACAAGGACTGGTCGGCTCGGAGTCAGTATACTGTGTCTGAGTGGGGTATTCATGTTAAACTGCGGCATGGTATCTCAGTGAGCTAGCACTATAAATCGGCATTAGTCCGGACTAGTACAAGCACCCTCACACGTACATACACGTGTATGCACGTCGCTATATAAGTGCAATAATCTTGGACGCGACGTTCAACCCCATTTCACCTCACCCAATAGTATTTGTCAACTGCCTTGAGTGCTTGTTTTGTAGGGTGTGCGATATGACTGGTACAGGTGTACAGGTGTATTGCGTGGACATCCTCAATAAACATAGTATATAGCAATACGACCCTTCAGTATCGACGTCTTCCGTCCAATCCTATTAATGTATTATGTCAATAATCCTATTGATGTAGTATGTCAATAATCCTATTGACGCAGCATGTCAATAATGGATCAATAAAACAGTAACTGAATATTTTGAAACTAATACAATAATGTAGGGAAAATTTGATGGATGCACAATTACATACTGGTTTGGGTAGAGAACATCACAAGAAATTTTGGGTACAAAATCACTACATCCCTTTGAGAGATTGTTGGGTTACTTATTCAGACATGCATCACAGTTTCATCACGCCCCTCATTATCACCATTATGATCTAACTACAACAACGCAGTAATAATAATCCATTATGTGTTATTGTGTGTGTTAATTTATTGAAAATGTTTGACATGCTTAACAAGATAACACAGTAGCTGTCAAACATGAAACGATGAATCTATGAAATATCAGAATATCGTTTGGTTATATTTATATGATATATTTATATTTATGAAGTTTCTCCGATGATTTGAAAATAATCTAAAAAGATCTACAACAACTATCGAGAAATCGGTTATCTCTCTGCACAGTCAGCAGACGCCTTGAAACATACACGTTGTTATTAGTTGTTGCGAATATATGATATATTTACACCAGGAACATGGCGGAAATGCAAGTAGATGGAAAGAATGTTGTCAATATGTGAGAAAAGTTAGTTAAATGGTGTGCATAAAATGTTTGGACCGTTATTTGCATATTATTCGCCTGTGCCATGATTGTTACACAGGATAACTCACAGACATGTCGTCCAAAGGGCGAAAACTGGCGAAAAATATTGGGAAATCCCTTCGCAAAAAGTTTACCGATTCAGAAGGTCGACCTGACCAGCAACAGGTAACAATCTAATAAAAAGTTTTGTCTGCAAGGTTTTTATGTCTGTGCTAAGCCTTTAGATCTCTTAGCCACTGTCGCTGATTGTGTTTCTTGTATACGTACTGTACCAATACAAGGAAACAAGAAGAACCGTATGCTTGTGAAAGTTTACAAAGTTTCTCAAAGTTTTGTTCATCCCGATAAAGTTTGACATTTCATAAAGATAAACAGTCTAACGTCAAATATTGAGAAGAAGGTGGATATTTGTTAGTTTCTGTTACCAGTAAGACCATTAAGGTGTTGTTATGCTTGAAGAGGCACATACAGACAGAACAATATGAATGTTTGTTTTTGGTTTTGATTTTGAGACAGATTTTGTAGATGTCTCACGCCATTGCTCATCCGTCAGAAACTGTTTTACTAGAAATGTGATGTTGTCATCCTTCATAAAATCTATTTAAATAGTAACAAATTAATATTATAACAATTATTGAACATAATTAAATGTTTTGCAAAAACATATTGTTAACATTGTTAATGCCTGCATCATAAATGTTTTCACCTGTTGTCCATATGAAGGAATGCAACCAGAAATGTTTTGTGTTAATAGATTTATTTTTTTCCTGAATGAAATTTGACAGAAAATTCAAACTATGTTGCTTTTCTGTCATGTGGGTTAAGATTTGAGCAATAATAATCAAAGCAAAATGAACTCTCATCAATATTTCAGTATTGTACTTTATGGCGGTTTTGTATAATTATGTTAGTGAATGAAATATGGAAAACCTCTTTAGCAAGGTTCATATTTGCCATAATAAGAGCCCTTTGTGCTTAGAAACTTAACAAAGGAGCTTATTAAAAACATACTTGATGTCAGAGATCAAGCAAGAGTGAACAAAATTAGTTCAAATGTTGGTGTAACTTCATCTTCTGCAATAATAAGTTAGCAGACAAGCTGACTGACAATCTGAAAAGTATTTGCTATCCAGGTAAGCATTTTTAGATGCTGCAATCAAAATTGTCATATGTGATTTTCTTGTATGATGAATGAAAATAACAATCACAACATATGTTTTATCTTTGTTCCCATGCCGTGATTCAGTAAACAATGCCCCACATTATGACTTCAAAGATTGCTTAGTGCAAAGATGAAAAAAACTAATCTGTAACCATTATCATTCCCCATATAAATCTCTCCAACTTATTATAATAATCAAAGCAATCAGAAATACACCCCTGGTTCATACATTAGCATTTGTTAATACCGGGTAGTTTATTATGAAAGGATCAGTGTGGCAGGTCACTGTTTGATACCGACTAATGATTGATCGCGTAATAGTATAACTCTGAAGCGACATTATCTACTTTCAGTTTTAAAATGACAACAACCATGACTCAGTTTATGTCAAATTTTGGCAATTAAGGTATCCATTCTCTGGGAAATAAGGTTCTTTTGAAGGCACCAGTAACACCAGTCTGATCAGTGTTGCTGTAATTAACAGTGAATGATGTTGAGTTGGTGTTATAGGCCAACTTGCTGTCGCACAAATTCGCCAAATTGAAATTCACCACTTAGAAGTAAATGTTCAATAATATAAATGCGGTGATGAAATGGATGATAAATACCGAAACATATAGAAGAGTTATTTTTATTAATATATTATGTGACTAAACATTCTAAACAGCATACTTCAAAACAAAAATGATTCGCTATTTTTGTTAATGTTTTTGCTTTGGAAAGAAAATCAAAACTCAATGTCTGCGTGTATAATATGCATTCCTTCTACATAGATAAAAGGAATACACATAAAACTACAGACTGTCATGTAAACGTACAGGCATAGTACTGGGCACTTATAAAGATTACTTGCAGATTTGTGGTCAATGGGTGCTGGAGAAGGGTACTCAGCATGCTTAGTGAATACACTCTGTTTAGAAATCTTTTGATAGGCATGATAGGTCTGAACATCAGGTGTACATTGGTATAATATTCCTTACCAAACAGGGGGCATGGGGTGGCCCAGTTGTCTAAGGCATCGCGATTCGCTATGCAGAGTTGCGTCCCTTGGGCACGCCAGAAACCTATGATTATGGGTTCAAAACCCGGTTCGCCCCGATTATGTTTCTAGGTTTGTCAGCACCATACCCGTGCTCGTGGGTTTCACCAAAGTGGTAAATATCTGAGACCTGTATCACTTCGGGCTTTCCTCCCACATTAAGCTGACATGCTGCAATATAACTGGACTACTGTTAAAAGTGGCGTTAAACCCAACTCAGTGACTCCTTATTCTACATGTTTGTAAGAATGTCAAACAAGTAGGTCTTTGCTAGTACTAGTACTTTCCCAAATTTAAGATTCTGTAGAAATCGCATATATATGCTTTGGTGTTTAGAGATAATGCATCACATTTCTCAGTTTTAGTCTTTACTGTTCATGATACTGATGTGAATAGTAGTCAATATTTAATCTCCTGTCCAAACTAACATCTAACACAGATGCATGATTAGAATCAGCAGTACATAAGCTGAAATAGTTGTGCTTTTTAGATTTATGAACAAGCAGTTTTCAAGTATATTTGGAAAGTTTACATCCCCGAGGACAAGAGAAAATGTTATTTGGGTTCCACTCTTGTAACACAATAACACTTTATTCTGCTCCTCCATTGTTCGGACGTGCAATTCCTTAGCGAGTGAGTCAGCTGGTTAACAAACATGAATCATTAGTCTTCCCTGGGTGTGCAGTGGTATGCCTTGATGGAGTAAGGGATGGGTACCTCTCCATGCGTCGGCGACATGACCTACTGATGTTGTTCAGATTTTCTCCAACATGATCCCAGCTCTCTTGAGACGACATGGTCCCTGTTCTCTCGAGACGGCATTGTCCAAGCTCTCTCAAGACGGCATGGTCCCAGCTCTCTCAAGACGGCATGGTCCCAGCTCTCTCGAGACGGCATGGTCCCAGTTCTCTCAAGACGGCATGGTCCCAGCTCTCTCGAGATGACATGGTCCCAGCTCTCTCGAGACGGCATGGTCCCAGTTCTCTCGATACGGCATGGTCCCAGCTCTCTCAAGACGGCATGGTCCCAGCTCTCTCAAGACGGCATGGTCCCAGCTCTCTTGAGACGACATGGTCCCAGCTCTCTCGAGACGGCATGGTCCCAGCTCTCTTGAGACGGCATGGTCCCAGCTCTCTCGAGACGGCATGGTCCCAGCTCTCTTGAGACGGCATGGTCCCAGCTCTCTTGAGACGGCATGGTCCCAGCTCTCTCAAGACGGCATGGTCCCAGCTCTCTCGAGACGGCATGGTCCCAGCTCTCTCAAGACGGCATGGTCCCAGCTCTCTTGAGACGACATGGTCCCAGTTCTCTCAAGACGGCATGGTCCCAGCTCTCTCGAGATGACATGGTCCCAGCTCTCTCGAGACGGCATGGTCCCAGTTCTCTCGAGAAGGCATGGTCCCAGCTCTCTCAAGACGGCATGGTCCCAGCTCTCTCGAGAAGGCATGGTCCCAGCTCTCTCGAGATGACATGGTCCCAGCTCTCTCGAGACGGCATGGTCCCAGTTCTCTCGAGACGGCATGGTCCCAGCTCTCTCAAGACGGCATGGTCCCATCTCTCTCAAGACGGCATGGTCCCAGCTCTCTCAAGACGGCATGGTCCCAGCTCTCTCGAGACGGCATGGTCCCAGTTCTCTCAAGACGGCATGGTCCCAGCTCTCTCGAGATGACATGGTCCCAGCTCTCTCGAGACGGCATGGTCCCAGTTCTCTCGAGACGGCATGGTCCCAGCTCTCTCAAGACGGCATGGTCCCAGCTCTCTCAAGACGGCATGGTCCCAGCTCTCTCGAGACGACATGGTCCCAGCTCTCTCGAGAAGGCATGGTCCCAGCTCTCTCCAGATGACATGGTCCCAGCTCTCGAGACGACATGGTCCCAGCTCTCGTGAGACAACGTTGGTCCCAGCTCTCGAGATGACATGGTCCCAGCTCTCTCTTGATGACATTGTCCCAGCTCTCACGAGACTTAATGGTTCCAGCTCTTTCGAGATGACATGGTCCCAGCTCTCTTGAGATGACATTGTTTGAGCTCTCTCGGCAAAACATGGTCCCAGCTCTCACGAGATGGCATGGTCCCATCACTCTCGAGACGGCATGGTCCCAGCTCTCTCGAGACGGCATGGCTCCAACTCTCTGGAGACGTCATGGTCCCAGCCCTCGAGACGACATGGTCCCAGCTCTTGAGACGACATGGTCCCAGCTCTCTTGAGACGACATGGTCCCAGCTCTTGAGACGACATGGTCCCAGCTCTCTCGAGACGGCATGGCTCCAACTCTCTGGAGACGTCATGGTCCCAGCCCTCGAGACGACATGGTCCCAGCTCTTGAGACAACATGATCCCAGCTCTCTTGAGATGACATGGTCCCAGCTCTCTTGAGATGACATTGTTTCAGCTCTTTCGACACAACATGATCCCAGCTCTCGAGACGACATGGTTCCTGCTCTCTTGAGACGACATGGTCCCAGCTCTCTCGAGACGACATGGTCCCAGTTCTCTCGAGACGACATGATCCCAGCTCTCTTGAGATGACAATGTAGAGTTACGATATCAGGCTTAGACACAACCCTTAGTCTGCTAGTCCTGGCACCAATGAAAATCTGCTACTGCTTGTTTTCTCCCCAAATCTGTTTATTTGAAATACTCCGCTCGTCCTGAATACAGTGGAGCAGTTAGATTAAACTCATGTTCTTTACCCATTTTAGAGAAAATTATCAAATAGGTCAAGACTTTCCACACCAAGGAAGTTATCGGTATTTTCTTACACATGAAGAGAATTTTCAGTATTATTTCAATTTGGCTTTTAAAGGCTATCGGTGCCTGATGTCAGAGTGAGGGGTAACTTCTAACAGATACACTGGTATATTGCCATTCAAATATAAATTGTTGGAGTCATGGCAATAGGAAGTGGGTTATATATAACACTTTATTTGATGTTTTTTATCATGTCTTTCTCCCACGAGATGCTAATCCAACAGTTACAAGGTGTACATAATGGGATGTTGAGTTTTTGATGTTTGATTTATTTATGTCAGCATGGTCAGATTGTCTAAAATATTCACGATTCTGGCATGATAAAATCCAGAGTACAAGGAACAAACACTGAATGTCAACGTCTTTTAAATGTCAGCTGGAGAAAGTTCATCTTCAGAAAGTGCCAGAATGTTTCATATGTCATAATGTTGCTTTGTAAAGGAAATAATGATATGAGAAGCTGTAACAAAGCTTTCATTTCAGAAGTATTAGTAAAATTACAATATATGACAGTAAAATATACTATGGAACTTTAATTTTTATTACAAATAAGAAAGTGAAATAAAGATCATGTGTATGTTTTTTTGAGCATGAAAAATGTGAAAAAAGTCAAAGTATTAAGTACTGTCTCTACTCTCTAGTAATATTGACTATTGATCAACTATCACCATGATCAATGTCTGTAAACATTATAATTGTCAACATGGTCAATGCAATTATAGGCATGATAGGTGTGAATATTGTCCTGACTGAATATGTATTCAGAGTGAAAGTATACTACTCAATAGAAGTTAAAGAACTACTCATTTGTTTCATATAACTATAGTTAATCTGTCATGTCATTACAAAATCGGGTGTTCTTTAACTTCTTTTGAGTAGTATATACCAGATCGTAAGTAATAGATCTTGAGTGTTAGTTAATGTTAATTGTGAAAATATCATGCACATTTTGCCAACATGTATAATCATGATAATAGTTAGCTGTATACGTTGCAGGAATCTGTTTATTCTGGAGGGCTAGAGATTGACCTGGGGGAGGGGCAGGTGGGCGGGGCAGGCCTTCTCCAGCCTACTGCCCCAGGACAACAGAAAGTCCTGAAGAGCTCTTCCCTTGGGAGCATTCACAATGAAGATGGTAGTGCTGTGATTGTCGACCAGGATGACATCATAGCTCTTACCACTGATGTCAAAAGCTTCTCTGATGCCTTGGCCAAACTGAAGACTGCATTCACCTCGGGAACAGGTACTGTGTTCTACTTTACATTGACTGACCCCGGCTCATTAGCTTCACAAGGTTATTCATCAGTTCATAGAGCACCCGAAGTTAGTGCTTGAGGAAACATGATCTGTCGAAGAATTTTCCATGTCTCGATTTCCTGTTTACTGTTTTATGTGATTTTTTTTTTTTTTTAACACGTTGAATGAAATATATCAACACTTGTTGATTCAAGTTCAAATCCGTTATCGCCTTGTGTTGCCTTGATGGATCTAATACTGGAAATGAATGGTGTATTGTTTCTGTTTTCTGTGGAGAATGACATCCTGTAGTTTCTCAGTTTTATCCGACAAAGTATCTGCATTATAATTACATGCTTAGTGTAAGGGAAGAACATTTTTTTACAGCTGTATTCAGTTTAGAAGTTCTTTTCATGTAGACAAAGTATAAGATGTTGGATACTGGTAGTGTAAGCATCTGGTAGTGTAAGCATCTGGTGTGACTACTGCCCAACAACCACTGTTTATATATCAGGGAACAGGATGTCAAGCAACAACTGCTTCCTCTTATATAATGTTCCCTTTCTTTCAATCTCTTAGTTTTCAGTGAAAACAAATGAAACTGTCCCTCTTGGGCCTATTTTATTACAATATTGTGGAATAATTTTAAAAACTCTTGTAAAACTAAAAACTAAAATCACCTTCTTGCTTTTTCAATAAAATGTGATGTTGCAAGTTACATGAAAACACATGAATATGGCAAATATTTAGAAAGCACTTGACATAAATCAGTTGTGTGTCTCTATTATTGAAATAACTGAATACTGTTGTGCAGGTGTCTCACATACAAGAGACGGTTGGCCGTCTTGCATACATAGTATGTCTGCGACTGTTCAAAACAGCATTAAACCCAACTCACTCACTCACTTACTCTATTGTAGAAACAGCTGATGAGGCTCATGTGCTGGCACACGAGCGTCTTGGGGAGGTCATCTGCATCCTCAAGAATGTCCTCAATCGCTATCCGGCTCTCCACTCCACTGATCTCTTCTCATCAGCGGGAACACTTATTGGAAAAATCAAAAGTAGGTATTGTTAAATTGAACTTCTTATGGTTGTCATTGCAAGCTGGCACAAGTGCACATGGTGGGATGCGTGATCACCTAAATACTGTTGTTGTTCCATAACATTGATATTTCATGTAACCCAAGTTTGTCAAAAGTGTTTGGTGTATAACGTCACCCTCAGCAATATTCCAGCTATGTGACAGAGGTCTGTAAATAATTGAGTCTGGACCAGACAATCACGTGATTGATATAATAAGCATCAATCCTCTCAATTGGGATACAATGACATGCATCAAGCAAGGCTGAGTGCCTCACCATCTGATCCTGTTAGTTGCCTCTTGCGACAAGCATGGGTTCCGAAGACCAATTCTAACCCTGATCTTCATCTGGAGTCCACTAATAAAGATCAGGTGGTTGTGGTATGCAGCCTTTCAGATTGTGTACAATTGTACCCTAACAGTGTGGATAGTGCCTGACTTCCTGTCCCAGACTCTCTCATGTACAGACAGCTGTGATATAGCTGGCATAGTGCTGTTTAAACTACATTCACTTACTCAAACTGAGAATCAGCATATCCTGTTATATGCCAAGAATCTGTTCTTTGGGGAGTTAGTTTGTTTTTGTTATACCAAATGTCCATGTTGATAAGCCAAACACACATTTAGCATGTTTAGGTACAAGGTCCTATGTGGTGATGTATTATGAATGCTTCAACAGTATTAAGAGACCACCTCCATGGTCTAGTGGATAGAACATCTGCCCGGAGAGCTCTAGGTCGGTGGTTTGATTCCTGGCTGTTTCATACCAACAGACATGAAAAGATTGTTCTTGTTCTTACCCTTCCTGGCACGCTGTGTGAAGGGGATAAAACAATAAACTGATAATTATGTCTCCCTATCGTCACCACGTGTCACTGTGTAACATAACACATCTGTGTGTATTAATCATGTCAATCAACTACGATTTGTCCCAAAGGTCACAACTATGAGAGTACACGCGACCCCGATGTGATACAGGGTTTCTGCGATGCCATTGATCAGCTTGCCCTGGCTTTCAGCAGCAGGTAGGAAACAACACAGAGAATAGCATAGAAATATAATCCTGATTAACTTAACACCTTCATCAGTTCCATCAACTGGTACTTCCATCCACCGGGTACATAGTAAATGCACAGTGTCCTCATGTGCTACAATTTGCAGTTCTGTGCTCGGGCCGGTGGGGTAGCCTAGTGGTTAAAGCGTTTGCTCATCACGCCAAAACCCGGGTTCAATTCCCCACATGGGCACAATGTGTGAAGTCGATTTCTTGTGTCCCCCGACGTGATATTGCTGGAATATTGCTAAAAGCCATACACACTCAATCACTCAGTTCTGTGCTCACAATCTTCATGAAGCCAAATATATTTTTAAGTCTATCACTCAGAAATGTCTTCAGACATTACCCACTTTCGGAGCTATGTAAGCTGCCAGATGTATTGTATGTTTGTTGTATATGAACATGTTGATGTTCTCCCCTGACACACCCCCTTGTCTCCCTGCAGTGTGTCGGAGTACCTGATGGGGGGTGGAGAACCGGAGCTGTCTGTGGACGCCAGAACAAAGGTGAGTCTGGGTCATCATCAGGGGATACCTTGACAACCAATCACCCATAGTAATATGTTTGTTAGGATTTGTCATGTGATCACAGTTATTCATGTCTCCATGGTTTCCAACTTATTTCTCTGTGGTGATTCAGAGGCAGAAAAGATTTTGTGTATCCAATGCTATTTGTAGGACCCATCCCTGTAGGTATTCCGGGTTACTATAGGTACGCAGCAGCCGATGCTGGTCATGCCAAGTTTGGTGACTATGTTGATTGCATGTCATTGTACCTCCACTGTGTGGAACATTGCTCACAATATCAGACCTCCTCCGTGGTCTAGAGGTAGAGCGTCCTCCCAGAGAGCGGAAGGTTCGGGATTCGATCCCCGGCCACGTCATAACAAAAGACTTGAAAAGATGGTACTTGTTGTTACCCTGTCTGGCGCTCGGCATGAAGGGGCTTAAACAAGGACTGGTCGGCTCGGAGTCCGTATGAAGTGTCTGAGTGGGGCATTCATGTTAAACTGCGGCATGGTATCTCAGTGTGCTAGCACTATAAATCGGCATCAACAAGCACAAGCAGCCACACACACACACACATGTGCATGCACGTTGCTATATAAGTGCAATAATCTTGTTCATAATATCCATCACTGGATTGTCTGGCCCAGATTTGCCCGCCTTTGCGGTCTATTGGTAAAGTGTCCGCCCTGAGAGCAGAAGGTCTTGGGTTCGATCCCCGGCCGTGTCATACCAAAAGACGTTAAAAGATAGTACAAGTTGTTACCCTGTGTAGCGCTCGGCATTAAGGGTCTAAAACAAGGACTGGTCGGCTCAGAGTCAGTATACTGTGTCTTAGTGGAGTATTAATGTTATTCTGCGGAAATGGTATCTCAGTGGGCTAGCACTATAAATCGGCATCAGTCCGGACAAGTACAAGCAGCCACACAAACACACATGCAGGCACGTCTCTATATAAGTGCAATAATCTTGGACACGACACTAAACCCCATTTCACCTCACCACTTTTGTCCCAGATTCTATTAGTTACAGGTCACTGTTTTATAGCTTGAATATTGCTGAGTGTGGTATTAAAGAACAAACAAATAATAAGAATTGCCAAAGCATTTTCAGAAATGACATGAAAAGTGTTTTTGTTCATCACTGTTTGTGATTATGTAGTATTATGTAGTATTATAGGTGGCTCACGTGTCTAAGATGCCACTATTTGCTGACCAGGGTTTGAATCCCAGTTGGGGGCGGTCGGGTAGCCTAGTGGTTAAAGCATTGGCTTCTCACGCCGAAGACCCGAGTTCGATTCCCGACATGGGTACAATGTGTGAAGCCCATTTCTGGTGTCAAAGCAGTGTCAAACCCAACTCATTCACTCACTCACTCATATTATATTTATGTGATCTGCTATCTTTCCCCAGTCCTATGATAACCTGACCTCCTTGGGGAGAGAAAATCGTGATGGATCATCAACACTTAATGGTAAATCCTCTGGTGAGTTTGTTTTCAGCTATCTTGTTATTGAATGTGTTTGTGTAGTAGCTACAGATATCTCTAGATATTGAGATATATTAAGTTGTCAGCAATGGCGTATTCATGCAACACTCATAAAACGTTATTATACCCCCGTTTACGAAGTAAATCGGGGGGTATATAGCGTTCCGTCTGTCCGTCTGTCCCATAAGTTTTTAACCATGCACCCTAGCTTCACCAAACCTGCTACACATATTTACCACAATGAGTACTTGTGCCTTTTGTAGTTTGAAGATTCTGAATTTTTTAATTTTTGCCATTTCCATGGAAACATTAGAAACTTAAACTTTTAGGGTGGGTGTTTTGTACGGCCCATATCTTTTTAACAATGCACCCTAGCTTCACCAAACGTGCTACGCCCATTTACCACAATGAGTACTTGTGCCTTTTGCTAGTTTGAAGATTGTGATTTTTTTTATTTTTGCCATTTCCATCGAATCATGGTGAAACATAAATTTTGGGTAGAGTTTTTGTACGATTCATGTTTACAATATTATGTATCCTAGCTTCAGCAAACTTGCTACATTAACCACTATGATTGTTTTTTATCTTTTATAATATTCTGAAAGTTTTCTCTTTTGCTGTTTTCATGGAAACATGATGGAATTTAGAAATTTTGATGACTGGTTTTGTATAGCTCATGGGGTTACAAAAGAAAGGGCAGTTCCTCTGACTTAAAGCAACAGGTATATTTCATTAATTAACAAACAATTCAGATAACCATCAATTTAGTCCTGTGTTACAAAGACCTGCTATGTTGATAGGCATGCTGTCTGCCAGGGAGATCGATTCGTCCCTGGTCCGCCTGGAGGCCGGCCTTGACCTTGCCCTACAGAGAGCTAAGGCGTGGTCCAAGTACGCCCGTGACATCATGACGTACATCGAGAAGAAAGCCCAGCTAGGTGAGGGGACCTACTCTTGTAGTGGTCAGATTGTATTCCGGAGAGCGCAAAGAAAGGTTTTTGGTTTGATACCCGGCCACATCATACCAAAAGACATCAAAAGATGGTTACTTGTTAACCTCCCTGGATGAAGGGGATAAAACAAGGACTAATCGATTTGGCGTATACTGTGTGTGGGGAGGTATCCATGTTAAACTAGCATGGTAGTTGCTATATAAGTGCATTAATCTTGAATGTAACGTTAAACCCCATGTACAAATGTAGCCATTATTTGATTTTTAGTTAGTCTACTATTTGATAAAATAACTGTTAGACCATTGTTGTTATTTTGGTCAATGCAGAGAGTCCAATGAGAAGCCATTACTTTGATGAATGTCCTGAACATGCTGAAGAAGCAGCCATTTCATGGAAGCCAGTTGTTCAACCTCAACCATGACTGTTACAATATAGAGGTTCTTTGATTTACAGACAACACCATAATTAAACTAAAATAATTTCATATGATGGGTCAAGATTATTGTGGTAATGGAACAGTGTGTTTGTTTCAGAATGTGAATATTCGAAGAACTTGTCTCGGTTAGCACAAACTATGCGGCCTGTTTTAACGGATGAGGTATGTGGACGTTGTCATGTTGTCTTCTTGATGACATAACATTGAACATAGGTTAATCTCATACTGTAATTGTTTGCAGACATGTAATTGATTATGATACTTTTGTTTACAACATGTACAAGATGTAGATTATCTCACATCATTATTAAGGATCATAATAGAGAGGTATGGCACTAGGGCAAGTTCATGATCTTATTAACTTTTGATAGGACATTCTTCTGTATCAATCTGAAGCCCTGATGTATAAATTTGAGGAAAGGTGATTATAGTGCTGCAAGTGAGATAACTCCTGCAGCCTTGACTTACGACGACCTTGACAGTAATACATGTAGTCGTGTTTGTAGGTGACCTGGTACTTCTTCCCACCATCACTACTGTGGGCAAGGTGACCCAGTGGTCTGAGACGCCCAATATGAGCTTTAGTCCTACATGACTCTGATTTAACTGAATTACTTTTGAATGCAGTATCAAGTTGAAAGTTGAGACCTCACTCACTCACTGACTTACTTTTTCCTATTTGCAGGGTTTTCTTCCCCTACAGTCAGTCTACTGCACAGTTCTAGCACAGGTAAATCAACACTATTTCATCTCTCTAGCTTTTTTGTGAGTCGTCATTGCAGAGTGGGAGCATGGGTGGGCAAGTTGTCTAGGGTGCCACAATTTGCAGTGCAGAGTCGCGTCCTTTGGGCGTGCCAGGAACCTTATGTCGGGGGTACACTTCCTGGTTACCCCGATCACATTTCTAGGTTTGTCAGCACCATACCTGTGCTCCTATGTTTCACCAAAGTGGTTAAATGGCTGAGACATGGATCACTTCAAGCTTTCCTTCCACACTGAGCTGAAATATAACTGGAATACTGTTCAGAGACTGTTATGTTTACCAGCTCTTACTCACTCACTCATTGCACCTTGATAAACACACTGCCAGTTGTGAATTAAAAAATCAGAAATGTGTTTTGCATATTGAATGATGTAGATATTGAAATCACCGCCACGTTGTTTTCAGTTTAAGTATGTGACTTGCACAAGTTGAACTGCTAGATTCTTTGTTTCCCTCCACTTTGACAAAGCCCTGTACATCTTGAAATCATTTGTAGCCTGTCCTCTTTAATGACCTTATTTTGTTTTACTAGGACATTGAATTTGCCAGCAACTGCCAGGCAACCCAAGCTCTCCTGCAGACAAGCAAGTTTATTGAGGTATGGTTGATTAACTTGAGGGTTATGATTAATACCTGATCACAATACCTTCATATTAAGAAGGGTTTCTTAAAAATGTGATGCCTTTTCTTATTGTTCAAATAATTCATGTGCAGCCGTGCTGACATCTGACTCTGGGTTTGAATCAAGAATTCATCCAGTTACAATCATTGATACCTTTGAGGGGTCCAAGTTAGAATAGTTCAATCAGTACCAATAGTAGAAACGACCTGCGCTGGTAGTAGGGAGCGACCAAATGGATCGGTTGGTCGGGCTCGGTGACTTGCTTGATTGCATGTCATCGTACCCATATGGCGTGGATTGTTGCTCACAATATCAATCACTGGATCGTCCAATTGTTTACAGGCTGCTGTCATATGGCTGGAAAATGTTTGGCATAACAACAAACAAATATGATCCTTGATCTGTCAGCCCATGCTTATGTTTTTTTTTCCAAAGTTTTATTTGACTTTTGTCCTACGTTAAGCTAATACGGTGTGATATAATGCAGATGTTGATCAATTGTGTTTGACACATTCCCTATCTCACTGAGATGATCAGCAAAACATCTCTTTTTTGTCTTGAACAGCCCTTGGCAACACGGAGGGCTGAGCATGACAAAGTGCGAAAGTCCGTCAAAGAAATCTGGGTCAGAGAGGTCAAGAAAATGGTGAGTAGATTGTTGCCTTGTCATGTTACTATCACTGTCACAAATGGACAATCCCCTGTGAAGATCTGGGTTAGAATTGGCCTGCACAACCCATACTAATCGAAAGAGGTGACTATGCTTGTCGAAGAGGCGATATGGGATCGGGTGGTCAGGCTCGCTGACTTGGTTGATGCATGTCATCATTTCCCAATTCTGTAGCTCAGTGCTCATTTAATCACTGGATTGTCTGGCTCAGACTCAATTATTTACAGACCCCATTATACAGCTGGGATGTTGTTGAGTGTGGCATTAAACAACAAACAAAACAAATTTGAAAGAACAAATAGAACAATATGCAGTGCGAGGCTTTAGACTGCTATGGTCACTACAAGATCTGTGAGTGATTTTCCTGGCTAAATGGATGTTTCTCATAGTAGTCAAGGATTAGTTCTCATATATCCAGAGGGGGCACGGGTGGCCCAGTCGTCTAAGGTGCCGCGATTCCCTGTGCAGTTGCTTCCCTTGGGCACGCCAGAAACCTATGATCGTGGGTTCGAAACCCGGTTCGCCCCGATTATATTTCTAGGTTTGTCAGCACCATACCCGTGCTCTTGGGTTTCACCGAAGTGGTAAACGTCTGGCATCACTTCGGCATCACTTCGGGCTTTCCTCCCACATTAAGCTAACACACCGTGATATAACTGTAATACTGTTAAAAGCGATGTTAAACCCAACTCACTCACTCACTCATATATCCAGACTAGTACCATTAACTGAAGACAATATTGAAAGTTTGCTTAATGAGTAAGACAATTCCACACCCTTGATCTATTCATGTGGTAATTTCAAGACTCCTTCACTCACTGCGGATGTTGATATGTTTTTTGCACACAAGATGACTGGTAAGTAGTTTAAGATTCCTAATGATTTGTGCTTTGTTTTGTGTTTGAATAGATAAAACTTTCTTTACTGAACACAACCAGGACAGAATTGGTCTCCACTCTTCAGTACCCATACTTATCATAAGGGCTGTCTATCATTGCTAGATCCGGGGTAAACTAGGTCTTCAGCAACCCATGCTTGCCATCAAAGGTGACTTTGCTTGTTGTAAGAGGCGACAAACGGGATCGGGTGATTAGGCTGGCTGACTTGGTTGATGCATGTCATCGTATCCCAATTCCATGGATCGATGCTCATGTCAATCACTGGATTGTCTGGCCCAGACTCCATTATTTGCAGACCGCCATCATATAGCTGGAATATTGCTGAGTGAAAAGTGTGTACTTGTTGCTCTGCCTGCACGCTGCTTTATTGGGATACGACAAGGACTGGTCGGCTCAGTATACTGTTTCTGAGTGGGGTCCATGTTAAACTGGGATAGCACTATAAAACTGGCCAGACTAGTGCAAGCAGCCACACACACACTTGCATGCACAATGCCATTTATAAGTGCAATAATCTTGAACACGACATTAAAACCCAGTTTCACCACCTCGTGAACATTAAAGGAATGATAATCTAAGATGGCAAACGTTTAGATAATTTCTTAAATTAATATGTCCAATATTTTATGATCATGAATATGATATCAGCATCTTTCAGTTCCATGTAGTAGTGTCATGTCCTCTTAACTACTATATGAGGGCCGTGGGGTAGCCTAGTGGTTAAAGTGTTCGCTTATCACGCCGAAGACCCAGGTTCAATTCCCGACATGGGTACAATGTGTGAAGCCCATTTCTGGTGTCCCCCGCCGTGATATTGCTGGAATATTGCTAAAAGCAGCGTAAAACTATACTCACTTACTTTCAGTTCCATGTAGTAGTGTCATGTTCTCTTACTATACTATGTAAAGGCGGTGGGGTAGCCTAGTGGTTAAAGCGTTCTCTCGTCTCGCTGAAGGCCTGGGTTCAATTCCCCACAAGGGTACAATATGTGAAGCCCATTTCTGGTCTCCCCCGCCGTGAAATTGCTGGAATATTGCTAAAAGCATCGTAAAACCATACTCACTCACTCACTCACTCACTGTTTAGGGGTCAGATGGCTCATATTAGTATAATGCACTGAAGAATTGTGTTTCAGCATGGTAACCCTTATCAATTTGTGACTTTAGCCACAAGTTTGGCCCAGTAAGTCCATACATTATTACCAAGATCTACTGAAAATGATAGGCAAATCAACTCCAAAGTTTTGGGAACAGACTGCCTTGTAGAGGGTCCAGGTTAGAATAGGTCCTGTGAAGATCCGGGGTAGAATAGGTCTTCAGCAACCCATGCTTGCCATACAAGGCGACTATGCTTGTCGTAAGAGGCGATTTGGTGGTCAGGCTCGCTGACTTGGTTGATACATGTCATTGATCCCAATTGTGTGAAGACCGGTCAAGATTCCGGGGTAGAATAGGTCTTCAGCAACCCATGATTGCCGTAAAAGGTGACTATGCTTGTTGTAAAAGGCAACTAACGGGATCGGGTGGTCAGGCTCGCTGACTTGGTTGATGCATGTCATCGATCCCAATTGCATGGATCGATGCTCATGATGTCAGTCACTGGATTGTCTGGTCCAGACTCGATTATTTACAGACCACTGTCATTTAGCTGTAATATTGCTGAGTGTGGCGTTAAGCAACAAACAAACAAAATAGAATAGGTCCTAAGTAAACTATCTGATAATATGAAACAGATTATCATGCTCAGTTACTAGTAGGGCTGGGACGAGTCCAAATTTACTACCCGGGTATCCACCCTGCTATTACCCGACCCTTCCCTGGTACCCGCTGTAGGTCTCAATAAATAGGTATAAAATGTCCGATTGGGAAACATTTGACCGTACTCCTGTCAAAATAAATATAGATGCACATATAAACTGATCTGGCCATGCATACAGTAGACTGAAGTCATATTAAGCAAACATATAAAGTCAGAAGGAATGTGTGTATAGTCATAAAGAAATGTGAACATTTGTCACTTTTAGTGTAACCATAGAGTTCTAGGTAATTTTGGCCATTAAACAATATAATCACGTGACTGACCATGGGTCTGGGTAGGCCTGTGGGTACCCGGGTCCTCCTCAGTACCCACCCGACCCGAGTACCCGTGTTACCCGTCCCAGCCCTAGTGACTAGGTTGATTTGCATGTCATTGTACGGCTACAGCGTGGGACGGTGCTTGTAATATTAATCACTGGTTTGCCTGGTTCATACTTGATTATTTACAGGCTGTCATCATATGATTGGAATAGTGCTGAGTGTGGCCTGAAAAAACAAAAACAAAACCCAAACAAACAAAAGGCCAAAGTAGTAAACATTACTTACCTTACTAATGTAACCTCAATGAAACCTTACTGTTTGATTGGCATGCTAGAAGTTGGTGAGTAAATCAGGAAACATACAACTTTATCATCTTCATGGATAATAACTTCTTGTCTTGCATTTTAGATGTTTCGATGTAGATTCTTACACCATTATGCCCGAGTCACATATCCACCGATGCCGGGAAATATTAGTTTACGATGCCCGAAAAGGCTGAATATCGACAAAATTGAGAGATACCAGATAGGGTGCCGGACGATCATCTGTGAGCATTGGCCATGTTTTTGACATCGGGAAGACCTCGGTGGACACATCAGAAGAAAATAACTCTGAGTTATTTTCTTATTGCGACCGGTGGTCCACACCACCATCAGTAATGGATCTGTGACACATGTTCCGGCAGCCCACCAGTGACCCTCCAGGCACCTGCCAGACCGCGATGGAGGCAGACAAATTTTGCAGTGCGCATGGTCATTGGTGTGGTATGGTCATTGGAGGATAGACGAAAGGTCATCTGCCGGGAATTGGTCAATACCTGCCGGGAATTGGTCAATACTCGGAATGTTCCCCTCCGGTGAAATCCACCGATGCCACCACATCGTCTGGCAACTGTTTTATATATGACTGAGGCATTATCAAGCTTGATAACAGTGAAAGAATTTACATTGCTAAGTTCAGTACACCAGAAACTTTTGTCCATCAGGTTGTTGCATGTTTTCTTTTTCTCGTGTAAAACCTGTATCATTTTGAAATAGCCTCCCACATTCAGCTAGGACCAAAATGCAATTAACATCAGCGCTAACCCCTCAGCACCTCGTCATTGTTCCTGGCTATTGTGTTCCAGCAAGATGCAGTGACAGGTCTACGCAAGGCCCAGCACATGTACATAGCACGGCAACAGGACTATGAGAAGGCACATGAACAGGCACAGAAAACAGACTCTGACAAACACGACAAGCGGAAGAAGCTGGAAGAGGACGCCATGCATAAAGTGGGTCACAGGATCAGCTTATCTCAGCGTCATATTCATATTCAATACAACCATGTTAACATCAGTTGAATACTTCAATTAATTAATTTGAAACATAGAGGGGATTTTGTGTTCATGTTTCAACATGTTCAAGACCTCTTATCGTAGAAGTGTATTATACGTAAGGAGGTGTATGTTGTTTGTAAGCGTGTTTGTTTCAAGTCCAGTAATCAGCTCACCAGGGCCAAATTGCACAAAGCGATCTTAGCGCTAATACTCGTATATCTATGTTAAAGTATGGGAGTTACGATCACCTTAGCGCTAAGATCGCTTTGTGCAAGTGGGTCCTGGTTTCAGTTCATCCCCCTGTGGGGATTCTGGGTTGAATTGGTCCTCAGCAACCTGTGCTGGTCATGAGAGGTGAATAAATGGATCGAATTGTCAGGATCATTATTTGGTTGAATGCATGTCACCTTATTCCGGCAGCATGGATCGTTGCTTACAATATTAATCACTGGATTATCAAGTCCAAATGCGATTATGTACAGGCCCCTTATCCTATAGCTGGGACAAGCAAAACATCCTTGATCCCTGTCACTATATATATAAGGTCCACCTTGTGACATACTTGCATCTCTATCCTGCTTGTAGGCTGCGGAGGCTGAGACAACGTACAAAGCATGTGTAGTGGAGACAAACCATCGACAGCAGGAGCTCGACAAGATCAAGGTAGGTAACCCAGATGCATCATCCATCTTGCCAGCCACTAACAAAAGTGGTATGCAGGGATCGAAACTGACATAAGTCCAGTGGTCCGAGACAAGTGATTTCCTTATAGACTGCCACATCTTCCCATGTGGTTCATTGCAAATGAATCAAATCATTTTGCGGACTCGTGTAAATAAAAATTGATTTCTAACCCTATTATGATTTTGTTCTCTTGAATTTGTGAGAGAAGAAATTGAAACTGGCACTTGTCCTATGGTCCTAAATTCTTAAAGGTTTAAGTACCCATGGAACTCGTTGAAATTAAAAGTTGAAATGTTTCCTATTTAGTGACTACCATTGTGACTTCTACCTTTAAATTATGTATTGTCCTTGATTTGGTTTTCAGGCAGAGTTATTGGGGAAGATACGAGAGCAGATACAGATGTGTGATCAAGTCATGAAATCTGTAAATATACCTTCAGCTATATGTATATAGATAAGACCAACCACATACTCACCCCAAACACCAAATACTTTGAAACTGGTATTTTTTTATATGTTCCATTTCATCACACATATCATAACTTTCAGCAATCTACAGGACCGCCTCTGTGATCTAGTGGTAGAGCGTCTGCCCGGAGAGCGGAAGGTTGGGGATTCGATCCCTGGCCTTTGTCATACCAAAAGACGTTTCAAGATGGTACTTGATATTGCCCTGCCTGAAACTCGGCTTAAAGTGGCTATAACAAGGACTGGTCGGCTCGGAGTCAATATGCTTTGTCTGAGTGGGGTATTCATGTTAAACTGCGACATGGTATTTCAGTGGCCTAGCACTATAAAATTGGCATTTGTGCGGACTAGTACAAGCAGCCACACACACACATACACACACACATACACACATGCATACACACATGCATGTGCATGCACGTCTCTATATTAGTGTACTTATTCCAGCAACAAGTTCCCTTCATACATACAACTGTACAATTACACTTACGATGCTTTCAGATATGTTCACATCCTTAAACAGATACCCGGTAATGATCTGGTCATATGTACATCTGTGTCACTTGGTTCATGCATGTCATCACATTCAAATTGTGGAGATCGATGCTCATGATGTCAATCACTAGTCGATTTTTTTAGAGACAACAAACAAAGATAATTTTCACATCTACGAACTGTTATTTTCAATAAATATTGATATTGTCAGGCCAGTGGAATGCAAGTAATATACTCCCCTTCCCCCAAAGTGCCTCACCCCCACAGTCCCCTGCCCCAACAGTGACACCCCCCCCCCCCAAAGTGGCTCACCGACACAGTGCCCAACCCCCACAGTGCCACACCCCCACACTGCCATACCCCCATAGTGCCCTGCCCCCAAAGTGCCACATTCCCATAGTTCCACACCCCCACAGTGCCCTGCCTCCACAGTGCCCCACCCTGACAGTGCCCTGCCCCCACAGTGTCCCACCCTCACCGTGGCTTGCATCCTCAGTGCTAAAGCCCCATAGTGCCCAACCCCCTAGTGCCCCACCCCCCTAGTGCCCCACCCCCCACTGTTCCCTTCCTGCAGTGCCCCACCCACATGGCCACATCCCCACAGTGCCACACCCCCACAGTGAGTGTATGCTTGTGTTGCAGGTGACTGTGGAGTACTTCCAGCTGCTGCACACTGTATCCGCCCCCCTACCTGTACAGGTATGTCCATCTCTGTCCTCTGCACCACTCCGGTGTCTTGTATCGTTACTGGGAATCTGAACACCTTTCCTTTCAAATATTGAGATCCATTGAGTAAAATTGGTTCAGATGAGATCTGAATAAAATTGGTTTAGTGATTTCCTTGAACGTGATTTGCAATAATGTTCAGACTATCAGACTAGCATCACCATTGTCATGATATTCACTTTGGATGTGCCATAACTCATTTCTTGTAAAAGAATATCTATACTGTGTAGGTTTTGGGCCCAGTGCCATAAGTTTAGTGCTATGTAAGTCTTGTAAATTACTTGTATTGGTGTACAACTATAATCAGGATTTGAAATTGGAACTTATCCTGTAGTCCTTGCCAAACTGCCCAATAGTTAAGGTATCATAAGGACTAGTAGAAAATTTGTCATTTTTAAGGGTTTTGCTATATGTTATCAATATAAGGACTAGTAGACTAAATCTGTTAATTTCTACCGCTGCTATAATCCTTCTGTTCATTGGATTCCACATTAATGATCATGTTGTGTGTGCCCTCAGTTCCACACCCTGTGTGAGAGCAGCAAGACGTACGAGCCCGGCAGTCAGTACGCCGAGTTTGTCCGCAGACTCCCAATACCCACACCCAATAGCGGCAAACTGGAACATTTCAGTTTTGAAGCATTTGTTGCTGGAGCCAAGTAAGTCTTGTCTTATGTGTTTGTTTGTTTCACTTCAATACTGACTTGTATAGAGAGAACCTTGTGGGGACTCCGGGTTAGAATACATCCCAGCAATCTATGCTGCCTGGTAAGAGGCAGTCAAATTAGATCAGGTGATGACTCGGTGACTTAGTTCACTGCGTTTATTGTATCCCGACAGCATTGTTTGCTGCTCACAGTAGCAATCACTGGACCCGTGAAGATTCCGTGATAGAATAGGTCTTCCGCAACCCATGCTTGTCATAAAAGGCGACTAACGGGATTGGGTGGTCAGGCTCGCTGACTTGATTGAAGCATGTCATCGATCCCAATTGCATGGATCGATGCTCATGATATTAATCACTGGATTGTCTGGTCCAGACTCTATTATTTACAGAGCGCCGTCATATAGCTGGAATATTGCTGTGCGGCGTAAAACAACAAACCAACAACAACAGTAGCAATCACTGGTTTGTGTGTTCCAGACTTGGTTATTTACAGACCACAGTCAGGTAGATGCAATATTGCTGAGTGCACGTTAAACAACACACAAGAAATCCCCACTATATTGCCCATGAAATTGTAACTTTGGAGAATCTCTGACACCAGTATTTCCAAGCTCCGCTGTATGATTCAACAAGGAAGGGTTCAAAATTATGGTTGCAAGTCAGGTCTTTTACTATGATGTTCAAAATCAGTTATAATACCACAGCATAAGAACTGAGAGCACATGGCCCCTTTTGTTCGAACCCTTCAAGGTGTACTTCTCCTTCCAGGTATGGTGAAGGTCGGAAGCCCAGCACACAGTCTAATGGTTCCGCCTCTTCTGACATGATACCATCAAATGAAGGATCACCGGTGTCCTCTCCTAGGAAAGGTGAGTTTATGTTACTGACATCATGTAAAGTATGTACAGGATTTGGGATGCATTTTGGCCTGTGTTGGCATGTGGTCCTATGCAAAGGTCACAGGTCACAAATCAGGTGAAGGTCGTGGAGAGTAGGTGGATGGGTGACTGCATTTGGCAGCTTGACTTTTCAGTTTCTAGTGCTTCGGTCCTGCCCCACACTAAAGCACATGTGGTGTGTCCTGGGCAAGTGACTTTATTCGAATGCCTCTGTTCACCCATCAGTGAGTAGGTACCTGGTTGGATCAGATAGGTTTGTGACTGTTAACCTTCTAGCACCTCACAGGGCCGATCGGGTAGCCTAGTGGTTAAAGCGTTAGCTCGTCACGCCGAAGACCCGGGTTCGATTCCCAACATGGGTACAATGTGTGAAACCCTTTTCTGGTGTCCCCCGCCGTGATATTGCTGGAATATTGCTAAAAGCGGCATAAAACCATACTCACTCACTCACTCACTCACTCACTCACTCACTCACTCTCGCACCTCACAGGGAGCTTTGGGTTGTATGCTGCCAAGGGAGCTGAGAATAATAATGCCCCTGTGTGCTGTGGAAATACAGCACAATATGACTAGCCTTATTTTTATTTGATACTGTTACCAGCTTATGACGTTCTTAAATCTCTGTTCTGCTTGTTGTGTCCACATTAAATGACTTTAGGCCAACTTTTTACAAATTAGAAAAGAAATATGATGGTGTTAAGTACCCATAGTTATTACGATTATATTGTAGTCGGATCAAAATGATATGTATGTATTTTCACTTCAGACAAGAATCGAGGCCCTGTAAAGGCCTGGGGTCATTCTGTGGGAATTGGTAGCGACACTGATAGTGCCAGTGGAAGTAGCAGCAACAAGTCACATGATTCATCGCCTAGCAACAGTCCCCATGCCAATATGAGGAGGCAACTGGTAGCCAGTCAGTCATTGGATGAATTAGCAGAAGAGGAGCCAGAAAAATATGCAAATGGTTTGTAAAAACTGAAACGGCCTTGAACTTGATCATGATATATATGCTTGATTGATAATTAGCTCCAGAAAGGCTTTTGTACAATATGTCATATGTGCCTTTTTTGGCTGCGGTTCTGATTCTGGATGAAACAAATAATGATCGACTTTTACCGACTTCTGTTCATGGAAAGTCCCTCATGTAAGATAGGTCAAAATCATTTACCAATGCAGTTGATCAGTATTACAGGAGTCAGTAAGTTGCTATTTAGATTTATGACATCTTCAGTTGAGCAAGATTTTCTGGGTTTATTCTTGGGTACCAAGGATTTATTCTGTCCAAGAATCCCTAGAGGTGATGTGGATGAGACTTTCATTGTTTTCTTGTAGGTGATGAACAGCGACGGAATCTCATCAAGAGAATAATGTCAGCCAGTGAAGATGTGGTAGGTGTTTAATTAAAATCTCAGAACAAAATATGCGAATAATTTTCAAATTGACAGGAACTTAAGATTCTCTGTTCAGAAAAATATGAGTTGATGAGATGATTTGTCTTTAGGGATGAGTTAGTAAGATGACCTATCGTTCCGATGTTACCGCAAGAACTGATCTAATTCTTCTCTGGGTCAGTGGGGTAGCATAATGGTTAAAGTGTTTGCCACACCAAATGCTGGGGTTTGATTCCTCCAGGAGTACGACGTATAAAGCCCATTCTAGGTGTATTCTTGCTGGAGTAGTGCTAAAAATGGCATAAAACTGGTGCACTTTAATTCAGCTGATAATTGCAAGTTTGCAGCGGCTGTAACTTAATGCTATGTGGTTTTAAGAATGATTTTTGCCATCAGCCAAACCGAGGTCGGCGGCACACAACATTTGGTGTAGACTTCCAGGAACAAGTGAACCAGTTTAAGATGGAGGTGCCGCCCATTGTGTCCATGTGTCTGTCAGAGGTAGAACTGCGTGGACTCACCATCAAGGTAGGTTCAACAACAAGCAAATGTCAGTTTACACATTTAGTTGAATTTGCAGCATTAGATATTGGCACTAGTCCTTTAGTCCTTGCCAAACTGCCCAATAGTAAAGGTATCATAAGGACTAGTAGAAATTTGCCATTTTTAAAGGTTTTGCTATATGTTATCACTATGAGGATTAGTGGAGTAAATATGTTAGTCTCTTCCACTGATTTGTATCTTAAGCTAAAAGTACTATGTATTCCGAGTTATTGAAGCCTCAATGTATCCATTTCTCTACCCAGGGAATGTATAGAGTGTCCGGTGTGAAGAGTAAAGTGGAGAACTTGTGCAATAGGTTCGACATTGACCCGGACTCGGTCGACCTCTCAGAACAACACCCTAATGTAATCTCCAATGTGCTGAAACTCTACCTACGACAGGTATGGTTTAAACTCTTATCTGTGAGGATCCAGGTGTATCTACTAATTCAACCGTGTTCAAAAAGTAGCAATCTTTTACTTTGACAGCTAGTCCAATGCTCAAGTTTACAGTTTCTACTGAAAGGGAAGCCAATGGACAGTTGGGCTTTGTCACCTTCAGTAGTTTAGTACAAGATTTGTATTCACTACTATCCTCCATCACCCATGGATACATGTGACTTCATAGTAGGGCTGGGATGGGTAACTCAGGTACTCAGGTCAGGTTGGTACTGAGAAGCACCCGGATACCCTGACCTTTGGTTAGTCACATGATATATTGTTTAACTCTATGGTTAAACTACAAGTCACTAATGTACACATTTCTTTCTCACTATGCATGCATTCCTTCTGACTTTTATGTTTAAATAAAGATAAAACATCAGTCAACTTTAGTGTATGCATGACCTGATAGTTTTTTGTGTGTATCTAAATACATTTTGCCAGGGCTACGGTCAATCTATTCCCAATCGAACATTTTGTACCTTTCTCTGGAGACCTTCAGCGATTACCCAGGTAGGGTTGGGTAATAGTGGGGTGGATACCCAGGTAGTAACTTTGGACTTGTCCCAGCCCTACTGCTTAGTGATGTATTAGAGACGTGTGTCTATTTTCATCTGATGAAATGGAGCCTTGCATTACTGTGTGTATAAACTTTGTGTGACCCCTTACATTGGCTGATACTGAAGTACTGTGTAGAGCTCATGACCGTACGTCAATGGCACATGTTGCATGGGAACCAATGCCGTTTGTACAATGTAATCTGAGGGCTCATTGGTCTGAGGAGTCTGTTCCCACATGCGGGGAGACCCGTGAAGATTCCGGGGTAGAATAGGTCTTCAGCAACCCATGCTTGCTGTAAAAGGTGACTATGCTTGTTGTAAAAGGCAACTAACGGGATGGGGTGGTCAGGCTCGCTGACTTGGTTGATGCATGTCATCGATCCAAATTGCGTGGATCGATGCTCATGAAATCAATCACTGGATTGTCTGGTCCAGACTCGATTATTTACAGACCATGGTCATATAGCTGGAATATTGCTGAGTGCGGCGCTAAACAACAAACAAACATGCCGGGACCAGGCCATGACTTGAATTGTTAGTTAAAAATAGCAACTGAACTGCAAAGTGGCTGTACATAGTCACAGGTGGTGGGAGAATGTAGTGGATACAGACTCTTGAAGTGTTGACAATGGGGGTTAGTTGTCACTGACGTTATGGGCCGAGAGTGAGAGATATAGCAGTCAGCAAAACCTGCTGAAGTCATGTCATCTTCTACATAGGCTATTTTGATTTGTATTTCAGCTTCCAGAGCCCCTGTTGACGTTTCGGTTATACTCAGATTTTATACATGTGGCAAAGGTATGTACACCTGGTATGAGGAAAGATTTTATGCATGTGGCAAAACAGAAGAGTAAATCCATTTCATTCCTGTCTTCAATGATACCATAGCTTCTAAAGATCAGGACACAAAGGTGGCCCTGTCACGTAAACCGCCACAAGTACCCGTGCAGAGTTGCCAGATATAACTGTCATCGTGGGTTTGAATCCCAGATTCTCCCTACATTCAGGATTTCTCAACACATCAAACTGTCACAGTTTTAAAACTGAAATACTGTTCAATGTGACATTAGGTAAATATCACTCTCACTCACCAGGGACCATTTAATGCTATATGAAGTATTGGGACTAAAATGGGCCCCGCAAGTCATAATGCCCTTTTTGATTCTCTTTCTGATTAAATCCTCCTTGGGGCACTTATTGCATTTTCCTTGCTCAAGAAAATCTATATGACATAGTTGTAACCATTTTCCTTAATAAAAAATGTTACCACACAAAAAACTTCGTTTTTGTATGATATACGACCACCCTTACGGGGCCTCACCCCCAACGGCGCCTCACGCCAGGGGGAGCAACTCTCACCCAAATCACTTTCCTTATGTCATCTGTAAGAGACAGACGTGTTGATTTTTCACACAAGACAAAAATAAGAGAAATCTATCGTTCGACAAGAACCATGGCTGACCAAACTGTATGTATGGTACATTTCTTTCTTTGCAAAGGCGTAATACCTCGCATTGTGAAGTTATCGAGTTGTAATAATACGCCACGTGCACGGTACCTTTGAATTCAAATGGCCGTAATGGCGTCCATATTGTAGTTCCACGGGCTGATACATGTAACACCAAGGCCATTAAGAAACGGCTTGGGGTTTTGTTATATCATACAGCATTGGTCTACAATTTTTTCCTTTACAAAACCCAAGGTGGTGTGTTAATTCATAAACTACACTTACCTTTTTTACGGGTTTTTACACCTTAGCGCGTAACACGCCCCTTTGGTGTTATAATTATACTACACATTGGCTATTAGTATCGCGTTACAAATCGCATTCTACATTACGCCTTTGCTTCTAGTTTCACAATTTATGCACGTTTCTTTCCGATCTTTATATCGCACTGATACACGTTGATACCCTTCCCGCCCACCTCAGAAATTACGGTCTTGTTTACAAGACCTTCAAACTGTGTACGGGTTGTTCTAAGACAGGCACGAACGCTGCCGAATATGTCTGGCGGAGGACATTGCCTTTACCCCCCGGGGCCCCCAAAAGAGACAAGTTGACTTGTTCCACTTTAAAGAGGTCTATTAAAGGCGGGGGTAGATATCAGATCTACTAAGACATCCCCCCCTCCCCATCTAAAAAGGGTAAAAAAGCTGCCGAGATTGTCTCCCCCGCTCCCTCTCCGGGGGCCGGGGGAGAAGGCTCGAGGGTCCCCGTAGTAAGCACTGCACCCTCTCCTGCACTGTCTTTGGCAGACTTTTCTGCGTTACTTAAGTCGCAGATGGCGTCGATGATGGAGGAGGTAAAGTCTCAGCTCCGAGAGGAGATGCGGACCGAGCCTTCCCCGTTGTCGGCGCCGGACGCGGCTTCGAGACCTTGTGATATGCCCGGCGTCGGCCGAGGCAGGCAACTTGGTCTCGGGGACGATCTCAGACCGGGCTTCGGCGCCGGCTCGAGGTCGCTCCCCAGCGGAGAGGTGGCGGGCGCCGGCCCGTGCACTACCGACGCACAATTTTTCCCTAGCGGAGCCAGACGCCTCTTCCGAGGCCGAGGCTTTCACTAGTGGATTCGTAGCCCGGAGCCAGGGGGGTTCCCTTGGTCTCGGGGACGATCCGAGACCGAGCTTCGGCTCCGGCTCGAGGTCGCTCCCCAGCGTAGTGGTGGCGGGCACCGGCCCGTGCACTACCGACGCACAATTTTCCCTAGCGGAGCCAGACGCCTCTTCCGAGGCCGAGGCGTCCACTAGTGGATACCTAGCCCGGAGCCAGGTTGGTTCCCTTTGTCTCGGGGACGATCCGAGACCGAGCTTCGGCTCCGGCTCGAGGTCGCTCCCCAGCGTAGTGGTGGCGGGCACCGGCCCGTGCACTACCGACGCACAATTTACCCTAGCGGAGCCAGACGCCTCTTCCGAGGCCGAGGCGTCCACTAGTGGATACCTAGCCCGGAGCCAGGTTGGTTCCCTTTGTCTCGGGGACGATCCGAGACCGAGCTTCGGCTCCGGCTCGAGGTCGCTCCCCAGCGTAGTGGTGGCGGGCACCGGCCCGTGCACTACCGACGCACAATTTACCCTAGCGGAGCCAGACGCCTCTTCCGAGGCCAAGGCTTTCACTAGTGGATACCTAGCCCAGTGCCAGGTGGGTTCCCTTGAACCTCCGGCACCTCGGCACCGGGACTCGGCCTCGGGCCGGGTGCAGAGACACGTGCGGGACAGGATTGTCCATGTACTGCCTCAGGTTGCTGCGCCCATGCCAGAGTCGGAGACACCCAACTTGACTAAGGTCAAGCAGGGCCGGCGGTTGCCCCCCCTTTCCCGTGTGCGGTGCGGAGTTGAAGGCTGCTTACATATGCTTCGAGGAGCAATATCATAATGCATGCCAACAGCTCCGTGTGTCCGTACACTCCGCGTATCTGTCGGCTGTACAGAGGGAATTAGCGGGAGAGGGGCCGGCCGACTCTTCGGAGTTGGCCGCGCAACTAACATTATCTTGCGCGGGACGCTATTCGTAGCTGTGCATCGCAGATGATGTGCGCTGTTATGTGCATGCGCAGGCGGTGGATGTCGGTATCTAAATACTCGACTTACACACGCCAAGACCTACTTGCTTTGCCGTATAAGAGGGTGCCACCCTCTTCCCTGGGGCTCAGCAGGCGGTCCGAGAGGCTGCTCAATTGTATACTTCCATCAAAGACTCATAAGGCCTTGTTGGAGGTACCAAGCGTTAAAACCGCGTAAGCGGGCCTCTCCAATTGTCCCCTCCTACGCTAACGCACGGGTCAGACGTCCACACCTGCTTGGAAGCCGCCGCTTCCTTCAGGTATAAGGGCGCCGTGAGGAGCAAGAGAGGCACGGGCTGGGGCAAGGCAGCTGGTCGAGGCCAACAGCTTTTTCGCGGGGCTGGGAACGATGGGTTCCCATTAGCGCCCGAAGAGCCCCGGGTGAACCCATAGTCGCAAGTTATCGGGAAAACTCATCCGCTCCTCCACTTTTCCGGGATAAAGCACACACCGGTGCCTGCTACCCGAGAGAAGGCGGAATTCCTCCGTGCCGAGGTCGACGCACTTCTTATGAAAGCTGCGATCGAACCGGGTCCCGAGGGACAGGAAAGCGAGGGCTTCTACTCGACTTGTTTCCTAGTCACCAAACAGTGATCTCAACTGTCGAGACAGGAGAATGGCTAACGTCAATAGACTTAAAATACGCCTATCTCCACATACCAATACATCCAGAGTTCAAGAAATACCTGAGGTTTTCTTTCGACGGGAGGTGTTATCAGTTCAGGGTTCTACCATTCGGGATCTCCACGGCCCCGAGGGTGTTCACCAAGCTGATGTTGATTCCCGCCCAAGTGGCCAGGTCAAAAGGTCGGTTCTGCCATCCGTACCTCGACGACTAGGTTACTAAGAGCTCTATTGCAATCCCTGAGTCAGATAGCTACACAACAAGTGATAGATATTCTGATCACTCTAGGGTGGATGGTCAATCTCAAGAAGTCAGATCTGAGCCCCACTCAGAATCTAGTCTTCCTAGTGGCTAATTTCAACACGGTGAGAGGACGTGTATCTCTGTCACAAGATATCAAGTCCCTTAAGCGCAAGTCACACTGCTCGTACATGGCTCCAGTTACTGGACAACATGGCGGCGACAGTGGATTTGGTCTGGCGGGCGCGCTTGAGAATGAGTCCCATTCAACAAGCACTCCGTCGACTTTGGGCGAACTCGGAAGATCTCGAGACTGTGCTCGAGACTCCGTAGTGGCTCATTACACACCTCCAGTGGTGGACCGAGGTCGGGAATCACTCCCGTTCCGTCTCTCACAGTTCAAACAGACGCGTCACTCTCCGGCTGGGGAGGCGTTCTGAATGATCACACTGCCTCGGGACTATGGTCCCAGCAGGAGATCAAACTGCATATCAATGTGCTAGAACTGAGAGCGGTCAGGTTGGTGTTCCAACGCTTCCCGGATCTGCTTCGTGGCCAAGTGGTTCGTCTAGAAATGGACAACCAAACGGCGATGACTTACATCCGGAAGCAGGGGGGAACGGCGTCTCCGTCGCTTCGACGAAAGACGTGGCAGTTCCTACTATAGTGCGACTCTCACGATATCAGGGTGCTACCTGTTTATCTCCCGGGGGTGGACAACGTCCGTGCGGACGCTCTGTCTTGCCGGATCCTCGCTCCTCACGAGTGGAGGCTCGACCCGGGGATATTCGGGATTTTCTCCCTGTTATACAGGTCGTTACAGGTTGATCTGTTTGCGTCTGGGTTAAATAACCAGACACCAACGTTCTGCTCCCGAGTCCACGACCCGAGGTCGGTGGCACCGGACGCCTTTCAGCTAGATTGGACGGACAGTTCTGTGGGCATTCTCCCCAGTACCTCTGATTTCCAAGGTCCTGTCTCAGCTAGGCACTCAGCCTGCGCGACTAATTGTGCTCCTGGCACCTCTTTAGTCGGCGCAGAGTGGGTTTCCAGTAATACTCAGGTTTCTGGCTCAGCCTCCTGTTATATTACCTTTACGACCGGACCTCCTATCCCAGAACGGGGCCCTCCACCCGAATCTCAGGATTCAATGGGTGGCTTGGCCACTGTCAGGAATCGCCTCCAGAAGAGCGGTATTCCTGCACGAGTTGCAGACACAATACTGGCTTCGCGGAGGGATTCGACAAACGTTCAGTACGATAGATAGGCCTGCTATGCGCCCAGGTGTGTCGATAGAGGGATTGCAGATCTTTTTTCTGCAGATCTCGTATCCGTGCTTGAGTTTCTCCAGTCGCGACTAGATGACGGCCTGGCCGCATCAACAGTCCGAGGGTACTCTACAGCTATCGCAGCTTTTCACGTCCCTGTCGACGGGGCACTTCTGGGTGCACACCCATTAGTGCAGCGCTTTTTAGCAGGTGTGGACAGGATCCGACCGCCAGTCCGGCGGATCAGTCCCCCTTGGGACTTGTCAATCATTCTAGATTGGCTGTCCGGTCCTTCCTTTCGGGATCTGTCGTCTCTCTCTCTTCAGCTGTTGAGCTGGGAGACGGCGTTCCTTGTGGTGGTAACGTCCGGCAGACGGGTAGGCGACATTCGTGTTATGTCAGCCGATCCCAAAATAACTGTCTTCCATGGGGTCGATAAATATCACCGGGACAGTCAGTTTTCGTCTACCGGACTATTACCGTCCTAGGGTCGCACACGATTCCACGTGAACGGCTCCTATTGAGCTACCCGCTCTTTCACAGCCTTCCTCGTCGGGGACCACTGCAAGACATGCTCATGTCTTGGATGTCCGCACGACTCTCAAGGCCTATATCAGCAGAAATATGGGTGTCCGTAAGGATAACCAACTATTTTGCTGTTACTGCGGTAGGAAGGTTGGCTCACCTGCGAGTAAACAATCTATCTCAAGGTGGATAGTTTCAAACATTTGTACAGCGTATACGCTTACAGGCAGGGACCCCCCTACCAGGTTGTAGGCTCATTAGGTTAGAGCAGTGGCTGCGTCAAAAGCGTACGCCGCGGCTCTGCCCATTGAGCAGATCTGCTCCGCGGCTATTTGGAGCCAGCCGAGCACGATTCATCAAACCTTACCAACTCGACAAACACTCAAGCGAGCATACTCGGTTTGGTCAGTCAGTTCTCCGAACTGGGCAAAGTTCTAATCTCTAGCTGATTGAGCATTCGAGATTTTAGACAGTCTTCCGGTTATACTGCTCAGTAATGGTCCGGATTTTATCTTCTGCGGTCGATAAATATCAGTCCTTACTACTCGATAATACTCGTATTTTGCGCACGCACTCCTTCGATCCTCAGGGACCCTCTGGCCTAGCTCAGCGCTGGTTATGGTCTCTCGTGATCTACGCCCTTATATCACTTGTTCAAAAAAGTGTGGGGGGGGTGGGAGGTGTTTCGAGTTCTCAACTTATGACAAGCCGCAAAAACAGGCTTTATCATAATATATGGTCGACCACGCCCTGTCTCTAGCCCCCGCCTTTCGACGGTGGTGCCTCACGATAAGGTTGGTTCCATTTATTGAACTCAATATTTTATTCTGTTGAATAATCAAATACGATGTATTTATTTACGCCTGTTGCTGACGGATGCCACTTCCTAGATTATCTTTGGGAGTCTGTCTTGATGCAATAAGTGCCCCAAGGAGGATTTAATCAGAAAGAGAATTTTACAAACCTGTAGAGGTTATGAATTCTCTGATGAAATCCTCCTTGGGGCACGGCCACCCACCTCCCCACATTCCGTCAGCATTTGACATATGGAAAGTGATTTGGGTGAGAGTTGCTCCCCCTGGCGTGAGGCGCCGTTGGGGGTGAGGCCCCGTAAGGGTGGTCGTATATCATACAAAAACGAAGTTTTTTGTGTGGTAACATTTTTTATTAAGGAAAATGGTTACAACTATGTCATATAGATTTTCTTGAGCAAGGAAAATGCAATAAGTGCCCCAAGGAGGATTTCATCAGAGAATTCATAACCTCTACAGGTTTGTAAAAATTTTAACTCCACAGTGTCACCCTGTTGGGATTCTGTGTTAGAACTGGCTCCCAGCAACCTCTGTTGGTCATAATGGCTTAATGGATTGGATCGCCAGGCTCGTTGACTTGGTTCATGATGTGTCATTGTTTCTCAATGGTGTGGATCGTTGCTCACAAAATTAATTACTTGATTGACGGGTCTAGACTCCATTATTGACTGCTGTCATAGAGCAGGAATATTGCTGAGTGGAGCATTTAATAACAAACACACACACTCATCAGTATCAGATGTGGGCCCATACCTACAGACGTTAAAAGATGGTACTTGTTGTTGCCCTGTCTGGCGCTGGGCATAAAGGGGATAAGACAAGGACAGATGTGGGCCCACATTTTACCTTTATGACTGTTTCAGGCACACACATACACACACACTCACTTGTTTCAGGAACACCCACTCACTCACTCAGATGTGGGCCCACTGTTTACCTCTGTGACTGTTGCAGGAACACCCACTCACTCACTCAGATGTGGGCCCACTGTTTACCTCAGTGACTGTTTCAGGAACACTCACTCAATCACTCACTCAGATGTGGGCCCACTGTTTACCTTTATGACTGTTTCAGGCACACACTCACTCACTCACTTGTTACAGGAACACTCACTCACTAACTCACTAACTCACTCGCTCACTCAGATGTGGGCCCACTGTTTACCTCTGTGACTGTTTCAGGAACATACATCAGGTGTTATGAGTAGCCTGAAGACGATAGAGAAGTTGTCCTATCTGGTTCGGATGCTGCCTCCTTCAAACTTTAAAACCTGTGCTGTTCTCATGCATCATCTACAAAGGTAAATAATCAAGTTACCACAGAATTCCACGGATTTAGTTACGTCAAGTGTCACTTTTGTGATACATGCCATTACAATATACACATAAATCATATAGACCCCAGCTAACTTTCAGTGTGCTTTTTTTTAATAAGAACATTCTCATCCCTTCTCTCTTGGGGCAGTGAGGTAGCCTAGTTGTTAAGGCAAACGTCATCACACTAAAGGCCTGTGTTCGATTCCCCAAATGAATGCAATGTGTGAAGCTCATTTCTGGTGTCCTCGTCCATTATATGACAAGGGGGCACGGGTGGCCCAGTCGTCTAAGGCGCCGCTATTCGCTGTGCAGAGTTGCATCCCTTGGGCACGCCAGAAACCTATGATTGTGGGTTCGAATCCCGGTTCGCCCCGATTATGTTTCTAGGTATGTCAGCACCATACCCGTGCTCGTGGGTTTCACCGAAGTGGTAAACGTCTGAGACCTGCATCACTTCGGGCTTTCCTCCCACATTAAGCTGACACGCCGCGATATAACTGGAATACTGTTAAAAGCGGCGTTAAACCAAACTCACTCACTCACTCACATTATATGACAACAATGCAGTCCTGACAACACCCAGCATGAATGCAGTTTATCTGCCTTAAAGCACAAAAAACAAAATCCTGATCCTCTGACATGTACCCATCTTTCATAGTTATTACCAGAGAGCCAATTCTTTGATTATTTTACCTTGTTTCATTCATCTACGAGAGTGTTGTATAGAAATTTGAATACATTATCAGGGTAGCCGCTCACTCTGACGTGAACCAGATGAGCTCCAGCAACCTGGGCATCGTCTTCGGCCCAACATTACTCCGTCCAGCGTAAGTAACACTACTACGACCAGCGTAAGTAACACTACTACGACCAGCGTAAGTAACACTACTCCGACAAGCGTAAGTAACACTACTCCAACCAGCGTAAGTAACACTACTCCGACCAGCGTAAGTAACACCACTCCGACCAGCGTAAGTAACACTACTCAGACCAGCGTAAGTAACACTACTCAGACCAGCGTAAGTAACACCACGCCGACCAGCCTAAGTAACACTACTCCGACCAGCCTAAGTAACACTACTCCGACCAGCGTAAGTAACACTACTCCGACCAGCGTAAGTAACACTACTCCGACTAGCGTAAGTAACACTACTCCGACCAGCGTAAGTAACACTACTCCGACCAGCATAAGTAACACTACTCCGACCAGCGTAAGTAACACTACGCCGACCAGCGTAAGTAACACTACTACGACCAGCGTAAGTAACACTACTCCGACCAGCGTAAGTAACAAAATCTTCAAAATACATGAATGAAAGATTCATCTACAGAATGGCAGTGTTTGGGTAATAAGGCAGAAAAATGTTTGTGTTTTCTTGGATACAATGTTATGTTAGTAAGAAGAATACTGATCTCCATTGTGTGACTTATTAGCAAAATAAGCCACTTATGATGTTTTGGGTTTTTTTCATTTTTTATATTGATGTCAATATTGATTCGGGTATATCACTGTCCAGAATTTAAGAAGGTGATACCCAACAGCCATCTTGGAAAACATTATTCTCAATTAATTTCAAAATACAACAAAAATGATTTACATGTCATTACGTTTCTGTGATTTTGCAGGGAAGGAACAGCCTCGCTAGCCTCTCTGGTGGACACACCACACCAAACCCGGGCCATTGAACTACTTATCTCATCAGCACAGGTATCTAGCATAGAAGAATGAAATCAACACTTCCAATGCAAACTTTTCTGAATACTACCGTGTATCATGAGTCCCTCCTCTGGGAATTGCAGGTCTCCTGTACTTACTGCTAGTAGTAAGACCTGAGACCCCAGTGAAGATCTGGCCTAGAACTGGTCTTCAGCAAACCCATGCCCATAAAAGGCCACTAACAGGATCGGGTGGTCAGACGCACTGACTTGGTTGATGCATGTCATTGTATCCCAATTGCGTAGATTCGTGCTCATGATTTTCAGACTGCTGTCATATAGCTGGAATATTGCTGAGTGTGACATTGAATAACAAACAAACAAACTTGACTGGATTGAACTGGTTGAATGGACTGGACTGGACTGGTTGACTGGACTTTGGTTGTAAGAACAATGCAAAACTGGACCAGAGCGCCCTGGACTGTTGGACTGGACCTCATTACTTTGGACTTAGCCTGTACAACTGCCCATAATGGAGAATCCTAATAGGCACTACTGTATTTGCTGTAATATGCGCTCTGGGCACCTAGAAAAGTGACAGAGGGTCATTGTCATTGTATCCCAATTACATAGATTGATACTCATGATGCCAATCACTGGATTGTCTAGTCCGCTAACTGCGATCTTATAGCTGAAATATTGCTGAGTCTGGTACAAACAAACATACCTGACTTAGCAGGGATAGGAATATCTACTGGCCCGAAAAGTAACAACATGTGACAATACCCCCTTAGGATACCTTTGACAATAACAAAAGTGGGCTGGGTGTAATTATTATTCCTGCTAAGATGAGGTGATTTGTCAGATTGCATGTCATTGCATCCTGATGCCATTGATCACTGATCAATTGGGATCATTGTCACTGGTTTGCCTGGTCCTGACTGTTTTCTGATATAATTAAAATATTGCTGACTGCAGCATTAAGCTAAACAGCATTAACTCTCTCACTGTAACATGTGTAAGGAACAAAAATACCAAGATGTAAAGTGACTTACAAAAGTGTTGTGTTTGAAATAAGAAATTAGAATATGAGTGTTTGTTTTATTGTGTACAGTTCCAATACCAGGATGTTGATTTGACATGTGTTGTAATGAACTTGTTCCGTCTCTGTTACAGACCATTTTTGGTCCTGGAGCTGACTATCAGCTTATAGGAGGTGAGACACCGGTGGAGGAGCTGCCCGATCCAGCACCCCAAGCAGCCAGACAGACAAAATCAGGTAGTCCATCCACTCATCCTAGAGTCCCCAAACTGTGAGGGTTTTGGAGGGCAGACTGGCGGATAGAGTGTTTACTCATCCTAGTGTCCCCAAAACTGTGAGGGGGCAGTCGGGCAGACTGGCGGATAGAGCGTTCACTCAAGCTAGAATCCCAAAAGTGTGAAGGGTCTAGTGGAAAGAGCGTTCACCCATCCTAGACTCCCGAAAGTGTGAAGGGTCTAGTTGATAGAGCGTTCACTCATCCTAGAGTCCCGAAAGTGTGAAGGGTCTAGTTGATAGAGCGTTCACTCATCCTAGAGTCCCGAAAGTGTGAAGGGTCTAGTTGATAGAACGCTCACTCATCCTAGAGTCCCGAAACCGTGAGGGGTTTAGTGGAAAGAGCGTTCACTCATCCTAGAGTCCCGAAACTGTAAGGAGTCTAGTGGAAAGAGCGTTCACTCATCCTAGAGTCTGAAACTTTGGTACTGTGATACATGAGGTATATTTGTCATGATGAGTCTCATTTCTTCCATATGATCAGATGATGTCTGTCTTTCAGAAACCAAGGAAGTCTTGACCGTGTCTGTACCATCGGAGCCTCCGTCAGTGAAACTTCCTTCAAGGTATGTTGAGGCTTGATTACAGTAATTGTATTGTGATATAGGCAGAAATCACTAAGTGACTTAGTCAGGCTTTCCTTCAACACTGATGCCTGACATTATAATATACACACCACCAAATGAAACGCAAATACCACACATGTTGGTTATTATATGAAGACTTACTCATATTCAAGAGATATTAGATTGGTTTGATGCACAATGAACATAGTGATATGTTGTGTGAACCAATGCTCATGAACACATCGGATGTGACGTCATAGATCCATGACTCAAGATGCACCTTTTGTCTCGTGCAGGAACAGCGTGTTTGGAAGTTTGGAAATCATGTGCAGCATATCGTGTTAAGAATAAGGTCACACTGTGGTAACACTTGACTGATTGTTGGTTTTGTCATTAGGTGGTACACATTGGAAACATCTCTTCTTAACATACATACTTCACTATATGTTTCTATGGTTCATGTTTCTTTTGGTGGTGAGTATCTATCAGTGTAAGACATTAACAGATATCCTAGACCTTTGATGTAGTTTGACTATTTGATCTAATACTCTCCCAAAAAGTTTTCTGATTGCGCATGCTTTCTCTTGTAATGTCTAATGCAGGACCGCCTCCGTGGTCTAGTGCTAGAGCGTCCGCCCGGAGAGCGGAAGGTCCGGGGTTCGATCCCCAGCCGCGTCATACCAAAAGACGTTAAAAGATGGTACTTGTTGTTACCCTGTCAGGCGCTCGGCATTAAAGGGCTAAAACAAGGACTGGTCGACTCGGAGTCAGTATACTGTGTCTGAGTGGGCTGTTCATGTTAAACTGCGGCATGGTATCTCAGAGTGTGCCAGCACTATAAATCGGCATCAGTCAGGACTAGTACAAGCAGCCACACACACACGTGCATGCACGTCGCTATATAAGTGCAATAATCTTGGACGCAACGTTAAACCCAATTTCACCTCACCTCACCTCTAATACAGGATCATACAAATACTTTATCTAACAGTATCGGAACTCTTAAAGGGAGATAAGCCTGACTGTATCTGTCCCTTGATCAATGTTGTTGTTTTTCCAGCAGCCAGCCTGTGGATGTGGCAGCCGTGGACAAGATCGTGCAGCCGGCGGACGAGGTTGACGGGGACAGCTCCAAGGTACTGTCCTCCCCCTTCACACTTCATGGCACTGGCAGGAAGGATCACAAACAGTCTAACGCTAGTCTCAAAGTCTGACTCATTGAAGGAAGTAGTACCTAGATCTAGGGGCAAACAGACTTGTGCAGCCTTTTATTCAAATGTGTATTGTCCTTGGTCCATATATCACATCAGCTCCTTTTATCTCATTTGCTAAGATAATCTCTATATTGATGGTATCGCTTAGATATAGCTCAGTAAACATTAGTATTCAGGCACCACTTGCATTAGCAACAAAAAGCCAATGTAAAATTATTCTCTTTTTGTTTTGAGATAGAATTTTTTTGGGCAAAACTGATGTTTTCAGACTGGATAAAAGGTCACTGCCAACACAAGGTGTTTTTGCCAGAAAAGTGGCCAAGTTGTTGAGCATTCGACTGTTATGATCATGCCTGCCACACGTTGTTTTGATATTTTGGTCACCAGGCACCTATCTTACTTTTCTGCAATAACTCATCGCTGATAGGAAGCGATGTTACTCATAGTGACATGATTGAGGTTTTCTCTCAGATTGTCCTTCACATACATTATGGGTTAGTTCAATGGATTGGACAGTAAGTAATTAGAAGAGGGGATAATCCAGAGCTCTGTTTCACATAGGTTCTTTGTACTTTGACTTACTATTCAAGAAAAGAAAATTTCATGGTTGTCATAAAATCCCCTCAGATCACAGGACGGGCGATTTCAAATTTTCCCGATTTTCCTGTGTCAAGAGTGAAGATGCGTCTTTTTTCCTGTTACAGTTATAACTAATTCTCACTAACCTTGTACTGGTGGTTACGAGAAACAATAGGTAATATGACTTCTCGTTAAAGACTAGATTACTGTCATGTAAACTGGTAGTGAAAATACGACCCATCCACTGGACATGTAATTCTTTTATTTCGCCCATCCTTCGTGAAATTAGCATGGATGGTCGGGCAGGAAGTCATTTGCAGAGGTGTTTTATTATGATAATCATATTACAAAGATAGTGGGGTAAAGAAAAATATATTTGTGCTTTGACGATCCAGTGTTATTATGATTGACATAAGTTGTATTAAGACAGATTTTACATAAATATCCTCACCATTACACCTGTAGTGGTCTGATTCATTTACTGTCTTAGGATCCAGGGTCCTCGGAGTCCATCAGCTAGAACATTGGAGGGATTCTGAAATAATATTGACATGTGTTTATTTCTTATGCCACCAATCCTCATGTATTTCCTTGCCACGTCTTATTGCAGACCTCGGGGGCGGAGTTTGTACTGCCTGGCAGTATGAGCCCCGGGAAGAGTGACAATATGTCCCCCACAAGCACACTGACCGAGGGTAAACTACTGACTACCCCACTTAGCATGACACGGCTTACGTAGCAGCCTGCCTGTGGGCTGCCGTCCCTGCCGTAGCCTCAGTGCCTGCTGGCTCAGCATCTAATACTCCATTAACTGCTCGCTCATCATTTTCTTGCAACCATGTCAGAATCATAGTGGAAAAACCCATTAATAAGATAATTATTAAACATTTTATATAAATGTTTAAGCTAATACAATATTCTTACCACAGAGGTTTTTACAATGACTTTTTGGAAGTTTATACCAAATAGGTACTACAGCATATTAATCTCTATTGTACATAATGTGTAAGAATTTAATTTTTTTTAAATATCAATATCTACAGGCATTTTGACAAGGTGAATCAGACAATAATATTATATTCTTAATGTATTATATCAGTGTTAGGAGTTAGGACGAACATTGTGTCTTGTCAATTCCTGATGTTAACAAGTTCAAAGTTAGATTTTGCAAGGCTAACTACAAGTGCAATTGCAGTTTTGGGTAAAGCAGGGATGCATTTAGTGATCACAACTTAATATGCAAGTGCAAGATGAACTCATATGATCAATTTGAAAAAAATACGACAAAGTCTGCTATAAACTTCCAAATGTATTTATATAGGTCAGTGGGCTAAATGGGACAGCCCAAATCCTCTTGTCCTCTAAGACTTGAACACTGTTGATTCTGAGTGTGTTGGATAAATGATGAGTCTGTGTGTCTTCATCTAACACAATGCCTGAAAGGAGTCATTCACAACAAGTGTGTCTTGCTGAGTTGGCATCTAGCTGTTTCATATTCATCCCATGTATTCCATTTGCTTTAGATTGTTTGACAGCTGATGTTGCACACTGCACAGTTGTTTACTGGCTCCATCATGTCATCATGGCTGCTGTTGCAGATTCACATTCACATTCATCCTCAATTCTTCTTTCAACCCTGTCCCAACCCAAATGGAACTTTTTGTAGGCAAATACTTGCCCAAATCAGGTTTTATGTGGTAGATATATCCAGGGGTGAGAGTCTTCCGTAGATCTGCAAATTTCCGCAAACTTTAGTGACCACGAATTTGTTAAAATCTGGGGGCTTGCGCCATAAACACCTTAAAATTATGGACCATTGCAAAGAAGTTTCAGCTGAAAAGGAAAATATCCATATCATCCCTATATAGCTAAGGTATCAGTGATATCTATCGCCCAGACTTGCCCTCTTTGCAAAGCATCCGTTCTTGATCTGTTAAGTATTGAAATGGCTGTCAGTCTGTTTGAAAAGTGTTTCAGTTTGAGTGTCAGTATGAGAGTCATTGAATGCAAAATATTTCAATGATTAGGGTGTTCTTGTCTAAATCCTCCCTTTAGCAGCACCTGCAACAACATCTACTTTAGGTGATAGCTTACTGTGGACTTCTATTTAAACACTGGATATTAAAGGCTGAATAGTATGTTCTTTTCATCCAGTTCATTACTTGTGTGAGTAGATTGTTCTAGGATATCAAAGCATTTAGTGCATTTTTTATTGTTATCTGTGTTTGTAAAAAGACTATTGTCAGTTGTATCAGGACACTGCCACATACCGTCTCTCTGAGACAAGACACCCAGATCGGTACACTCCTTTCAGACTGCCCACCAGTGTGTGCTAGCCATCATCCTCATCTGTAGCTTCATCACATATCTAACATCTCACTCTATAACACTCCGCTGGGAGATAAACGCTGTATCACAACATCTGCATGTCTCCTGTGGGCAGATATACTCTAGTGGTAGAACCATAGACTGCACCTCTCCCTTTTGGAGACTACTCTCACTACAAATGTGATCGTGTTATCTGCATGTTTCTCTTGTGGGCAAATATACACGTAGTGGTAGAACCATAGACTGCACCTTTCTCCGTTGGAGAATACTCACTACAGAATTCGGCATGTTATGAGCATGTCTCTCTTGTGGGCAAATATACACGTAGTGGTTGATCCATAGATTGCACCTTTCTCCGTTGGTGATGCTCTCTGCAGATGTCGGCATGTTGACATGAGGGATGCACTGTAGCTGTAGCTGATACAGGTCATAATACATCAGTGATATGGATTGATTCTGCCTGGGTGTCGCATGTCATGGAGAATGTTACACTGTACGACATACCTGCCTGTTGTAATTTGTTGCAGTATGAGTCTGCTGTACAGTGTCTGGTATTGCTGGGATGCATTATTGGGTCGTATTCCTTGTAGGGGTTAAACGTTTCTTTTCAAATCTGGTATTAATGCAAGTGGGTATGAACTTTTGTCATGGTATTAAGATGTGTAATGTGTGTGATGTGCATGTATGAGAACCGAGTAAGAGTTACCTCCCTTGCATGTACTATACCTCTCAAGCTATCATGACATATTGCAGCATGGAATACAACATATATAAACATCATTATTCACAGTGTATATCAGTGTATTTATCAGTTTGAATTGTAGTGAAGGCTTCTAAATAATACATGGATATGCAACATTGTTTTTATTAACAAGTGCACACTATACTCTGTACGATTTATTAATGCATGTATATTGTACTAACTAAAATATTTATAATGGTTTAACCATTGAATTTGTCAAAATAAAAGGAAATTCTTTGAAAATTATTATAAAAATTGGAACAAGATAACTAGAATATGGCAAAACTATAAATATAATATTATTGAGAGTGTTGCACTGAGATTGTGTTCGGCATATTGTATATAATTCCTTAAGAAACAATATGTTGCATCTGACTTATTTTAGTTTCTGTCAGTAGTGGTACTGTCCCGTGATGATCCGGGGTAGAATAGGTCTTCAGCAACCCATGCTTGACGTAAAAAAGGCGACTATGCTTGTCATAAGAGGCGACTAACGGGATAGGGTGGTCAGGTTCGCTGGCTTGGTTGATGCATGTCATTATGTCCCAATTGCATGGATCGATGCTCATGATTTCAATCCCTGGATTGCCTGGTCTAGACTCAATTATTTACAGACCGCCTTCAAATAGTTTGAATATTACTGAGTGCGGCTTTAAACAACAAACAAGCAAACAAAGGGTATTGGTACTGTGGAAACTACGGCAACTGTCACATTAACTAGTCATTGCAGGGTTGCTTTTAGAACTCTTTAACCTAGATCTATCAGACTTATGAAAGACCTTCCATGTTTGGGTTGTCAGTAGAATAATTGTTGATTATGGCACTTCTGATTTTTGTCATTCTGATATTTTCATATTCAAATAAATTTTCTAAAAAGTCTAGACAAGCTTTTAATGAGCATGGACACCCCCAATCAACTTTTGGTGGTTCCACTTTTGGAAGGAAGAGGGCAAGCTGAGATTATCTCCCTTTTGGGGATTTCCGAGTTAGTTTGGCCCACAGCAACCTATGCCTGTTGTAAGAGGAGACTTAATGAATCAGGTGGTCAGGCTTTGGGGCAAAGTTAATGTACCAGACAATGTTGGATCGTTGCTCATGATATCAGTCAGTGTTTGCTTCTGGTCCAGACTTGATTATTTACATGAGGCCATCATATAGTAGGAATATGAAAACAGCTTTCAATATTAAAAGACACATTTGACAAGCTATGACTTAAACACAATATCTCGGTGCAACACTATAATTGGGTTCCGAACTAGTGGGTTATGTTTTTCCAGGGTTCAGTACTTGAGCCTCCAGGGTAGCACTCCTGAAACACTGGCCACATAACAAGCCCTTACTGTAGCAGCACTAACCAAGCATGACAACACATATCCACCCCAGTATTGAAACATACTAAATCACTTCAAGCTGTTCTGTTATTTGGTACTGGCTGATTTCTTCATAAACCAACCAAAATTCTCAATTTACAATGATATGCATGTTTATGGTTCACCTGTGAATATTATGTTCAGAACTACCTAGGACTTCTGCTAGATTTATAATGCTGTTAGGTTTTGTACTCAACCATTAGGATATGAGTTAGAATTGGTCTTCAGCAACCCATGCTTGTCGTAAGAGGCTATTAATGGGATAGGGTGGTCAGACTCGCTGACTTGGTTGATGCATGTCATCGATCCCAATTGCTTAGATCAATGCTCACAATATCCATCATTGGATTATCTGGTCCAGAATTGATTATTTACAGACCTCCGTCCTATAGCTATAATATTGCTGAGTGCGGTGTTAAATAACAAACAAACAAATATCTCGCCAGTATACAGTGACCCTGGTCGTAAGAGGCAACCAAATGGATTGGCTGGTCAGACTGTTGATGGTGTGTCATCGTACTCGACAGGGTGGATCATTGTTCACAATACCAATCACTGGATTGTCTGGTCCAGACTCATTATTTAGAGCCTGCAAACAAACATCTAAACGAAGGTGTTGTTTTGCTGCATGAAACATTATTAACTTTGTGTTCTGCGTTGATATCATGAGACTTTACATCTTTCTACATGGCCATGTTGGAATGTAAATATGCAGGTTATAATTTACATTATGCTAATTTGAAATTTTGTTTTGTTTAAGAAGAGGTCAGCCTAAACCTGTTTGGTATTGCATGAATACTGCATGATTGCATGCCCACACTCACTCACTTACTCACTCACTCCATGTGAAGTCGTGGACTGAGATTAAACCTTGTGAATCTTGACTAAGTCAGTAGACCAACAACACATTAATGAGAATGCCTTCAGTGTAATTGCATGATTATATTAAATTAAACACAATTACGTCACATTTTGAAAAAAGCTGTAAAAATAAGACATCGTGGAGAGACAGGACATTTCGTCATGGCGTGCTGTGATTTGCTTCTTTGAGACTCTAGAGTAAGGTCGGTATTTCAGGAGACGATGAGTGGAATGATTTAGATCTCCAATCGGATGATGAGTTGCCGGATAATTTGCTTCCGGACGACTCGACTACTCCCGGCTCGGCCAATCATCAAGCTGTGCTTACTCCACACTGCATGGCAGGTAATATCAACACCACCTGTTCAAGTGATATACCCATGTTATCTACCAGCGCTGTGAAAACCAAGCATATGTACAAGAAACATCCATGTCTTTCCAAGAAACTAAAGTACCAACTAGTAGACCCAAAGTCTTTCTCCTCTTCCGGCCCATTTCACAAAGCAGTGTTAGCATTACAACTACCTTACTTTACCACTGACTGATAGTCGTAGTGCGCAACTTCTTTGTGAAACAGGCCCCAGATTTGTTTAATGGATCAATCATAATTAGGTGTATATGATTGTTTTATTTTTGTCAGCACTCTTTATGGGCACAGTTTTATGCAGATTGTAACATTTTTATTTGTTTGTATTTTGTTTATATGCACCGTTTCAATGGTTGTTACTAAAATACAACAAAACATTTCCAGCTTGTAATACATTCAGACACATACCAAACAAACTTTGAGCAATAAACACAACATTCAGACACATACCAAACAAACTTTGAGCAATACACACAACATTCAGACACATACCAAACAAACTTTGAGCAATACACACAACATTCAGACACATACCAAACAAACTTTGAGCAATACACACAACATTCAGACACATACCAAACAAACTTTGAGCAATACACACAACATTCAGACACATACCAAACAAACTTTGAGCAATACACACAACATTCAGACACATACCAAACACACTTTGAGCAATACACACAACATTCAGACACATACCAAACACACTTTGAGCAATACACACAACATTCAGACACATACCAAACAAACTTTGAACAACAAACACAACATTCAGACACATACCAAACAAACTTTGAGCAATACACACAACCGTCAGTTTCACATACAAACGAAACTTTGAACAATAAACACAAAAGAGACAAGTATGGCTATGATTTAATGTTGATTATATGTTTCTCTATGGGGAAATGAGGGTGTATGTTCCAGGACGTCTGTGTGTTAAGGAATAAATAGTTGCGGTGTGTTAACTTGCTGTCCATCTCCCAACAGAGTGGTGCAGTCATGAGAGTTGTCTGCCCTTTATTGAGGTGGAGGAGAGTGAGAGGGCGTATACATGTATTGTTAGCAGCACCACAGTGCGTAAGTGGCCTTCAAGTGATGTGTTACCTTGGCTGTGTCACCTCCCTGCCCTTTACTCAAAACTGCTGGAAAACTGTAACCCACTTCGTACTGGTAGTGTGATACCTTGCGAGAAAAAAGATTCAACTCTTCAGAATCACTTGACTTGGGTGATTTATGGTCTTAACAAGGTAAAATTCAAGTCATCAGAACAACGCATTTTTGTCTGCTCAAACTTCATGGCAAACCTGTCTCAGTGTTATGTAGAACACTAATAAGGATGTGAAGACCTTGTCTGAAAATAGACAACAGACTGTAGAGCATAGTCTTTCTGTAAACATTAATGTTGTACCAGCTCAAGTATGTTAGAAATACAAGTGCAGAAAGAAACACTGCTGCATTAAATGTATCTGGAAGTTAAACCATTTGACCCTATTCAGAAACTTTAGATTTAGAATATACAAATCAATTTTTGGTTAAATTTATAGATGGATAATATACCTAACTGTGATGAAGCAACTGATAGTTTAAGCTTGAATTAATAATGCATTTCCCTGCTGTCACAGTGTTTGAATCTAAGACTTGTGATGGCCACAACTTGACTCTGATGGGTCATAGTTTACCAGCAACACAATGACGGTGATTCCCTTCTCACACAAGGTGCCCAATGCACTCTTCATTTGCAAAGTGTCCAATATTTGTTCAAGCAAGGCTTTGCTTTCAAGGTGTCCACTTCTTTGAGCAACCCTTTACTTACAAGGTGTCCACTTTTTGAAGCAACTCTTTACTTACATGGCGTCCACTTTTTGAAGCAACTCTTTACTGACATGGCGTCCACTGTTTGAAGCAATCCTTCACTTACCAGATTACAAATTCCAAGTCACATTAACCCAACTTTTTTTTCAGACTGTTTTGCAGTGGAATTAAAAGTTTGCATTTCAGATATGAAGATGCAGCGATACCCTTGGCCATGGACTGTACTCATATTAGTATTGATACAAACTAGCAAAACTACAGACATTTGAAAGAGTGATCAACAGGTTTTTGTATTTCAACATTAATGTGAACAAACCAGAGACCAGATGTCCCTTGCTTATTAAAGTCCTATGGTAGATCATACCCCCTGTTTTGATCTGCTATTTTTCATTGGGTCTCTAGGGGGTTCTTTAGAAGGATAGACACCAGTTATGTTGAGTGTACTGTTGTATTCCCTTATCCAACAAGCAGTGGTGTGCTCAGCTAGTTCTTATACTCCAGACTTGTAGGTACTCTGGTTTTAGGTATGCCAAATGGGAATACATCCTCAAGTCAAACTATAATCTGTAACTCTCAACTTAGAACAGTAGCTTGGAATATATTTACACAGATTGTATCCTAAATTTCCTGGGTACCTTTAAGATGAGGAAAATTGTTGGCTTCAGCTGTTGATTGGTCAAATTGGGATGGAAACCGGACAGTGACATGATTGGCATTAAACCCTAAATGTTAGAACCATGAGAATGTCTTTACAAGGAAATACAACAACGGAAACCATGCTGAAATGGCATTACCCAATTTGACTCGGATGAAAACCTAGGAAGAATTGGTGTTTTGGTTTTGGTGTTTAGAACTTTGTACTCTGTTTCAGCCCTCCAGTTCCCCCACTTCCCCTATTGACAGGTAACAGTGTGTAGATATAACTACTTATCTACCTACCACGGTGACAGGGCTTTACGTATGTCATATATACCAGGTTGTAGTGGTTGATGAGGCTCACCCAGTGGCAGTCACGACGGTGCAAATCATGTGCAGTGAGAGATTGACAGATCACCAACACGCATGCATGCACTTACCTGCAGGCAGGGAAGCTGACTGAAATATAATTACCGTATTCAACGTAATAAGCACCCCGCTCTAATAAGCGCCCACGGCGAAATTTGCTAATATTTTGACAAGTGAACAATCCCAATTAGCAGCCCTTTCGATTGATCAATGTACACAAAACTTATTTATTCGCGTATAATACGCACTTGGGTGTTACATGCACCCTTAATAATGGGCAATTAAGTTCTGGACTAATATATCTGTCGTATATAAACATTTTAGGCTGTCAGCCTAAACCACAAAATTTATCTTTCAACTCTGTTTTTTTCACCCAAATAATATTCTAATAAGAGCCCCCTATTTCTAATTTTGAGAGCACCCTGGGCGCTTATTAAGTCGAATACGGTAGTCATTGTTTGCTACGATACTTTTTTTTTTGTTAAACTGAAAATGCAAACATATTCAAAGTTTGTTTGAGTTTGAACTGTTTCAGTTATTTTTTCTATAAATTAAGACATGGAATAAGACTTGTTTTTTGTCAGATAAGTCCCATGGTTCTCATGATTTGGTTGACCCCTGTCAAGATCCGGGTTAGAATTGGCCTTCAGAGATGACCAGCAGGATCAGGTGGTCAGGTTCACTGACTTGGTTGATGCATGTCATTGTATCCCAATTGTGTAGATTGGTGCTCATGATTTTCAGACTGCTGTCATATAGCTGGAATATTGCTGAGTGTGACATTGAATAACAAACAAACAAACTTGACTGGATTGGACTGGTTGAATGGACTGGACTGGACTGGTTGACTGGACTTTGGTTGTAAGAACAATCCAAACTGGACCAGAGCGCCCTGGACTGTTCGACTGGACCTCATTACTTTGGACTTAGCCTGTACAACTGCCCATAATGGAGAATCCTAATAGGCACTACTGTATTTGCTGTAATATGCACTCTGGGCACCTAGAAAAGTGACAGAGGGTCGCTAAACTATACACAACAAATTAAATTTGTTCAGGAGATTGATCCATTGTGGATAAACTTAGTTCAAAGTTTGAACTTCAAACATCAATGAAACTAATATTTTTTCAATGATAGTTACTGGGCAGTTATATTAGCCCCTTCTCTGTATTATGCACATGGAAATATGGACATCATGTGAATTTTCAGTCTTAGGGGTGCTTATTAATATTCTTTACATACTGGTCAAGGAGTTGGTCAGGGGACACTTTTTAAAAAGGGGCACATAATACGGCAAATACAGTAACTGTAAAGAATTAGAAAAATGTAATGGTTGTATCCACACAGTTCATAACATAGATTAACTTGTGTAACCAGTTCAATTCACTTTGATGTACCGTTAGTGGAATCAAAGTATTTGTTGGTGAACCAACAGATTTACAAATATCACAACTACACCCGGTATTACTAAGCATTGCACAAAGTACACTCAGCCGGTAGGGACTGCAGGAGAAAATACGTCCTCACTACCCCATGCTAGTCTTTGGAGTGGTGATGATGAGTTTGTGGTTATTACAGTATGTGACATGGCTGGTAGTGCCCCAACAGTGGGGATCGTTGATCATGCTTTCAATGACAGTCGGGGGGCACGGGTGGCCCAGTCGTCTAAGGCGCCACGATTTGCTGTGCAGAGTTGCGTCCCCTGGACACGCCAGAAACCTATGATTGTTGGTTCGAATCCCAGTTCACCCCGATTAGTTTCTAGGTTTGTCAGCACCTTACCCGTGTTCGTGGGTTTCACCGAAGTGGTAAACGTCAGAGACCTGCATCACTTCGGGCTTAACATTAAGCTGACACGCCGTGATATAACTGGAATACTGTTAAAAGCGGCGTTAAACCCAACTCACTCACTCACTCACTCAATGACAGTCAGACTCTGGTTATTTCCTGGCTGCTACAACATAGCTGGAATATTGCTGACTGTGGCATAAAACACCATTCACTCACTTATGAGTTCACACTTACGGAACACAGATTGCACTAACATTGCACAGTGATTTGCACCCCGTTACAAGTACTGCGTTGTGGATTTTTCAGCAGTCTAGTTTTGACTGTTGTGTTGTGGCGGTGATGAAAGACGATGTTTCAAGGGTTGATGCATGCAACGGGTCTAGGGTCAGTGGGGACAGGCCAGTGGCTTCATTCACTCATTTCTAGATGGGTCAGCAAGGTTCATACCAACAATTTGTAAGGACAAACTTTTATTCTTGGATCGCACACCTATTTAGGTTGAACCCTGCAGTTTGCAGGTGAGATTAAGTGGAAATACAAGTCACCAAGGCAGCAGTTATCCAACTTACTATATTTTGTTGTTGTGAATCTCACAGGGACATAATTAATTTTATGTTTTGATGCTAACAGCTGATCAATTGTGCATTACATGAGCCCTTATGTAAAATAGCCATGAAGAGTATTGGAGATTCGTATGAAAATTACTTAAAACTGAAGTAGAGTCTCTTTACTTTACGCAAATACTGATATATATATCTTTTTCATGTTTGTTCATAGTGTAGCATGTTCCAAAGATTTTTTGGTGCTTTCAATGTCAATGTCGGGGCGGTGGGGTGGTCTAGAGGTTAAGGTGTTTGCTTGTCACGCCGAAAATCTGGGTTCGATTCCCCATGTGGTTACAATGTGTGAAGCCCATTTCTGGTGTCCCCCGATGTGATATTGCTGGAATATTGCTAAAAGCGGCATAAAACCATTCCCACTCACTTTATTTTTAATTCACATTTTAAGATTAAATTTAAAGTATTTTTTCTTGCAAAAAGTCATGTGAAAATTACTTTTATGAAGAAAACAATGCCATTGGTAAAGTTAGATATTGTTTTATTGCGGAGTTAGTATCCAGGAATGAGAATTTTCCTGCGATTTGGTTAAGTCAACTGTCACTATTGTGAAACATGACATTTCAGTACACACAGGTCTCCCAGAACCCCAGCTAAATTTCAGTGTGCTTTTTTAAAAAAAACCCCCGACATTCTCATCCCTGAGTATCATTCTGGAAGTCTGATTCCTGGAACTGTTAACATGTCGGGATGGGGCGATGTCGGTAGGAACAGCTTCCCATTGATAGAAATTAGTGAGTGAAAAAGCTACCTGTCAACCTCAAGTCTGCATGTACAGTCTGAGAAATGCATGTTTTGTTGGTTGTTTTTCTGTTATCCTGTTTTTGTGCAAGACAGTTGTCTGGCTACATTGTTTGCAGTGTAGATTAATACATTGTGCTTTGTACCCCTTGTGGGCTATGCTTCCTGATGATAATCAGCAGTGTTGAGCCATGTTTGAATCACCTAACAGGTGCTTGTTTCATGATGTCATTCATTAGCTTGTGCATGTCATTGCCTTTCATTTCAGAAATCCATATGCTTGTGTGTCATTGCTATTAGAAGCTACGGTTTGAGTAGCTGATGGCAAACAGGTGCTCAATTCATGATGGGGATTTTAACTGATTAATTGTGTTACGACCTTTATCAGGTAGCAGTGTATTCATTTAAGATTTTAATTCTTCTTTTGTAATGTCTTTTAGACGATGAATAGAGTTTGAATAGAGATAGAATTACAACAAATATGAGTTATTAATTATTGCTAAATGCTGTATCAGCAGTCCTGTTGCTTGGTTTCCCTTTCATATCCTGGATTTATCAACCCTTGAAGTTCCAGGGGTAGAATATGTCTTCTCCAACCCATGCTTACCGTAAAAGGCAACTATGCTTGTCGTAAGAGGCGGGTGGTAAGACTTGCTGACTTGGTTGATGCATGTCATCGATCCCAATTGCGTGGATTGATGCTTATGATGTCAATCACTGGATGGTCTGGTACAGACTCGATTATTTACAGACCGCCGTCATATAGCTGGAATATTGCTGAGCGCAGCGTTAAACAACCAACCAACCAACCAAACAACCAACCTGGATTTATCTCTATTCATTATCATCAGTATTCATTAGATGTGTTGTCCTTGATTGACCCAAGATACCATTCCAAGGTTTATTTAAAGAAAACTATTTCTTGTGATCTTAGAAACAAATTTGCTTCCAAAAGGATTTCGGTATTACCTCCCCTTTGTTCATCAGTTCAGTAACCATAACCATGGTTACATGGTGTGTATTCTTGTTGTTTCAGGGCAAGCAGTAGTGAAAGTGAGTCAGAGCAGCAGTACTTCCAGACCCGCCTCTAGTCCAACGCCCCCGCCCCGCCCAACCACACCTGATGCCCCATCCTCTGCAGCAGTTGCATCTAGTCCAGCCCTCACCAAGAGGTCATCCGTCCAGGAGCCCAAGCCTAAGCCTACTCTGAGTCTGATAGCATGTGGAGATGTCGATTCATCTGTAAACCTGGGCAGTGAACACTACGCCTTCTTGCCACCTAGTCCTATCAAAGTTGTCATCTCGGAGGCTGGAGATTCCGACGACGCCCACACGGAAGAGATCCAGGTGCGAGCTCCGCGGAAACCTCTTCCCTCCGAGACATCACCATTGCCTGCAATGGCTGCAGTGTCTACAACCAAGTCGCCAACTCGTCAGGGCTCTCCACCCAAAAGGGTTACTCGTTCAGGATCAGGGTCAATTACTAAGTCAGATAGTCAGCACAGGTCCTCAGGTACTTCTGGAACCTCTTTACCCAGCTTGCCCTCGAAACCTGAATCTCGACGATATACATCTCAGACAGGGAGCTCCCCGAGGAAGGGTTCCACGGGGTCCAGTCACCCTGTCCGAACATCTGTCACCACCGTGCCAACATCCTCCAGGGTCTGTCTGAGTCGGTCTATGACTGCTGGAGCTCCTGCCTCCGTACCTAGAAGGTTGGCGACCTCCAGCTCCATGACCTCAAGGTCACACACAAGCAGTTCCCTGTCAAAGTCATCTGCCCCTGCGAGACGAAGCCTGGAACTGACGTCTTCCCCATCACGACAGATGCAGACGACAAGTGTAGGATCGTTACATTCTCGTCAGCGTCACTCGTCCGGGGGTGAGGGTGTCAACAGGTCTCCCCCTAAATCAGTAGAACGGAAGAACAGCGGCAGTTCGGCATCGAGTGGTTCAGGAAGGCGGAGTCACGACCGTTGTCATAGAGACCATCCAACTTCTGGATCCGTTACCGAGACAAATGTCGCTTCCTCCACCTCTTCAGCAACCTCCTGCACCAAGATCAGTCAGGACAGAACGCCCCGATTTGTTTAATACTCTATTTTAGGTATATCAAAATCTAGTGCTTAGCTGTTGCTAGTGTTGTGTCATATTATTTGTGAAAATCGTGAACAGTGTTTATTTAGCTGAAAGCATTGCAATCCCCTTGTTTCTGATGGCCCCCACAGGTTGAGGCTGAATCATGGAAGTATTGACTGTTTTTAAACTTTTTTTGATTTATGTCCAAATTGAGTTGATTTGGATACATTTGTTGTATAGTTTGAAATGTACGTGTATTTGTTCTTGTTATTGTAGATATATTACTAATCATAGGCACATGGAACTTATCCGTAGCTGATATTTATTTATGCAATCAAAGCTTATTTTTTATACCAGGCATGTACTTTTGTAAATGGCATGAATCATAAATTGGATAGATTCTGTGGTATCATTTACACAAATGCCTGCCAGAAGCTGTAGGAGAAGTGTGTTTGAACAAAGTGCGTAGTTGTGATGTAGATTACTGCAATGACGACGGGGCACAGGAATCATGTTAGTGCTATTTAATTGATACTTTCTGTGCCACCTATGTCACTGAATGCATATTTCATGTTATACCGTATTTTACCTAATGAGCATCCGATGTGTTATTGGTTGTCTCCCAAACAATTAATGTGAGATTTGATCATCCCTCCCTGTACATTATGCTGTGAATTGTACATGCATTTACATCGTTTACGATGCCTTAATCTAGGTTCTGTGAAAGAATTCATGTTTCAGTTTGTTTAGCTGCACATTTTTTTGAAAAGGTCAGGGGAGTGGGGCAGCCTTGTTAAGGTTTGCTGCTCCAACTGCATTCTGGTGTCCCCCGCCGTGATATTGCTGGAATATTGCATAAGGCGGCGTAAAACCACACTCACTCACCTATCCAACTGCAGCTGCAGTTAGTTTTTGATCTGGCCATTATAAATGTCAAACACAATTGTACTTTGAAAGGGCCACTTTGGTAGGTAATGTATGTCCTGGGTGCTTACTGAGTAGAATACGGTATGTATTATTGCACACATGGAATACAGGTATGATATTGAAACTTGAAAATAGTTCTTGTTCTAAGGAAACTGTTGCTATGACATATGCAGTGTTTCATCATCGTTTAATACTAGCTCCCGAAGTAACGATCCCCAGTAGAGAAGGCTTTGTGTGAAGCATTCACATGGCTGTGCTCAAGTACAAGCTATCCATGTTGGAGAAATATTGCCACTGAAACTGTTTGAATCCTTGAATGGCTGCAAACTGCCCTTGATATATAAAACAGACCAAACCTGATGTTTGTAGAGGAAACTGTTTAAGATCAGGGTTTGTTTATCATGGAAATGAAAATTTTGCTGAAGTTTGAGAGGAATGATGTTGTGGAGCTATATTCTCATTAGTAAGGTAGGCATTAGATAGTTGCTCCAGACATTTATCACTCACAGTACAAAGATATTGTGCATTTAACTGAGGACTCCAGCAGGTGCCCCCTCCCTCAGTGTAGTTACATGCACCCTCCCTCAATCAGGGTTCATGGATTAAACACTGCATATGTATAGGAATGGAATAGAAAAATGGCATGACAAGTCAAACAAGTAGTATCTGAAGTGTGATATGGTTGTGTCTTCCAATAGCCTAGACAAGAAATGATGCCATTTGTGATATTGTAAAATCTAAGAGATTTACTATACCGTTATGCCAGTTTGATATTATTTTGCTGAACTATGGTAGATATTATTGTGTAGATTGACGTTGGTGATGAGTAGCGTGGTGCTTAGAAACATCTCATCAAAACCCTCCACACGCAGCCAAGCATGGTTACCTTGCTCTGTAATGACTCTTCAGTAGAGGGTATAATTATCACACAGCATATAGGTAGAATATATGATAGTTGCATGGCCACATACTTAACAGAGCTGCGCTGGTACCACTTCCTGATTGATGACGGCCATTTATCAGGTAGGATTCAGTAGCTGTATTTACCCATCTACATCTGCATACATTTCCATACAGCCACAATGTTATTTTTCAAACCCTGATTGGACATTATGCTCACAGTGCCAAGGCCATTTCATATACTCAGTAGTGCATAGAGACAGATACAACAGCCAGTAGGTCATTATCACATTGTTCACATGTCGAAACCTGTGAACAGTTGTAATTCCTGATGTATTATTCTTATCATATAGACGCTTAAGTTTATGTATTTTGTATACAATTAGGCAAAGGATGTATGCATGTTATTAAATTGTTCATATATTATGAATATGTATATCAATTGTTTTAACACTAACCCCATCAATTTTTTCTGTATGTAGTTAAAAGGGTGCTTTCATTACATTCATTGTGCATATTAACAATTTCGTATAAGGTTACTATTAACTAGTACAGTTTTTTTTAATGGGTGACAAAGTATGGAGCCACTTTCTGAGTGTTTCCCAAAATTTATTAAAGACTTTGTGTACAGTCCTAGATATTTTTCTATATGGGTGCTTTAAGTTGTTTACACACATACTTTATTATCATAAGGGAAGGGGATAGTGCTCCTGTATTATGTCAAAGGCAGAGAAATGTCCCCTCAAATGTAGCACTCAAGCCTGGAGGACCTGTTTCTTCATCCTGTCTGTCTAGGAGATGGAACTATGCACCTGGAATAGAGTGAAGCACCACCCTGTCTTTCTTGTCTTGTATCCTCTACTTCCATGGAGTGCACCACTGTTAGCAATGTTCCAGCATCATCATGGCGAGCGGGGTGCACCAGAAATGGCCTTCACACATTGTCCCCATGTGGAGAATCAAACCCAGACCTTTGGCGTGACGAACGAAAACTTTAACCACTAGGCTACCCCTTATCATCATATTTTGGGGAAATATCTACATTTCATCAATGTCGAATAAAACCAATACCTGCTGAATTATTGGTACTAAAGCAATGTTTGCTTCTTCGTTTGGTCAAAAATACAGAATCATATTTATTAGTTGCAAAGAAGGCAAGGAAGCAATCGAAGGGGTAGTCAAATAACTATTATCAGGAACAAGCACAAGACATTATGAGAGTCAATTTCAGTTTCGGTATGCCAGTAGGAGCAGGTATTTTTGTAATAAAAAACATGTATTTTATGGCTGTTTTAAATAGAAATGGTAGGTGGTGCTTAGGTTTCGTCCAGGTGTGTGTATATTTATTTGTTGCCTTCTGTGATAGATTTCAATGTGGCCGTTATGTATTGTTCCTGGTCTTGGGGAGTGAAACAGTGAGTCCTGTCCTAATGGGTTGTCCCGCACTTACGTTTGCAAAAATCATTTTCTGTCAAATCTCTACTGACCTATTGCAGGGTCCGAAATAAATATGAGTCAGCTAGTCCGAGATTAGTAAGATTCGGGGAGCTAGTGATGTTTCCTTGTGCACTACTTTTTTACCATTAAGTAGTTGGGTACCCTGTAACTGATTGTTTTTGCGGACTGGTGAAAATAACAATTAATTTCCTACCCTGTATTGAGGTGCACATACATGAGGTACACTTTGTGTTTGGTGTCATTGTTGACATGTTAGTCTATCCGTGACTAATTCATGAAGCAGTTATAAGGGGAATTTGTCAGGTGACCATAAGTCAAGCTTTCATCCCATAATGGATGGGTGCATTTTTCGCAGTTTCGCGATTTGTGGTTACTTTGCTCTGACCAAGTTTGTTTGTGGCTACATTGAATGGTGCTACATGATCTGCAAGTTTACACCACGGAAACATTTTGTACACAACTAAACTTTAGGAAAGGTTGACGACCTTCAACATCCTGTGTCTTTTCTTTACGATCGTGATTTATTATTTGTGCTGATGTAAACCATAAATACTACACCAAAGTCTTGCAATACCCACCAGCCATGACAGAAAATGGTTATGTAAAAAAAACCAGGTGTTCTTTTACTTTTTTTCAGTTGTATACTAAAGGTTATTTTTGGCAGCTGTTCAAAATTTGTTTTGGCAAGAATTATTAGTTGTCCAATCTCTTAATTACATGTATGGCACGTTTTAGTCATAATTAACATATATCTTGTTTGTGACCTGTTCTCTTGTCGCTAAAGTGTTATTATTTTCACAAAAGTTGAAAGTTTTATTTGTTACGTCCGATAAGAACAGGGATCATGACATGCAATGTTCAAATGTAGACATTTAACAAGTGAAAGTTCATTGAAAAATAGTTTACATATTATGTGTGACGCAGAGCACTTCAAGAAATAGTTCCTTGGATAAAAATTGATGCAGAGATCATAAATGCCTATTATTGATTATTGGGGAAAATGTAAAAACGATAATGTTATAATTTTGCGAATAATTTAAAAAATAAATAATATGAAATAATGATGACAATGTGTAACGTGATATGTGAATTTCTTATAAGGTCTAATCTAACATTATTTATGATTGGTCAGTTGAGCTATCAGATTAAAAACAGCGATAGATCATTAAGTAGTAACTACTTTCTATCAACAACTGCTTTGCCTGGCTCGTCTTGTTCATTCACAAGCTGTCATGATAAAACTGGAATACTGCGGACTTTGGCTCGAAACAAGCGTCCAGTAGTGCAGCACTCGTCCTCCATGTCCCATAGTGTATATTGCCATGCTTCAGCTTGACTGTTTACATTCGAGTAGGTTGGATAACTACATTCCTTCCCACTAGGGGGAAGTCCCAGCTCTGGTACAATACATAGTTGAGAATCTGTGTAAACTTGGTTGTAGGAAATAGTTACTCTCTGCCTTGCCTCTCCTGCTTTGTTCAGTATTACACACCTGTTCTATAATTAATCAGTTACATGTACATTTACAGACACACATTATTGGCAAGTACCGTATTCGACGTAATAAGCGCCCCGCTCTAATAAGCACCCACAGCGATATTTGTTAATATATTGGCTAGTGAACAATCCCAATTTATTCATGTATAATATGCACTCGTGTATTATATGCACCCTTAATTACGGGCAATTAAAAGTCTGTAAAAATATATCTGTCGTGTATAATACGCACAGACTTTTCTTTTGCATCATTTCAGGCTGCAAGCATACACCATGAAAGTTACAATCTTTCAACGCTTTCACCAAAATTATATTCTAATACGAACCCATTTCTAATTTTGAGAGCGCCCTGGGCACTTATTACGTCGAATACGGTAGTTATACAAGTGTATTGATGCAAGGACAATCCTATACTGCAGCATCTCTCCCCATTCAGACTCCGTCTTGTGTTGGGGAATATGAAACTGCCAATTTTTTTTGTACAAGAAATACCAACAGCATTCTTTCCAGTGGACAAATATGACTTGAATTTAGACTCGGGAATGAGGGCTATATTTTTATAACAACTTTTAAAGAGAGGAAGTTGACATCATTGATAATGTTGGTAAGATACAGGGCCTGATGGTGTATTCTGATACTCATTTTCTCACTTTAGTTTTTGAACATGTCACTCACATTGTACTGTATAGCACAGTATGGCTAATTGTAGAATATTATGTTCTGTGAATCCCACAATTGGTCCTTGATATTTGGACGTCCTGCCTTATTTCAGTCTATACTCAGAATTTGATTTAACAATGAAGATCCTTTAAAAGTTCAAAGAATAAAGTCCATCTATTCTCCTTGCACACAATCAGCCATTGGCCAAACCTATCCCTTGGGAAGAAGTGGCTATGGTTGCTGTGGTCTTTAACCACAGAAACTTTCCTTCCCAAGTCTACAGCTTCTCACACAGATGAAGAATATATTCAAAATTTATTCCTGATGAAAACCCCACTTTGTTTGGGATACTGATTTCCCAAAGTATGTGTATATTAATATCCAATTCATTTTTTTTTTCAATGTTTTTGTCATTGCAAGTTACCGGTATTGCAAAATCCTGTACTTTCAGCATTGCGGGTTATATTGGCGAGTCCCAAGTCACTTTACAACTACATGTACTACAAGTATACTATATGCTAATTGTTGGCAGGACGTATATGTCCGGCCAGGTCATGTGGGGTATATCTACTTAATGGAACCTGTATACAGCATTCAAGTTTACTCTTATTTTTTCATGTGTATGCCTTTGCATTTCAGTACCTTGTGTTGTTTTCGTAAACATGAATCTCTTGTATTGAAAGAAAATTTCTGTTGTGCTACACCAAAAAATGATTTTGTTATGGCCCTATGGTGAATATATGGCAGACATACCTCAGACATTATGATATACTTTCAATGAAACTAAACTTGTCAGGAAAGGAAAATGTGTTTTCGCAATTTGTTTCATGGTTATTTTAGTGAGAAAGACTAACAATGGACTGTTAACTTGCTTAGTCCTAGTCACCCGTTGTCTCAAACCTGCGTCACTTTGTCCGTAACAGATTTCATTGGGGTCAAGTAAGGATGTATATTCACAGATAATGTTTCTTTCTTCAAATAATTTTATCTGCAGAAAAGGAAATTAACTGATATCAGTTTCTCAGATGATCAAATCTTTGATCTTTAGGATTCTGCATTAGAGGATGTTAGATTTGTAGTCCCACTGTCTAGTATATAAGCAGTAATAAGTTAAAGATGTTTTAGTTCACACTGTTGACTTATTATAGGATAAGCATAACAATCTTGTAACATTATTGCCAAGTGTAATCATTGAGAAAATCCATGACAATGTAATCAGTATTGAGAGAATGTAGGTTAAATATGGTTGTGTAGCGCTTACTAGTAAGTTCCATGGGAACTATTTTCTCCTAGATTCGTCCACCCCATTCTAGTGTTGTGATCTGGCTTGTAGACCTCAGTGTTTTTTTGACTGTCTTTGTCCTAGCTGTTACAATCATTGTGAAAATTCTAGTCAATTTTTTTTTCTAGGGTCACACGACCCACCCAGTACCCACTTTTTCAACCATATCTATTATTTTACCAAGGTGTTATGCTATATATGAGCAATACTTGTATTTGACTTTTCTGCTATACCAGCAAGGTATTCTGTACTGATATGCTGTATTGAGCATACTAACATTTTGTATATAATAAACATACAAATATATATTAAGTACTAATCACTGTGTTTGTCATCCTTAATGGCTCAGGCAGCCTCCGTGGTTGAGTGGAGAGAGTGTCTGTGTGGAGAGGAAGGTCAGGGTTCAGTCCCCGGCCACATCACACCAAAAGACGTTAAAAGATAGTACTTGTTGTTTCCCTGCCTGACGATTGGCACTATGGGGCTAAAACAAGGACTGGTCGGATCGTGTCAGTATACTGTGTCTGAGTGGGGTATTTATGGTATTTCAGTGAGCAGGCACTATAAAACTTGTCCCTGTACAGAGTTGTGTCCCTCAGTCCAATGGATCTACTGGTCATCCTATGAGCGTGTGTTTATTGGGAGACAAACAGTATGCATTTTAAGATTAGCAGGTTTTATTGAGTATTCGATGGCCAGAAATTTCATTTTGAACCGACAATGTTCAATACAATAGTGATCCATTATTTTCTGAAGCACACTCTCTCTCTACCTCCAACTAAATCAAGGTTGTTCTTGTTCAAACTTAATATTTTATCAACGTGACATCCATTTCGCCAAACTGAAAGGCATGTTTTTCACATACTGGATTGAATTTTTGTTTACAGTTACCAACTAAGATGTAGTAAATAGCCCTGAGATTTCCGTGCCTCAATTCCCATTTGAGCACATTTCTCAGATAGCAGACACACTCTCTATTTGTTTTACAATCCCATGATCTTTGGCCATGTCGTGCTCAAGGGTTTCAACCAAAATGTAAACATGCACCACACATTGTCATAACTCAAAGTCTGAGCGAAATGGTAACACCAAATTAATGTTTACAAATAACAAAACAGTCTGTGCATTCATAGAAAATATATTTGACTTGATAGACAACATGAGTACAAGTCTCATTCCACCAGGTGAGGAAACAGGATCAGAAACTGTCACTTTCATCTTCGAGGTTTCATTTGCTCAGTCTTCTTCACATATCCAGCCAATTCAACTGTTAGCTGTCAACATGTCTTTTCCTTACTTACTAAGATATTACAAAGTTACCTAAATAAAAACAATAAATATTACATCAATCAGTACATTCATTTCCAGTTAAATATCACTTAGAGTAAAAATATCCACTTCCTCAGAATCTGTCACACCACATTTTACTATGTCATTAATTTCTCCAAACAAAAATACATGTATATTGATTTGCAAGAAGAATAGTCTGACATAGTTATCAAGGTATGATTATGCAGCTAAGAATTTGAAAGTAACATAATTGTATCATATTATCAAAAAATTATACATGGGATTTTCTCTCAAACTGAAACTTTTAAAACAAATTTAGGTTTTACTGAGATTTTGGCAAATGCAAATATCAAACTGATGACAAAAGAAATCACACGAAAGGGATTTGTTTATGGGTCTTGTCAAATGTTTGATGAAGCCAAAGAACTAAATTAATCTAGATAGGCATTTGGAATTTGAAATGCCATTTTACAATAGTTTCCCTATTAATAATTTGAAAGTGGTCATGGTTGTAAATGCAGGGTTGGGACGAAATGGGCAACTAAATTAACGGGTAGTTTTTCAGTTCCACTGAACTTCTGACCAGACACCTCAGAAAGTCGATTAAGACACAAAAGACAAAACATAGAATAAATACACAACTAATTAAAATGAAAGCATACAACACCACAAAATGCATCCAAAATGATTATAAAAACTCACATTTTGTAAATGAAATGCAAGAATATACCAAGTTCCTATTAAAACAATGTGCTGCACTGCACTGCACTATAAGACTTGAACCCCATTCTTCTGATTGCACCGTAAGCCATTCAACAGAAACAGCCAATACAAGGCAGTGAAACATGCAGGAGACAACACCCTTAGAAGGCACTTGATGATGGAATAAATTAGGAGAAATATGAAATATTTACACTCGAATATGAAGTTATGTTTAAAAGGCCACATTATTAAGATCTGAAGTTTAATTTCTTTGGACAAAATAATGATGCTCCCTTCTCCAAGACCCATGGATGCTTGTGACTAGATGGTTTTCACCTGTGTTTATGTATATCTTTCTCTAAGCATAATTTTATCCATGAAAGATTCTTCAGATACTCGTTTAATTTTGGCAAATTATGGAATGGGATTTCTAAAATTATGTAAGGTTTGGGAATTCAATTTAAGATTAACTTAAGTTATTACTGTTGCACAAAAATGTGGTTCAATGATTAAAAAACTAGACAAAAACGAAGCACCAATAAGCCATTTACCATTAAGATGGTAACCATGGTCAATTCGGGTACATTTGGGTGGGTGTGCAAACTTAAATCTATCCCACAAACACTGCAAATAAAAGTTGGCATGGTGTAAAATACAGTTGTGCAGTTTATATATACATTTCATGCAGTTTAAAACAGTTGTGTAAGTCTGGAGTCTTTGTAGCTGACGTCCAGTCAACATTATCACCACAGAAGTGGATTAATCACACACACAAAATACAAAGCCTGCACAAATTTTGACAGGAATTCAGAAAAAAAACAAGGAATCATAAAACTTAAAACCTGGATACCTGGTGGTATGTTTCACAATAATTTCCTCATTCTGTGAGTAAAAAAGTTGATCTTAATGAATATTTCAACAGAAACGGGCTTCACACATTGTACCATGTGGGGAATAAAACTTGGTCTTCAGCGTAAAGAGCCTACGATGCATGTGTATACATCCCAACGGCCCCTAATACTGGAGGAAGTGGGTACAACATTCAAGCACTGCAAATCACAATGTTGTATCTTGTCCTGTGATTCAAAATGGCTTGATGAGACAGCTGCAGAAACAAGACTCTGCTAGTCATTGTATAAACAGAAACAATAAATGCCAGTCGTCTTGTGTATACACATAAAGAAACAATTAAAGGCTGTGAATTAAAAAAGTTTAACATAAGTCGTGCAACATCTGACAAGAATCACACGTGCCCTAGAAACCTTCAAAGTGCTGAATACTGTTAACATGTAGTGTCAACACCAGTCAAAACACAACCAACATCATCACATCTACCCTACACATGAAACAACGGGGACTTGGTGTCACTGGTAAATATGTTAACGGTGACCACAGAGAGCTACGTCAAACAACAAACTCAACACAGTTGGCAAAAGTATCTGCCGACACGAACCATGTTCATGCATGATCCTTGTCATAACCCTAATATCAAAGACTTCAGGGTCCCGAGATTCAAATACCATGGAAGACCGTAAGGACCAAGGGCAGCTTAATGGAGAACGCTGCAATGTCCTGGTGCAATGCTCACAAAATACAGGCCTGGGTCTGTACACGTGCAACATACTGGACAGAAGAACTGAACTGGTGGACTCGTGGATATGTATCACCAAGTATGAGGCCTACATATGACTGGTATGTTGTCATGTCATGTGGTGAGTCAACACTAACAAAATTACTTTATTAGAGTGTGGTTTTACGTCGCTTCAGCAATATTCAAGCAATAACACAGCGGGGGTAACCAGAAATGTGATTTACACGTACCCATGTGGGGAATCGAACCCGGGCCTTTGGTGTAATGAGTGAAAGGTTTAACCTCTAGGCTACCCCACCTCTCCCTACTACAGTGATCCCTCGATATACCGCTATATGTATGTCAAGGTTAGGGTGTGGCACTGACTGAAATACAAACACCTGTGCCTGGGTAACACAACTCCAAGGTGCATGGTCACCATACTCTCCCTGAATCTCCATGATGACCAGGGTGCTGTTGTACACAGCGATCTTAGCACTAAGGTGATTGTAAGGCCCATACCTCAACATAGACTTACAACAGTCATAGTGCTCTATTTGTTTTGTACAACAGTACCCAGAGTAGTACTCATGAAAGGTCAGAAATGGAATACTATCAAAGTATGAAAGTACATTGTGTCCATGTTGAAATGTTGCACAAAGTAATCCTAGCGCGTACCTTAAGCAAAAAAGGTAAAGTCTGTGTTTAAATATTGAAGTGACAATAGTCGTAATACTTCACTTAGGTAACATGAACCAGCACTTAAACTATGGTCATTGTTAGAAAATCACCATTTTCCAAGCACCATGTTGAATGTCATGTTTGTGGTAAGGTCTACAATACAAACAAAAGTTTTCACAGATTTCACACATTTGTACTGCCCATCCAGCAATAGAAACTAACATTTTGAGTCCACTCATAATGATAACATATAGCACAACTGTTATAAATGGCAAATTTCTACTGGTCCTCATAATACCTTAACTGCTATTGGGCAGTTTGGCAAGGACTATAAGACTACTACTGTCATCTAAAGCTATACATGTGTATATGTAAACAATACCATATACAGGATGCACACAATATAAACTATCAAGGAGCTGTATAAGATATAATAAGTTGCACATTTGATTGCATCAACATGGTCAATAACATTCATGACAAATAAATTTGATTTCTTGTATTGCACTTTTAACTTCAAACTTATAGCTCAATATGGGCATATAAATGTCCCTTCTAACCTTCTTGGCAAATAATAGTAACTTGGATCCAATTTTACCAAATTACAAAGATAACAAACATATTTTTAAAATTCATGATAAACATATCTTCCCGAGGCAAGGGAGTTAAGCCGAACTAGGCTGGAATAATGGAGCTATATTTTGACTGGACTAATGAGTCTACGTGTAGCCCAATCAAAATCACGTAATGATATTGACATCCGGTTCATAAACAACATGGCAACTGCCGTGCCAAATTCGTTTGATTGTGTATCGTCAACTGGGCGTCGACACATATTTTCCAAATCTTTTCATGTTTAAATCAAGGTGATTTGATGCACTTTGCGAGGTAAGCATGTTTTATTACAATAACAATCTTTATTATCGATGAGATCGTCTTGACTGAGCACTGCCATTTTGTTTGAAACAAATGCAAGTGATATGAGGTGGAATCTGATTATCAGCAGGGGGATATAAAAGGGACATAACTCGTAATAGCCACTAGTGGCGCTACGATCGAGCCAAGAAATTCCAGCCAAGTTTGGGGAGGGTGGAAAATTGACTTTTAAAGTCAGTAAACTCCCTTGCCTCGGGAAGATGTGATGAACATGACACACAATAAACAGTTCTTCCTCTGGTAAACATCTGCATAACAGTAATGGAATAGATTACCAAGCACCTGTTGGTGAAGCAATGGTCCCATGGCAAGGGCTTCTCTTCATATAACATACATCCATCAGGTCAGTAATCTTTCTACTGGAAATAGTAAATTTGTGGCTACCTATTTCATGTGTTAATACTACATTGTGTCTGTTATTTCCTACATGGGACTACTGCGGACAGTACTGATCAACAGTGGTGTGGACAAAGTCGGACATCGCGGCGCCGATGTTGTTAGCCGCTTCTAGCATCTCCTCATTGGAGTTGTAGGACTTGGAGTCCCCCATTGAGTAGGCTGGAACAAAATGATGCAGGTTAGCCATTAATCCAAAGTGACTGAGTTTTGGCTTAATGCCACAGACAGGTTGTCATCTTTATGTAGGACAAAAAGCATTGTTGCTCTTAGAAACATCTAACATCTATTCGAAAAAGAACCACTTGTTCCAAGGGCCCTCTTCCACAAAGCAATCTTAGCACTAAGACTCCCATAATTTAACATAGACTTACGACATTCGTAACACTAAGATCTCTTTGTAGAACTGGTCCTTGGACAGATGAGAGAGGCATGTTTGGCTACATTAACACTCAACCAGACAGATCACACCACAATATAACCTCTTACAACAACAAGTATTGTTTGTTTGTTGTTAAGACTGCACTCAGCAATATTCCAGCTTTTTGATGGTGGTCTGTCAATTCTTGACCAGACAATCCAGTGATTGATAGTATGAGCAACAATTCACACCATCAGGGTACCTTGACAAACCATCAACCAAGTCACCGAGCTTGACCACCCGATCCATTAAGATGCCTCTAATTAGTTCTTTGTTAATTGCTGTAGGTCTTGAGTTGGGTACAACATGGCCCATTGGGAATTGTTTTACAAGAGCCCTGGCAAAAACTGTTTATGTACACGTAAAAAACGATCTAATCATGCACTGCAGTTGACTGAAGCTTTAGGCTTAAAATAATATAAGAATTAGTTCTCAGGCAATGACTTTTCAGACTAGTATGTAACCAAATAAACAGTTGTGTACCATCAACCTGGGAAAGGGCCTCCCTACATAAACAAGCATACAAACTCCTATTGCCGCCATGACCATAACGCGAGATACACAGTAAAGCAGTGCGCATGTAAAGGGAAGTAACTGTGTGCTATTTTGGATCGCATGGTCTTTAAGCATTGGGATTATTTTATGTTTTGGAAAATGAAAATAAAACTAAACGTGCGGCAGACTTCATGATGATGCGGGCAGTGTCTGAGAACAAAGACTATAATTTTCTTTAGCCTTATCGTGACTCAAACATATGGAAGTCAGAAGGAGCAATGGGGTTTTATTGTTATTGTCATTAACAATACATGTATATCACATGACTAACCATGGGTCTGGGTACCCAACCTGAGTATGTGAGTTACCCGTCCTTGCCCTTCCATGGGTACAACAAGAATCAAGTACTGGAGACCCATGAACGTATAAATGCTTTGAGGGTCATAGATAATTGCATGTTGATTTAAAGTTGCACATACCTGAAAAAGACAAATTGGCTGGCAGTGCATCATCAATACGCTTCAACAGCTCCTGGATCTCAGCCTCCTCCTCTGGGCAGAACTGTGACTTGGACACACTTGATGGGGTGAAGTAACACTGGCTCTCTTCAATACTACCATGGCTGGTCCACTCAGGAGTCTTTGGGGTGACAGGATCTCTCCAATCTTTATCAGGGGTGGTAGGTGTGGTTGAACCAGTCCATTGTGGTGTTCCAGGGGTGGTGGAGCTGTGCCACTCCTTCCCAGCAGGGGTGAGGGGTTTGCCTTTCCGTCTCCTTGGCTCCGTGAAGTACGCCCCTGCAGCAGGGGTGGGGTGTTTGGACGGGATGCGGCTGGAGCAGGCCTGTGGGGTGGTGTCGATGGAGAGGGGGGAGAAGTAGCTGTGTCCCAGGTAGGACATGGACACTGGGCGGTGATAGGTTATATCACTGGAAGACCGGTGGAGCGGTTGCTGCTGCAAGGAGAAGTGAAGATAATGTCAGATCACTTCCACTCGCGACAAACTTGTGTTTTTCCGGGGCAAGCCGAATAGCAACTCATGCCCCTCTGGTGGCCAATTTTGGCCACTCGTTGTGTAATGATTCACAAATATTCCCCCACATCATATATATCCCAGATGCTATTGAACACCATCGGGACCTACAGTATAATACAGTATGATTGAACACATTTAACTGTATCCTGGGTATAGTTTTAAATGCAAGACATATGTAAAATAAAAACATATTCCTTAATGTAATTGTTAAGTGCTCGATTGATAGAAATAATTACATTAGAGTGAGAAAACACACTATACATGTTTTGAACAAAATGAATCAAACTTGGACAGTCATATGACCCTGGGATTGTCCCCTTTAAAAAACACTGATCAACATGTTTTACTTGCTTGTTGATAATGCTGCAGTCAGCAACATCATGGCAGCATGAAAATAACCAACTCTGGGCCAGACAAGCCAGTGATTCATATTTTGAAAAAAACAGTCCAGGTTGCCGTTGTACAAAGCGATCTGAGCTCGAAGGTAATCGTAACTCCCATACCTTAACATAGACTTACGACAGTCGTAGTGCTAAGGTTGTTTTGTACAACAGCACCCTGGCTGTTGGTGTTCTTCAAGCCGTGAAGTCTGACCACTCAATCATTTTGTGTCACCTCTTACAAGCATATGCTACCATGGGTACTGGGGACTAATTCAAACGTGACCATGATTATCCAATCGTTTCATAAATACAGTGACAGTAACACCTAGGTAATTCAAAGCCTTAAGGACCAAAGAAATATTGAGTTCTTTAGTCCAACACAAGTTGATAATCGACAATAGTTCCGATAAAGATAAGGGTCAATCCTCTCAAACCACAAATATTTTTTACATTTGTATACTTATCCTGCATTACTCCGTATTGCATTTACTGCTGTCTTTGACAGAGAGACGAACTGTGTGAGATCCAGCTGCTGAAGAAAGTTGTCCCAACCAGTCCAGGAGGCAGCGCCCTCTCACAGTCGGCATGTGACCCGGAAGTCATGACGTCACACCAAAAGACATAACTGCTTTAAACATAACATCTGAAACTTCGTGGGGAGGTAGCGTAGCGAAAGGGAGGGCACTTAGACTTCGTAATGCAGGATAAGTATACAAATGTAAAAAATATTTAGATTTTACTAAATTTTTTAACTTATCCTGCATTACTCCGTATTGCATCTTTATCAGACGGCATGGCGGTGGGCATACCTGCAGATGTGAACCATATTAAACCCTCGTCAAGGTCCGATGAATCCGCACCGCATACAAGTGATGACCGGAACATCTACGACCATTCCTGTCTTCAGGAAACAAGAGTCGATGCAAAAACGAAACGCCCGAATAGGTAACCGAAATACAATGAGGCGTGTAGCCAAAATATATAACTTACCGAAGAGCGAAAGCGAAACGCAGTAGAGCCCTCTAATCTGAGGTGATAAATCTGAGAGTTCGACGGGCCCCGCTCGGGGAATCGAAGAATCAGCAGCGTCGGCGGCAAAATCTACGACCAATCCCAAGAGCGAATGCGAAACGCAGTAGAGCCCTCTAGGCTGGAGGCAAGGAACACCGGTGAGGTCGACGGGCACCGCTCAGGTACCAGAGAAGCAGCGGCGTTGGCGTTGGCGTTGGCGTTGGCGTCGGCGCCGGTGTCCACATCAACTACCATTCCTGTCGTCAGGAAACGAGAGTTGATGCAAAAAGTAAAACCCGGATAGGTGACAGCAATAGAATGAGTCGGGTAACCCAAAACTAAAACTGACCTAAGAGCGAATGCGGAACGCAAGAGAGCCGACTCGTCTGGGGTGATAAACACCAGAGAGGTCGACGGGCCCCGCTCAGGGTATCGGAGAATCAGTGGCGTCGGAGATAGATGACCTGTTGGGCTACAACCAGGGACCAAAACTGTGAACGCCGGCGACAACTTTCAAGGCTACATCACAGAAGTAGTGGTTGGTGAAGGCGGTGTCCGATCGCCACGAACAGGCTTCCCTGAACGACTGGATGGAACAGTATACCGTGAAGAACCAGTGTAAATACGATCGCCCTGATCTCATTTTATTTCAGGTGATAGCCTTTGGGGGGAGGGTCCAATCCGGCGGCTCATAAGCTTTAAGGATGACCGCCCGGAGCCACAGGGAAAAGTATTCCGGCTGACCAACGACTGCGACGAAGGGGAGACCGGCAGAAAAAGGTGTTTCCTAGACTTGCGGCAGTCTTTAGATCGTAGAATAACCTTCAGTGCCCTTACTGGGCATAATGACGCTCATCCTCATCCTCGGCACCCACACTGGACGAGGGGGGAGGGGACAAGGAATGATCTATCAGGCTGTCCTGGGAGTTGAGTCTTTACGCTGACGTCCCAGTACGGTCCATGATGAACGGCGCCCTGGGTACCGCATTCGAACCGGGCACGGGAGACGTCGAGGGCGTGCTGTACATGGACTCAAGCGGCAGTAGTCAAAACCAGTAGAAACACCCGGCTTCTACTTAAGGTCGTAGAAGGAAGACGAGGGGAGTGGTTCCAAGGGCGTTGAAGACCACATTCAGATCCAACGCAGGCGGTCCGAACTTGGCCTTCAGGTCTTCAAGACTGAACGAGCGCATCAAGGCCCGTAGGTCGGGAATTTTCGTCTTTCTCCGATCGTCCGGGATGGCCAGAACGGAGTAGATGGCGACCAGGTATGTGGGGGTGGTAAGCCCTTCAACCGACACGTGCTACGCAAGTACAGAAGGAACTGATCCAGGATCTGCAGTGACGCTGTCATCAGATCCTGGTGTTTGTCAGAACAAAATGCCTGGAACAAGCATCATTTATCAGCATACAGTCCCCCTGTAGATGGACGGTGGGCTGAAGCAATAGCCTTGGTCGCTCTAGCCGAATAGCCCTTGGCTTTCTGCATGTGTGTCAGGCGTGCAGACGATAACATGCGGGTATGAGGGTGTGGCAACAGACCGTGTGGTTGGACCACACCGGAAGTTCCAGGGGTTGTCTCTGGCTATGTTTCGGAGGTTGATAACCCAACTTCTGGCTGACCAATAAGGCGAGACCAAAGTCAATGGCAGGGGTCGAGTGGCCTGGATCTCTGAAGAACCGTGGGAGGGAGAACCGGAGTCGGAAAAGCGTACGCGCGTAATCCTTCTCAGGAACGATGGAAGGCTTCGACTGCCACAGCGGTCGTATCCGGCACAGGTGGAATGGAAGACGACAGCTGGCCACATTCAGATATGAGGCAAACAGATCTAGGGTTGGGGTGTCGACCGTTTGACATAGTCTGGCCCGAGGCGCCGGAGAGCGTGAGGCGTCGGAGAGCTTGAGGCGCCTGGAACACCGAAGATGGTGATTCTCGGGGGCGCCGGTCGAGTTTGTAGCGCCGGGAGAGGGGCGAGAACTCTGGGTCCGCAAACACCACACTAGGGTGACGTCGTCAGTGGACACGATCAACAGGGCGTGACCGAGAATGCACTGTCAGCAAGTGCCGTCCTGGATAAGCCTTTATCTCGAGGCTGTTGCTGTGCCAATGGTGTTGATCTCTGGATCACAGGTGGTCACAATGTGGGCTGGCGTGGGCCACTAGCCACTGACAAGGTGGCAGGGGAGGTAGTCAGCAACAGGGGTCTGCGATTGCGTACCGTCGGTACGATTCGGTGTTGGAGACCGTGAACGGTCGTATGTCGTGCCAGGGGAGGCAGACTCTACGTTGGGAGCGCTGGAGCTGCCGGTGGAGTAGGAGACCGTGAACGGTCGTATGTCGTGCCAGGGGAGGCAGACTCTACGTTGGGAGTGCTGGAGCCGCCGGTGGAGTAGGAGACCGTGAACGGTCGTATGTCGTGCCATGGGAGGCAGACTCTACGTTGGGAGCGCTGGAGCCGCCAGTGATGTAGGAGACCGTGAACGGTCGTATGTCGTGCCATGGGAGGCAGACTCTACGTTGGGAGCCGCCGTGAAGCTCCGCTGAGCGCTGCTGCCGTCAACGTAGGTGGGGGTCGACGAGCACGTTGAGCGAGGTGTGTCCTGGATACTCGCATGAGCTGAAGGATCACAGCGACGAATGACTGCAACATCGGCACTGCCTTGTGAAAGTACAGGGCGTCGTACAATCACGGCAGAAAGGGGCGGCCCCGACCAGATTTGTTCCCGCGGCAACAAGTGCAGCGAGGCAGAAAATCTGGAATTTAAGCAAAACATAACTATGTGGCAAAGCCACAAAGTGCGGGAAGCATAATGTGTGGCCAATCACAAAGTATGGGAAGCATAAAGTAACTCAAAAACAGTATATTTTATTAAAGTTTATGAGATAAACAAGTACGCTAAAAGCGAAAAGGCAAAGCCTTAAGCAAACACGTAACCATGTGGCAAAACCACAGAGTACGGGAGACATAATGTAACTCATAAACTTCGTATTATATTGAAGTTTATGAGAAGAAACAATTACGCTGAGAGGTAGCGAAAAGGCAAGGCTTTAAGCACACCAAAACAACATACATAAATGTAATGTATTACCCAAGCCAAAGAGAGAATTCAAAACGCAGAGCACGACATTACGTGGCCACGTGGTGAATGGCCAAAATGGCGGGAAAGAAAACAAAATGGCGGGAACAACATTGCGCCCGTAAATTACTGTGACGTGAGCCACAGACGAGCGATAAACGTTACAATTTACGAATGGGGAGACCCTAAGGTCACGGCCCATAACAGGTAACAATGTAGCAGCATATAATGAATGTAGAAACACGCAAAATATAAAAAACAAATAATAAGCTTTAATTTCCACAAGGGATACAAAGTACGTCCGTCCGTGGAGGTGACAAAGCAGTTATGTTTTTTGGTGTGACGTCATGACTTCCGGGTCACGTGCCGACTGTGAGAGGGTGCTGCCTCCTGGACTGGTTGGGACAACTTTCTTCAGCAGCTGGATCTCACACAGTTCGTCTCTCTGTCAAAGACAGCAGTAAATGCAATACGGAGTAATGCAGGATAAGTTAAAAAATTTAAGTACTTAGTTATCGATAGTTCAACAAACTCATCGCTCACCTTCAGGACATTCTGGACCCGGTTGAGATGGCGACTGAGCCTCTTGTTGTGGTCCTCGAGGACATCTTTCTGTGCATGGATGACATCATTCTCTATCTCGAGGTCAGCCTCATAGGACAGATTGCTCTCAGTGTCTGACGGTTGGCGCAGCTCTGCTATCTTCCGGTATAGCTTCCTGTAGATTTGTGAAAGACGGAATGAACAAGCTATTATGTCAAAGTGAATAAATATTGCCCCAGTTACAAAAATACTACTATACTATTGACAGGGATAACTAAATATGCCATTCTCTTTATATATACACTAGACATATTATGAGAATATATTTTGTGTATCATAGAAAGATATAAAAAAATCCTCATCAAATGGTAAGTGCACTATTTTAAGCTGTTTTAGCAATATTTCAGCCACATCACTGCTGGGGAGCACCAGAAATGGGTTTCACACATTGTACCCAGGAGAACGGAACCTGGGTCGTCAGCGTGAGAAGCCAACACTTTAACCACTAAGCTCTTGAAGATGTTACCTGTTCTCCTCCTCTAGGCGATGGATGACACCTTCGTAGTCCTGTCTCTGTTGTTTCATGAAGTTTGACATATCCTTCACGTTCTCCTGAAACACAAAAAACATGCAAAAGGTCAAGATTGTTTGTTTGTTGTTTAACGCTGCACTCAGCAATATTCCAGCTATATGACGGAGATCTGTAAATAATTGAGTCTGGACCAGACAATCTAGTGATTGAATCATGAGCATCAATCTATGCAATTGGGATGTACGATGACATGCATCAACCAAGTCGGCGAGCCTGACAACCCGATCCTGTTAGTCGCCTCTCATGACAAGCATAGTCACCTCTTACGGCAAGCATGGGCTGATGAAGACCTTTTCTAACCCAGATCTTCAAGGGTCTCTGGTGAGATAGTTACCTTGTCATGGACAGACTGTGTGGGTGTCTTTCTGGGAGTGTTGTTGAGAACCAGGACGGTGGCAGACTTGGGACGGAAGGTGTTGGACTCTGCCAGTGGCTGGCGTGACGTACACGGCTGTGGTTCATTTGACTGACTCCCAGCTGCTTCTGTGTTGGTGACCTTGGCCATTGTCGGCTCTTGCGGACCTGGACGGCCACTCCTTCAAGTAAAGATGGCTTGTGAGGTTGAGTGTGAATAAAAAAAACATAATCTCACATTTCATAAATAATCTTACAAAATAAAACGACTGGATGAACGTTGTTTACTTGTTGTTTATAGTGGATGAAGGAGGGGTATAATACAGGTATGAGTAAATGGTAAATTCCCCTATCCCACATAATCCCATTTGCCATACTTAATAAATGTTAACAAATGACTAGTGCAACAAAGTAACATAAATTGTTTTAGTAGGACACAAATCACAAATATACTGACACAATTGCAGTTTCAAAATTTTATCATATTTGGCTAAATGGCCACACAAGTTCAAGTTGATTGTGCATTTTCAGTGTTTTTCAGTATATTTAATCAGGGTATGAAACTCCCCAAAATATCAGCCAGACCACAGGACTGGCTTGCTGAAATACTTGCCAGCCCTGACCAAAACCTGCCTGCCCACTATAATCATATGTTTCTCAGGATAAGCTAACGGAATTTCTTTTTGGTTACATTTTATCATTCATCTTTACATGTTAATTAATGATTATCATCCGGAAATATTTAGAATATTTTCACATATCAAATATAACCCGACCGTCGGGCAGGAGGATTTGAAAATCTGGCAACCCGAGTTGAAATCAACCCGTACGGTCGGGCAGGCAGGTATTTCGAACACTGATTTAATATACAGGAAAAAAATGTAAGGGATCATTAATATTTTTGGGGATATGTTTTTGTAGTGAAGACTGAGCGCACAATTTCACAAAAATATCCCAGAAAATATTCATGTTCCCTAACTATTGTTAAGAATATTATGTAACAGTCCACCATATCGTGTCATAAGTCCAAGACATCTATCATGTATATTGCCCACTCTACAGATACCTTACACACACTAAAACCAATCTCATTAAAATCAGATCTAAGTTCTCGCTGCCGCTAAACAAAGATCTGAGGACATCCCATTACGGGTCACGTCAGAACGACCTTTCACGAACTTTGACCGACCACTGAAATAACAAACATCAGCCAATTAGAAAGCAGCTTTCTCAAGCTTTACGGTACTCGTTTCAACCTGGCGACTTCCATTTCAGAATACGCTTGAAAAATATGTTGGCACAGTTCTCGATTAAAATTTTGAAAACTGAACAAACGAACATTGCGGAATGTCTAATATATGGTTGATATTGTATGACAGTACTTCCCATGTACTGTGCAACGCCTCCTCCGTTCAAATGTTTGTCCTAAGTAAGCGAGATAGACGATCATTTTGACGGAATCAGTCGTACGGGCCGTAACTGTTGTTCGGAATACCCCGTGTTAACGTTTTCGAGGTTGCATGATGAGAAAACGCATTCCGACTGTCACTTTCATGATCTGGTACGCGACGCTTTGATTGGTTGGATGAAAGGTCGTTCTGACGTGACCCGTAATGGGATGTCTTTATGGGGATGGGATCTTTATTTAGTGATAGCGAGAACTAAGATCTGATTTTAATGAGATTGCACTAAAACAAAAGGATTGTAAGCTTCATCAATATTTAACTCTTTGAAATACTGTCTGAGCAACAAGTGCCATTGTTTTCATCCACTGTCAGCATAGCCTACCATTCCATGATGGGGTTTATCCTGGCAGAGTCGATGGGCAAGTATTTCACCTTACTCTTGCGACGATGTTTCTTGCTCAGGTTGTTTCTGATGGTCTTCATGAATGCCTTTGTATCCTCCTTGCTGCTGGTCTGTCAGTGACAACACAAACACCTTCATTCAGTATTGCTATCTACCATGTCGGATCAGCACAGCATTTTCAGTTTCAATTTCCAAATGTTTGGGGCATGAAGATTTTTTCAAGGATGAACATATAGTGATACATCTTCCCAAGGCAAGAGTGTCCACTAGCCTATATCAAAGCCTTGTTTCTACCAGGTGATGGCTGTGGTCTTAGCAGCGACCATGTTTTTGGGACCTTGATATTGAATCTGTAAAACATTCTCTGATTGGACTATCAATATGTGCAATAGTCCTGATATTTGAGCACAGAAAGGTAGGCTTGAAATGGTAGGGGTAGACTTGGATATAGAGGCTAGTGCGAACTCGTGCCTCGGGAAGATGATCCTGATAATGTAGTCAGCAATATTAAACTGCATCACAGTGATCCTTACAAACAAGTGGCAATAGTATAAGGCTGTCCATAGTTGTTTCCCATCTTCCACCCTGAATTTTCGTTCAGTCATGAAATAATAAAAAAGTTTTCTGATCACAATTTCCCACGCCGCTGTGGAAATTTATGGCCTGTGATAAAAAAATATATACTCCCACAATTGCACACTGAAAAAAAACCAACAAGCCAGCTTGATCTTTCTGAAGCTTTATTTATTAAAAATTTGCTTCCAAAGCAAAGCGACTCGAGCGACATCATAAACTAATTTGAGGACCGTTTCAAAGTGTTCTAAACATTAAAATTTCATAAAATTAGTGAAAAACAGGTTGTTGTTTTTTATATATATTTCGCCCAATCTCACTCTTGCTGGATGGGGTTGGAGATGAGAAACATTAAAACATATGGATGGCCTAACTATAGATCCAGATTATCACAGTATGATGACTCACAATCAGCAAGGTCACAGCCAAGTTTGCCCTTTCAGTTGCTATTCATACTTAGCCACTGTGACCAAACAATATCCATTTAAGACCTTTCAGCTCTTACAACAAGCATATTGAGATTACTTAGCCCTGGAATGTCAATGAGAGCAGGAGTAACTTCCCCTGCGCATGCATGACTCCCACTCACCATGAGACAGTACTCCTGCAGTGGGTGTTTCAGCTTGTGGTTCTTCCTCGTCTGTCCAGTGAAGAAACAGAGCTGACAGATGTCAAAGTTAAAACACTTCAGACACCGATATCTGTAAATAAACAACCAATACATGATCTGAGTAAATAGGATCTTCAACAAAAGCAAAATAGGCTTAAAAAAATAAACGAATTGGGTCTCAGGCAATGACTTTTGGAAGTGCAGGCGAGCGGTGTTTTTTTTATATTTTGCTAGTTCCAACTAGTATGTAACCAAATAAACAGTTGTGTACCATCAACCTGGGAAAGGGCCTCTCTACATAAACAAGCATACAACCTCCTATTGATGCCATGACCATAACACAAGATGCACAGTGAAGCAGTGTGCATGTAAAGGGAAGTAACTGCATGCTATATTGGCTCGCACTGTTTTAAGTATTATGATTTTGTTATGTTTTTTTTAAAAATGGACATAAAAACGAAACATGCAGTGGACTTTATGATGTTGCGGGCGATGCCTGACAACCAAGACCATAATTTTTTTAGCCTCAGTCAACTCTTGATAGAACTCAAATCGAGGGTTTTGCCTGGAACCTTGTTAGTCCTCATACTATCAAATGTCCTGAGTGACAAATATATGGTACAGAGTAATTTTCATTTGGTTGCGTATAGACATTCTTATCAAAGTTGTCCAGAAGGCGAGCCAGGACGAACAAGTCAGTAAGTATGCAACCAGCTCTTGTCTCCCAAGTGTTGTCATTAATGACACAATTCAAGCGAACAATTAACAAAGGAAATTATATAGAAGTTGGTTTCCTCGAGGTTGTATGCTGAGTATTTCAGTTATTTCATGGTATCTCAGTGGGAGAAGAACAGCCAAAGTGTCACAACTTTAGACATTTAACAGAAACCCAGGAGTATTGGTATGGTTAATAACAACCAAGGTACACAATCAGGACAAATGTTGGTTTAGACTACAAGCAGATCCTAGCACAACCAAGGGAGACAGCTCTGCTGAGGCTTATAAACCCCTCCATAGGTGGAACATAGCACAATGTTAACAAACACTTAAAGATTCGTACAATGTTGAGGAAAACATGAAATTAGGAAAGTGAAACTCACCTGAATCCTATTATGGGGAAAGATTTACAAATATTGCACTTCGCCTCATGTTTCACTGTAAAAAAAATAAAAAATTCTGATACAATTACAAAGAGAAAATTAATCCAGAATTTTGATTAATTTATTTTATGATGTCGTTTTCTTCACTTGTAGATGTCTAATTTGTGAGGGAATAGATAAACAACAATCCAGCATGTTCTCATCTATCCTTTGCTTGTGTTCAATGCCGAACCCCGCAATATTTCAGGAATATGATGGTGGGCTGTACATATTTGAGTCTGGACCAGACAATCCAGTGATTGTCATGAGACATCCCTCAACCAAGTCGGCGAGCCTGTCCACCCGATCCCGTCTGTCACCTCTTATGACAAGCATGGGTTGCTGAAGACAATTTCTAACTATCTAGATTCAATATGAACATAAACTGAACATAAAGAATGTCGCCAGACAAGAAAGAGCATCACCTGTCTCAGCTGCTGCCAGTCTGTGAAGCGTCGGCAGCCATACCAGGGTCTGTGGTTCCCGTAGCAGCCAGCTATAGAACATGTCTTCTGATACTCCAGTAGTGTTCGAAGTCTGAAATCAAATCGACAGTCGTTGTGGTTTATTCATTCTTTCTTCTGACAATGTTTTCTTATCTCATGAAGTTTTTAGATTACTCTTATCATTAACACTAATGTAATCATACATACAATTATGAAACATCAATGTTTTATTTGCAATGTTTGAAGAATGACATGGGCGGGCCTCTGAGAGAGTGAGTGAGTTTGGCTTAACTTTTCTTTTAACAATAATATTTCAGCTACATCAGTGTTCCCGCTGGCTTTTAACTGCCAGTCAACCAGGACTGGAAACACTAAAAATTACCAGTCCCCCCTAATATTTGTCAGTCCCAACCTTCAACAAATGAAAAAACGTATGAAAATTACCTTGTTTTAATTCTTTCTACTCTTTTTTTGAATATTTCAAGACTAAATCGCCGCAAATATATATTTAACCCTGAAGCAAAATGTTATTTAATAGCGCCAAAAATAGACAAGGGGAAACCTAGATAGCAACTGACAAGCTGACTTTGTTATAATATAATTGTTAAAATATAATTATATGAATATGTTTTGTTCAACAACAAAGTTTTATAAGGTGCTTTATTTGCTGGTCCACAGGGACTGGCAGTAACATAAATTACCGATCCAAGTCCAATTTTACCAGTAAAAAATTACCGGTAAATGGGAACACTGTACATGATGTCTGTGCAAGACGCGAGTAAAGCCAACATTGACAGTTACCACTTTGATGAAACCCGAGAGCAAGGCCTTGGTGCTGACAAAGTCAGCGGAACTTTAGCCACTAGTCTGAAGCCTGACATAAGAGCAGTAGAGTGTACTGAAACTGACTCTCAAAGATAGTTTAGGAATTCTGGACAAGTTTGGACCTCTAGTCTAGGAACATTATTGCACCATGATCTGATCAAGCTGGTAAGGCTAAGGGACACAACTCTGCACAAAGAATTGCAGCCCGCTTGAAGACATTCCCTAATTATGTGTATGTGTATATTGTCAGAACTAAATCCAACATAACTTAAACCTATTATGCTTTAATAATATGCGAAAAAATATTTCTTGTTCACTATTTTGACAAAATGGACACATTGGAAAGAATAATGCAGACATCACATAAAACAATCATATTATTCATTCTGACCACACTTGTATTGTAACTTCATTGACTCTATGGACCAAATAAATAGGGCGCTAATTCAAATCAATCACAAGTTAATTTGATGTCAGAGATCTAGCAAAGGAGTAAAAACTTACAGCTAGTTAAAGTGTCAATGAATACATAACATTTGTGATATTTCCTAACAGAGATGTTTTTTGCTATTGGGAAAAAAGTCAGAGCTCAGTGTCTGCATGTATGATAAGCACCCTTTTCTACACAGCTGTATTTCTGGAAGAAATGTGTAATCTACATCCATGAATACAGTGAGCGTCATGTAAACCCATGTTTAGTACAGGGAAAAAAAAAATATCTATAAAAAAATGTTTAGTACAGGGTTATCATAATGATTACTGCTTACTGACGGATGAGTTGATGGGGGGAGGGGCTCTTATTGGAGCTGGTGTTTAATGGCAAATACTATAATTACACTTGACCACACAGCCAGAGGAATACTGATAATGTCCTCGTGTTCATGACAACAAACTCACCCCCTGGAGACAGCTGGCCACAACTGCTTGAACATTCTTCCCAAAGGCAACACTTTCCTTTAAGAGGTCTGGGATCTGAAACATCAGCATGTCACTTTGTAGTGTTTGTTTGTTTTTTGTTTAACGCCGCACTCAGAAATATTCCAGCTATATGACCGCGGTCTGTAAATAATCGAGTCTGGACCTGGCAATCCAGTGATTGACATCATGAGCATTGATTCACGCAATTGGGATACGATGACATGCATCAACCTAGTCAGCGAGCCTGACCACCTGTTCCTGTTTGTCGCTTCTTACGACAAGCATAGTCGCCTCTTATGACAAGCATATTCGCCTTTTATAGCAAGCATGGGTTGATGAAGACCTATTCTACCCCGGATCTTCACAGGTCTTACTTTGTAGTGAAGTCTCCTGAGTGCTGTGAGCTTTACTCACCACTTCACAACATAAAGTATAATATTTTGTTTATTTAAAAAATAATATTTATATCACTTATTTTTTTCTCTGTATGAAAGTAAATGTCATACTGGTAGCAGAGATTGAATACACAAGATCTAAGATGATCAGAGGTTAGTGTTTTACACAGGGCTGGCTATCGATATAGATCTTAGATATCTATAATTGTTAACTAAATATTGATCAATTATCAATAAATATCAGAGAAGTAACTTGGAGCAAATATGAAAAAGCTCAGAGACAAAACGATATTTCACATCACTGTTGAGTGGTGACACATTTATGCATGGATTACTTCGTTGACATTCAAGATATAGCAAACAGTTGGTTTCCGTCTTCGGCAATGGACAAAAACAACTCTGCTTTGGTAAGTTAAAACTTTGTTTTATAACAATTGTTTATATAAGATATTATCAATGACACAATTTTCATATCGATAATCGTTAATATTTCTTCCCATTGACGATAATTCTGATTATCTACCTCTTTAGCCAGCCCTAGTTTTACATAGGTCATAGCAATATTCCAGGGTTTTACATTGACTTACAAAAGTGGAGGAACCCCCAGTTATTAACTGTAAGGGTCTTTGCCAGCCTAAAGGAGTCCTATAAAGTAATGATTTGTTTGTTTGTTTGTTTATTTGTTTGTTTGTTGTTTAACGCCGCACTCAGCAATATTCCAGCTATATGACTGCGGCCTATAAATAATAGAGTCTGGACCAGACAATCAAGTAATAAACATCATGATCATCGATTCACGCAATTGGGATCGATGACATGCATCAACCAAGTCAGCAAGCCGGACCACCCAATTCTGTTAGTCGCCTCTTACGTCAAACATATAAAGTAATGAAGTGATGTAGTGTACTGTACGTTTTGATCATTACTTTAGAGCCTGGAATGAATCAGAGATCACATGGACAGTAGTCATGATTGATGGATCAAATAGCAGACACCCATAACTGCTCCCGATGTGCTGTAGGTACAATGAATAATATTGTGTGTCCTCTGCGACACTGTATATGTTTTCTCTGCGTCCATTCTCTACATTTGTGCGAACTGGACCACATTCATGTTGCATAAAACCCTGTACTATTGTTGGGAATCAAACCCGGGGCTTCCACTTAATAAGGAAATACTTTAATTACAGGGCTACCTTCATCACCCTCAAGGATGACACAACACATTTAGAGTTTATGATGCTAATATTAAGTTGCCACATATAAACTTTTTTGTGGTTCCAGTGCTACTGTTCCTCGATAATGACATCAGTGAATACACTCATGGGGTACAAACCTGAATAAGATCTTGTATGAAATCGCCCAGGCTCTTCTCTCCAACAAATGTGCTCTGATCTTTCAATTCATTGTAGAAAACTGAAAGCAAAAGATGTCTTGATAACTCATTCACCTAACAACAAGGATCACACAGCTTATGACAGATATGTAAATATAGCGACAAAACCCTTTCCATATCCATATTGTACAATTCTGACTATATATGTGTTTATGAATCACTATCAAATAGTAATGACACCAGGTGTTTGCGAAAAGGTAAGCATATCCTGCCCCAATGGTGGCACCTGTCACAAACACATGCAAAGGCAAGCCAAATTTTCACCCTAAAAAATATGGGAACATATGGTACAAGTCAAAATAGGGAATTGCATCGAACATCATTTTTGGCACTGATGCGTCAAATTTGGAAATGTCCTCCACATGTCTACCATAAAACTTTTTGAAAGCTTAACTGAGGCCTTGAAGTCACATATTGATTCTGCATCACAGTTTGAAGAAATCTAAGGGAGACAACTGTGTCATTACCAAAAATGTATGATGATGCAATATTGAAATAGAAGATGAGTAAATCAGAAAGAAATTTGATACATAAAAAAAAGAATAATGATTAATGAGGAAGTACGTGCAACAATGACAGCCATGCTCAATCATGTCACGAATGTTATTGTAACAGGAAATATAATAGCATGTCTCAATGTCAAGGTCAATGGGTTATCTTTCTCAAAACGCTCACTGGTATCTCATCATGATGAAAGAATGTGGGACATGTTCACCATTATGCAACATGGTAACTGAAGCTTTCCTAAGTAGGCGTACACTACCCCAGTACCAGAGGTACAGGAGCTCACCTTTATGTCTAGGATAAAACATGGCCAGGTTATGCTTGGGACTGTAAACCTAATGAGAATGGCAGGGGATGAGGACACTTGAGGATACTTGAGGACAAAGGCTAAGGCTTTTCTTTTGAGGGGTTACAATCTCAGGCACAGCTGAGGAGGCTTTTTATCTGGCTTAGACATCAACAAATAATGACCAAATATGTCACAATATTTTGATAAAATAAGTGGATTGGCAACCAAACCTAGTTCTTGTGACAAATAGAAGACGAAGATGAAGAAGAACAACAACATCAACAACATAGAAGACAATTAGTATCATGATGCAATGATTCAGATTAGTAATTGGGAAGGAAATTTGTTTCATGGACCTTTGGCCCTGTCTTTACAAAATTGATGGGCCATAGGAGGCGCATGTATTTAAGAAAACTACTATGCATACTTCTGTATTTGTTGATGTTGATGTGCCATAAAATAAAGCATAAACTTGGCATGGTGCATGACATTCCCTAGCACTGCAGATGTGATCGCACTTTTTAGTTTACATCATTCATAAAGAACAATCATATCTTTTTTCCTACTCTAAATAACTGTTTCTAACATTTCCAGAGCATAATTTCAAAAACATGTCCTTCTCCGTGTTCTCACCGCAAGGCCTCAGTTGGCAGGGAGCAATCAATAACAAACGGATATGAAGCACTGAGTTCCTATTAATAATTTTCGAGTTCCTAAAATATTTTACGATACCATCTTTTGATACTGTGGGATATCTAAACACTTATCCAGGGACATATAGGTTTTAATTGTTGTTTGACGCAGCACTCAGCAATATGCCAGCTATATGACAGCGGTCTGTAAATAATTTAGTCTGGAGCAGACAATCCAGTGATTGACATCATGAGTATCGATCTACACAATTGGGATACGATGACATGCATCAACCAAGTCAGCAAGCCTGATCACCCGATCATGTTAGTCGCCTCTTACGACAAGCATAGTCTCCTTTTACGACAGGCATGAATACTGAAGACCTATTCTACCCCAGATCTTCACAGATCGGGGACATATAGGATGTAAGAAGATAAGTATTTGAGTTCAGTACTAATGGACAGATGGACGCAGGGATGACAGGTGATAGACAGTGACATCAGCTCACACTGAAGCTGTGAAGGTGAGCTACACTTGTTCTGCTCCAGTAGTGCCTCAGTGTAGTAATACCAAGAGACGGTAAGTGAGGCGTTCAGTGGGTGGAGTACTGATGAGGGGAGATAATGCACACTGGAGGTAATGTAGACGTATCACTACAATATCTGATAAAGGGACACAAAGAATTGGTGGGTCGACTTGTAACCTTGGGAAAGACACAACCCTCGGCATGACAAGAGAATGACAAGCCAACACCAGGCCACACCATCATCTGACTGACTTGAGAGAATTCAGATTAGTCATATGTGATAACATTTCAACAATAATTCACAGTGGCTAGAAGGGGGCAGAGACCCATGAAGATTCCGGGGTAGAATAGGTCTTCAGCAACCAAAACTTGCCGTAAAAGGCATCTAAGGGGATCGGGTGGTCAGGCTCGCTGACTTGGTTGATACATCTCATCGATCCCAATTGCGTGGATCGATGCTCATGATGTCAATCACTGGATTGTCTGGTCCGGGCTCAATTATTTTCAGACCACCATCATATAGCTGGAATATTGCTGAGTGCGGCGTTAAACAACAAACAAACAAAACAAACAAGGGGGCAGAGAGTACCCAGCACGGCTAAGCTACAACAGAACAGGTGAGTGATGTTTAATGTCACTTCCAATAGCAATGACCATCCTATGTCAGCTCAACCAAAGTGAGACGTTGTATTTACCACCTTGTTGACAGCTACTAGGGTGGGTGACAAAGTGGACACAATTTATGGACAACAACTTCATAATCTTACTGTAATGGTGACGTTTAGGCATAGATCCTTATACTGTTGTCAAGCAAGGCTGAATAATGAACATGGTACAGAATATATATGGTAGGTGGAGGATTAACAGTAGAGGATTAACAATAACACCAAATGCATACATGAGAGAGATTAACATGAGTAGGTTAAATAATAACGACAAAAGGATAATACTGTAATACAACGTGATGGACAGAGAACACATGATGAGGAAGCCAATTAAACAGGATTAAGAATACATAGGTGGGTGACTGTTGCTTAATGAGTCATAGTAGGTGAATGGGTGGGTGTAGTGTTGACAAACCAAGGATGATAATCAGTGAGTGTCTGGGATTTAAACTCATGATCTAAGGATCCTGGCAGGAGCAAAGGGGAACAACTCTGGACAGTAAGTGAGTGAGTTGGGTTTAACGCCACTTTTAACAGTATTGCAGTTATATCGCGGCGTGTCAGCTTAATGTGGGAGGAAAGCCCGAAGTGATGCAGATCTCAGACGTTTACCACTTCGGTGAAACTTACAAGCACAGGTATGGTGCTGACAAACCTAGAAACATAATCGTGGCGAACCAAGATTCGAACCCACAATCATAGGTTTATGAAATAGTTGTAGTGCCTTAGGCCAATGGGCCAGCAGTGCCCTAGACAAGGGTCTTCCAAGATACAAAACACAGGACAGTACATACAGTGATTCCATTGCCATTCAGACAAACCAAATCTAATCACAATAAGAAACCTCAGTAAAATACAGACATGTGATAAGGACATATTAATGATTCCTGTGTACTTACATCGATATTTTTCCACAAGACGAGCAGAACACAGTGTGGCCAGAGCAAACTTGACTGACAGGATTGACACACTCCCGTTGCGACTTCTGCATTGAAAAATATGACACATGAAATATAAACTAAAGGTTGTCATGGGCTCCAAAAGCATTGTTTAGGGGTTTGCTATGATATGAGGGGTCTTGAGACCCCTTAAATCTATCATTTTCATCTTTTTCAGCTCATTAAGCTTGGAAAGACCACTTGACATTCATGCTTAATTTCGAAAACTGTACATGACATACCGTATTCGACGTAATAAGCGCCCAGGGCGCTCTCAAAATTAGATATAGGGGGCTCTTATTAGAATATAATTTTGGTTAGATTCAAAACGAGGTTGAAAGATTGTAGATTTTGTGGTTTATGCTGACAGCCTGAAATGATATAAAAGAAGAATCTGTGCGGATTATACACGATAGATATATTTTCGAGAATTTAATTGCCCATTATTAAGGGTTCATATAACACACGATTGTGTATTATACACGGATAAATAAGTCGGAAAGGGTGCTAAATGGGATTGTTCACTAGCCAATATATTAGCAAATATTGCCTTGGGCGCTTATTAGAGCGGGGCTCTTATTACGTCAAATACGGTATTTTTGTTATTGCAGTAAACTACTTTTATAATGAACACGCTTATAACTGGGTTTTTTTTTGTCCCAGCCATTTGCTGTTTATGCTGTATATATGCTTATAACGAACAGGGGTTATGACGAACTAAAACTAGTGGTCCCTTTGAGTTTGTTATAACCGTAGTTAACTGTACATAGATATATCCTGCTAATGACATGACGTGTGTAAAGTGTTTGTCAAGAGATACAACCTAAACGTCGACATTTAACAGACATTACAATGACCTTTGATTGGTAGGAGGTGAAACCCACGAGCACAGGTAAGGTGCTGATAAACCTAGAAAGATAATTGGGGCGAACCAAGAATTAAAACCACAATCATAGGTTTCTGGCATGCTCAAGGGATGCAACTCTGCATAGCAAAATGTGGCACCTTTGACGACTTGGTCATGCTCTCTACTGTTGAAGAGGAAAGTACCTTCCAACAGCAAGTAACCTCACCATGTTCACAATACTAACACATACTAACATATGTTACACATACAATTGTATATAATCCTTATACATGTAGATATCAGTAGACTGTCAAATCCAGGTGTGGCATATCAGTTCTCTTAGCGACCATACAGGGATGTCATGTCAGTCATGCTTGTGACCGAGTTTCCTGGTATATGAAACCAGCTGCACTAATGTGACACCAAAGGGCAATAACTCTATACACTGGCATCGTCTCCTCGGTGTTCCACCTGTTACTTCAGCTGAAACTCGACCTTCATTGGTGCTAAGCCTGATGCGCAGCATTTATAAACTAGTCAGCAAGCCATCTTAGATGGATGGATAAGAATGGACTGAATATTGTTTAGTAATATTTAGACCCATGAAGTTCCAGGGTAGAATAGGTCTTCAGCAACCCAAGCTTGCCGTAAAAGACGACTATGCTTGTGATAAGAGGCGATTAACGGGATCGAGTGGTCAGGCTTGGTTGATGCATGTCATCACATTCCAATTGCGTAGATCGATGCTCATGATGTCAATCATTGGATTGTCTGGTCCAGACTTGATTATTTACAGACTATCGCCATGTAGCTGGAATATTGCTGAGTGCGGCGTTAAACAACAAACAAACAAACAAACTATCAATATTTACTTCCAATTGTGGTAGAAACATGAGGAATGTTTTGGGTCTCAGTCACTTGGACGCATAAAACCACATGTACATCTTGTGATCCTGCTACAACTTACAATATTGCATTGGGAATATCTGAACCACATACGATGTTACAGCTACCACTTGTCCAAACACAGGGAGAAATTGGTCACACATATATCATATATGAAAATGCTAATTAACTATTGTTAACAGACATATTTCACTGTCTGTGGATCATGACCTATTTTTCATGTTTCTGGAACATGTAGAATGACTACTGCCATTTGACATAAACTGTTAACTGCATATGAGACATTCAAAAATAATGGTGGACATTCTTCAAGCTTAATATAATTATCATAATTCTAAGTTCATACATGACTAACAATGATAAGTTGTGCTATATGTCATGGGCTTTCTGCTACCCTGGGTGGAATCACATTTTATGTAACAGGTTCTTCTTTTTAAAAACAATAAAAGAAAAAACAAATTTCCAATGCTGCATCATGAAACCACTTTTAAAATTATCTAAACTCAGAAGCCAACAAAATACCCACATCCAAAAGATATTCCACTTACAACAGGGAGGAGGTGTGTTGTATGAAAACTTACACATCAAATAAATTCAGCAGAAAATTGAGTAGCAGATCAGCAAAGACTTCGGGGCTCTGTTTGGGAGCCTGCCTGTGATCTGCCGTGTGGTAGATGCCAAGCAGCAGTGTGGACAAGTCTCCACATGTCACCTGGTGGTGGCAGCCATCGGGGTAGTCCAGGTCGTCCAACACACTGCGGATCACCTTCAGTGTTATCTGGTGTACTGCAACAGAGGAAGCAGCTGGCTACAGATACACACGTGGCAGCAGGTACAGCTTACTGTGGGGATGCAGAATAAGGGTGGAGTCGTGGCTGGGGGCATGTGGTTGGGGGATTAGTGGGGAGATGATGGGTGGGACGTAGGGTGAAAGTGTGGAAAATGGGATGTAGTTGGGGGTTGAAAGGGTGGTAGTCTTGTAGATAGGGTCTAGTGGGGGTGAAAGATTGGGTGTGGTGGTGGTAGGGGGTTGGGGTAGGGGTAAATGAAGGAGTGGTAGCCTGGTGGGTAGGGGTACGTGGGGTCTAGTTATGGGGGGATGAAGTGAGTGAGAGAGTATGGATTTCCGCTGCTTTTAGCAATATTCCAGCAATACCAGGTGGGGAACACCAGAAATGAGCTTTACACATTGTACCCATGTCAGGAATCGAACCTGGGTTTCAGGTGTGAAGAGCAAATGCTTTAACCATTAGGCTACCCGACTTCCCCGGGGGGATGAACGGGTGGAAGTAATAGGATGTGGTGGGGGATGAATGCAAGTAGAGCTACCTACATGAAAGTCTTTTCTGGAGATGTCTTATCTTTATAGCAGTTCTGTAGGCGGCATAGCGAATCTCATGGTAGTCATCTGTAAACAAAAAATACTTCCATGACTAAGTGACATTTTCTCGTGAACATTTAAGTCCATAATAATGACACCAAAAACTAAATTGAATTTGCATATCCCATTTAATACTAATTTCATACAGATGTTTGGTTAGCAGTGTAAGCCACACATAACAGACAAATTTGTTCTCTTAAAGCCAACATTCACTTACCAAGTTCTTCCAAAATTTTAGTGAAGTATGGATGATCCCATGAAGTGGTCTGAGTCTGATGGCTGAAATATGCATTAAGTTACAGGTGAGGTACTAGATGCTTGCACTGATGCTGGCACCAGAGTCTATACTACATCAATACTTATGACCAATTAAAATCAAACAAATATTTAGCTATTTTGTTGGATAGTGAATTAGAGAGATAAAGCCAATGAAAATGATATAATATGTTTTGATTGTGGTCAGTCAATACTGTCAGTAAAAAAAACAAATATTCAAAATGTGTTTATCCCTTTAGCAACATGACCAAGATTACATCCAGTAGGAATGATTTAGGATTAATATGTTTGGGGGGTTTCTTCCAGAAAATACATTTTGTACGTACAATTCGTAAATTTCTGAGATTAACAATGAGTTGAAATGGATCCTTATCTGGCATTTGTATTTTTTATCATCAAGTGTATTTGTTATGTATTATACCTACCAGACAAAATATGGAATCCCATTATCTGCCTCTTGTCGCTCCCAACCTTCTACGATCACATCTGAAAGATTATCATTCACAAGATCATGATAAGTTTATTTACATGCTTTAATTTAGAACATTCAAAGACAAATAACATGTGAATTAATCAAGATGAATTCATTTTCTCAAATTAAGCACAGTTATAATTGCCAATGGGAATGACCTGAACACATAGCAGGCTGTCTAACAACTGAGTGCCCCCAAGAGCTCCTGGTAAGATGTATCATCAACAGTGCAGCTGCCCGTCATCTTGCTAAATGACTCAAGCATCACTGACATTGTTTGGCTGTTCTCATTGAAATGCAGAAACATATATGTCCTGTAAGTAATAACCACTTCGCCCTGCATTGTAGTTCACTGAAATATGTTTTATAATTCTTTGTTAACAATGCAGTTTACCGGTTGCAGCTTACTTATAGCGCTAATTGACTCATGCTGCTGACTATAGCTTTCGTTTCACAGATATCACACACCCCTTCAATCCTTAATAGGGTTAATCATTTGATTTATGTTCTTTCCGATCGAACACCCCTTGTCGATCTTTAGGGTTGGGCACCACTTGCCAACATCCCTTTACGATCCTTAGTGTTAATTGTGAGATAGGGTATGGATTAGCTGTCTCATCTAACAAATTAATCAAAAATTAATTTGAGGAAACTCCGAACAAATCTTATCAATTTTCAAGGAGGGAATGGCTACTGCACATGTGCATGCATGTAAACATTCTGGTGCTGATGATTTGGTGAATGAGCACTAATCATTTGTGATAGCACACCTGGTTCTGTGGTAGGGTGTTGGCTAATTAGGTTTATTCATTAGCCTAGCTTCAAGCTGGCAACGTGAGTTCGATCCTTCAGGCAGCACTAATTGAAATCCGAAAAAGTGTGCCTGGTAAAGTGCCCTACTCCGAATTCTTTAGCTGATTAGCCTTATTACCAATGATTAGATCTAAGGATAAACAGTATTAATAACAGATAAATAAACTTATCCGAGTAGGCATAGAAAGTGATTATAACCGTTTTGTCAATTATGCAAATTGGCCCCTGCATATATTATTTCTTATGGAGTCCAATCTAGTAAATGTGCTCAAAGACAAATAAACGGCATACCATAGAGTTCAGTGCTATCCATCTTCAATATCGAAGCAACAGGGTCGATGAATATTGAACTACCCCGAAGGCAGACTCGATCACAACTAGCTAAAAGTCGGGGACAAGATGTACAGATCGGGGACAAGTTGTATTTGGAAGTAGCAACAACTTAGATGAATACATTGTGATCATGCCGAGATAATCTTTCCCCTGTTTTTGTCTGTTGTTGCATCTTGACTTTCAAACTGTTTTTACAATGCTTGGTCTTTAATTCCCATCCTTTGAAACCTAACGGCATGTTATATATACGATATGATTTTACACAAACAGGGGAGTAATTTTACGTATTTACCGCAAATGCACGGTTGCAAAAATAAACATTTTTTCTAATGGTTTAGTTTTCATTTGTTGGATACATCAATCTTTCTAGATTGAACGGTTAAAAGTAACGGTTTTAGCGTGATGAAACAATTTCTCAGGTAAGTATTACAATTCATGCCCCCAATAACTTCCGTTCGAATAGCGCATGCGCCTGTATCTTACATCCGCTTACAGTAGTGACAGAAGCGCTCGGTAAGTAGTTTTCTGGTTAAATTAGTTGGATTGAACATATTTGTAAAGGAAAAAGTGTTAACACAACAGCATAGATGGCAGATAACATGTACGTTACAGGAATGGATGATATACGCGACTGTAATACCACTGTACAAATTATTCAGATTGACAGGTGCTCTCTCGTAAGCAGGCTTCCAGATGACAAATATTGCCTCTTCACTTCAGTGTAATCAGCACTTGTACTGAGGACTGTAACAGTTAACAGCATCATTGTATAACTTCGTTCCGGTTGAATGATATCAAAATGGATTACTGTCGAAGTATTGAGTTCAGAAAACATTTTTTATTTTACGTGTAACTATATTTAGATAACAAGTGGTTTCTTTAACTTAAATCATGAATTACAGTAACAATGATTACAACTTCTACCTTACTAGTAAACCTACATATATTTTGCAAGGATTTCAGTTAGTACCGTATGGAGGATCGAAATCATGTCGCCAGCTTAAAGTTAAGCTATGCTAATGAGTTAATCTCATTAGCCAATGCTTTACCACTGGCGGTAACACAAATATTTAGCGCTAGTTTCCCAAGTGATTAGAATCCATTTGTTTAGCCATTTTCTCTGTGAGACTCGAATTCAATGTAATTTGAGAAAAAAAATATATATGAAAATCAGTAGTTTTTTTTATCCCACTGACCAGAAATAAGTGAAATGTTTAAGACAAACTCATTTACTTTTGCTATCAGCAGTATAAATCAGTATAAATATATTGTTTAAGGTATACAAGAATTAAAACCTGTGGAATATTTATCTTAAAAACTTCTAAACAGAACAAATTATGTCAAACTGCAAATAATCATGATAATGTTTGAAGGTTTTTTTATTGTTATTTTTTCGACCTATCAACCGGATTATTAGGATCCAAAATCCATTCCCCAGACTCACCATCAGTATTGTTATCTGTACAGTTGTTATTAGTGAGTGAATGAGTGAGTGAGTGAGAATGGTTTTATGCCGCTTTTAGCAATATTCCAGCAATATCACGGCAGGGGATACCAGAAATGGGTTTCACACATTGTACCCATGTGGGGAATCGAACCAGGGTCTTCGGCGTGACGGGCAAACGCTTTAACCACTAGGCTGCCCCACAGTTATCACAGTTGTTATGTGCTTAAAACTTGAAGTGATAACAATCCTTGACAATTTGCACTCAGTATGCACAAGGAAGGTCAGCACTTACGGCTTACTCTACATGCTCTAAGCATGCTAACTGGGGTCAATAACACTTGTTGAAGTGTTTATTTGTCGTGCTGAAGACCTTGTTCAATTCTTTTTTGTTCAACATATAATGTCTTGAATATTGATAAATATGGTGTGAAACCATACTTGTCCACTCACTCACTCAAGCCTATTGGCAAATATACTTGCCCTGGGACATCTGACATGGCACAATGTTCTTATCTAGCATGTATGGCTTAGTATGTAAGTCAAACCAGCTCATATTATAATATGCATATACCATTGTATACTTTATTCTGATCATGTTATGAAATATGAAATCTTTTTGGAAGTTATTGTTTGGTTAATGAATTCTTTTCTGAAAGCAAAATCTTGGAAATGAAACTCTTTTAAAACTGAAAGACTTTATTACACAATTTAAATTGTGTTGTGTTGAGATTAGCAATATTAGAGTTCAGTTACCCATTTTAAAAGTTCTATTGCCAGGGGCCAATGGCATTTTATGAGTATGAGTGGGTGCAGACTGAAACTGCAGGTGGTGTATGTGTTTTTTACAGGCCCTGTATCAAGTGACACTAGAGTGTTGATCAGCTCATAAAAAAGATCTCAAGACTTTTTAAGGCTCTGTGGATCACAATTTGCATGTTTAGGCTATCAAGAAGTTAAGTAGGGACAAAAAAAATTAATTTGTCATGAAGGGAAACAATTGCAGATCTGAAACTGGAGTGGCTCAACAGGCACAATGCAGAGTTGCTTAGTTAATATGTCAACTTTCAACATGTTCAAGTAGTTGATTGTTATGTATCGAGATAAAGCCAATATGATTTATATGCAAAGAAGATATGTGGTTGTGATTCAGTGGAATATGTACAAACCTTATATGATAAACACCGATTACTGGTAGATATGATGTATATGGCACACCATCTGTAGTGTTATTAATTATCATAATGGGTACAATGATTCATATGAATATATATAAGCTTCAATGATAAACAAGAGAAAGGCTAATCATGCTAATTCGTTAGATCTTTTCATAAACATTGTATATTGCACTCCATCTGTAGAGATACTTGGCATCCAATGTAATCAGTGTTCATCTATTACCTTCATGTATCCTACCTCATGACACAACGCCCAAACGCAACCGAACCCACTGCTTCTCCCAGTTGACCTGTATTGAAAGACTTCAAGTTAGGAACACATTTGTACTTAGAAACTAGATCTTCAGCCCCTCATGCTTACCGTAAGAGGTGACTAACAGGATTGGGCGGTCAGTCTCAATGACTTGGTTGATGCATCTCATTGATACCCAATTGTGTAGATTGATGCTCATTATGTCAATCACTGGATTGTCTGGTCCATACTTAATATATTTACAGAACGTCGTCATAATTCAGGATGTTGCTGAGTTAAATGTTAAAGAAACAAATTTAGCAAATACTTTAATAGGAATTGTTGCCTGTTCAGCACACTTTAGTTGCACCTGTTAGGCTTTAAATTAATACTTTTATGTGCAGCAAGCTTAAACAGTTTTGTTTCTGTAGATCCACGGTCAAGTTCAAGTAGAGTGGAACATTGTTACATCATGTATGTAACCCTGGTTGTAGACAAGTGACTAGTTACTAAGCGACATACTTATTTCCCAGCTTATTTCGACACACCCTTTCCACTTAATGTCAGCCAAGCCTTTAATATAGAGAAGAAAATATTTATTTGTGACCAAGGTAGATTCGCAGGGTAATTTATCTCACAGTCTGAATGACAAGGTGCTAGCCTGTATGTAAGATACAGTCCAACCTAATCCAGCTGATTCCTCAAGTGTGATAACCAACATAGACGAACAGTTTACTTCCTATGGTGGCAGGAGAGTTGGTGTCCATATTGTATCGAGGAAAGTGGTGTCCTCGATGACAAGAGTGTTACCCTACGGTCCTCTATATTTATTGAATACTTCATGTAGCATAAGAAATGAGGGTCACTAGGAAGAGACTTCAGAATGACTCTGCTTTTTTATATAAGGACAGGGTGGTAGAATAATATGTTAATATGGACCAGCTGCAGTCATACAAATCTTGTTTGCAACTTGTAGGCAGTTCTGAGTTCTATTCCTAGCTATTATCAGTGATTATGTTTTTTGTGTCTTCAACTTTAGAGGTATAGCTTAGGCAACATATTTTTCTTTACATGCTTTACCCTCGTGAACAGTGTGGGCCATTGGTTAAAAAAGTGAGGCAAAATCACTTTTGTCAGTTTCTGTCAAAATATTCTAAATATTAAATTAGAAGAGGTACAAAACACAATTCAGTCTGTTTTTGTTTCATAAACTCTTACTTTTACTGTACATGCCCCATTGACTGTTTCATACTTAAAACATTAGAAATTAGGTTAGAAATTAATGTTGATTTTCAGAAAAATTGATGTGCTACAGAGTTGCCATCTATAGAAGTGGTAGTTCACACGGAAATGTCACTAGTCCTTACAGAATTTTACTTGTCTCAGACTAGCTGACTTGTGTTAATTTTGATTTAAAAGTCAGTTGCTGTTATTTTTGACAGGGTGAAATGACAGTCCTTTTGAATGTCGTTACCAGCAGACTTGATTTAAGGATCTTGATTTGACTAGGTGCATGTTGACATGAAGACCTAGTTGCACCAGACAAAACCAGGTTGCACCCTGGTCCCATAAATTTATTTAAGTCGTCCCATAGGTGCATAAACAAGTCTTTAAAAACATGTTATCTCAGATTACATGCTCAATATTTTGATTATTAAGGTGAGAACAATGCATGCCTAAGGTCCTTGCTGTTTTCAGCAATAGTATATTAAGGACATGCAGTATTCATGACATTAACATGTGGATTTGACAAGGCCTCCATCCTTATCTTGTAACATTGATTCTGTAGATGCCAACCCTTCCCCATGTGGAGCCCCGTCAGTGACCTAGGTCACAGACCAGGAACTGCTGAGTCACTTCAGTCAAGTCCTGAATATACGGCCTTCAACAGTCTCCGGGTCGAGGGACAATAAAGGGTTTCATATAACGTTAAGACCATTTTCAGTACAAACATAACCAAGTATGTTGAGGTTTGTCATTTTTATCAACATGATTAAGGTAACCAAATGTTTGGTGTATTGACCTACTCAACATTCGACCATGCATTGTCTGCAGCTTTTTGGCACACTATTGATTGTTGATATGTGTTTGGTTTTATGTTAATATTGTTATCAACTTAACAGATTATCTTGTTGATTCAAAATTAAAATGATAAGTTTGCATATCTGAACAATGCTAAATAATGATAATTTAACTTTAATAAATTTTTGACCATTCGTCATAAAATACAGGAGGAAAACAACACTAGTCAACATGGTCAACTGTTTCATATTATTTACAGTTGACATGGTAACAAGAACATACCAGCAGATCATGTTCGATCTCGTAGATTAACAAAGAAAGCGTCTATGCATTTCATATTAAATCTTCATATTGAAGCAGCTGTTGCATGGGAGGTTGTCAACTTTACTTAAGGTCAGGCAAATGTGAGTTAGT